CCCCTTTACTTGCTAGATATATGCATCTTTATCACCCTTATATATCTGAAAAAACAATGACTATCAAATGCAATCTTATCTCATCGAAATTGTCACATGTTAGCTTCAGAATAGACCATGTTCTGGTGCGCTGCAAATGTCTCATAAACCATAAATATTGTGACGTTAAAACACTGCATTTTTTTTTAAGAGGCCCTCCCTTCGAGGATTATAAAACGCCCCCCCCCCCCGATAAAAAACGCCCCCGATGCTAAAACGCCTGCACCTGCGGCAGGCGTGGCATTCTTTTTTCAAGGACTTTTTTTTCTGTTTCTTTTTCTAGAGGTAATAGGTACAATTTTCGTTGGTCATCAGCGTTTGGTTGTGCTAGTTTTCGCATTGTTCGAGCGCTTTGGAAGTGTTATTGGTTTCGATAACACCGTATTTGCTTAGCTTTTCGAAATAAAAGGCCTTGCAGCTGTGTTCGCAAAACGTCTTTTACAAGTCGACTTGCCTTGTTAAACGCCCGAGGGGGGGGGGGGCGTCTTACCATACACATAGTGTAAGAGGCCCTTTTGCAACTTTTTCCAAAATGTTAAAGTTTACGGTTTGTGTACCCCCTAGATTCATTTTGAATGCAAATATGTATGGGAAAATGATGCATGCTCACAGCGCATGCACACGTTAGCTCTTAAATATTATCAGTTGTCTAAAAATAGCAACTGAGCTTAAGGGGGGGGCCTCCTGCACCACTCTCCCCTAACTGTTTACATCTATCAAATGGATTAAAAGCTCTGCCATAGAAGAACCCTGGCAGAATGATCACACGCTAATTTCATTCGCCGTTTTCCTTAAAAAATGGTCTGTATACCTAGTAATTTCCATTTCTGCATATTTCCTCAAAAGTCTGAACTATCTAATCAGAGGATTCCATCCAGTTTCTCCAGTTCTTAACCCGCGCCGGGACGGGGCAATCGAAAGAACGTCCAAAAGACGGACAAAAACACTTCGGTCATTTTTGGGTCAGGTCAAAGGTCAGCTAACCATAGGTCACCAAAGGTAAAATGTTGACTATTTCAACATTTTGGAAACTGCCAACTTCTATCTCGGGAACCGATAGAGCTACAGCGCCGCGGAAAAGCGCATTCGATAGCCCTTTTACAGACCTTTCTGATAAATGTTCTCATATTTGATCTCAGGGCAACGGTTTAGCCTCCAGAGGACAAAAACTAAAAATAGCCGTTTTTACGAAAAAATTTTCTCGGCAATAACTTTTGACTCAAAAGACCCACGACATTACTTTTGCCAGCATAGTGTTCCTCTCGTCGAGACGCGTCGAATGAACTATTTGACCTTGAAAGGTCAACTTGAAAATTTGACCTCCGATCAAGGTCATGACCTGACCGGAAAAGATCATGTTGCATATCAGTCGAGCTGCAACGTCGAGCCTAACACATCTAAGGCGTTTTCAGCGCTCTAGCACGCCTCTATCAGAAGTTATTAGCGAAAAACTTCGAGCGATTTTGTTCGTGACCTGAGATGACCTCGGGGACATAACGAGGGGTCACAGCTGCCATTTTCCGGTTCAGTGTGTCAATTTTACCTACATCTCGATGTTTGAGAGTGTCTAGAATAGCGTTCGTGCAAAACAGACGCTTTTCAATTTTCTCCCATTGACTTATAATGGAGAGGCCGCAAAATTGACCTGACCATAGATCACCGATGTCAAAATTCCGAGATATACATTTTATAGATAATGTTGCTCTAATCAATCGCTGAAAGTTTCAGGGCAATCGATGAGTCGGTGTAGCTATCACGAGCATTCTTAATTTTTTTCGAAGGTGAGGTCACTTGGCGTGACCTGGTGACCTGACCTAAGGCGACCTGGGTCTGACATTTTCACAACATGTGTGGAAAAGATGCACGAACAGGTGTGCCAAAAACGGCGGCGCTCCGTGCCGCCGTTTTTGAGATATCTGCGAAAAGCCGGAGGGGTGTGTGTGTTCAAACACCCCCCCCCCCCCGGCCCGGCGCGGGTTAACATAGGTACCCACATTTTGTAATCCATACCTAAAGGCTATAACATAAAATACGTGGTTGCTGATTATCCGTGATTTATAACCCTCGCCGGACCTATTGGTTTTCTACATACGCGCCCGCCGAGAGGGGGAGGGTACGACCTCCCCCTCGCCGTTTCGCCCTTGGTGGAGCTAGCTCGTCGCGGAAAAAAAACGAGCATGTGCGCCGTTTCAAGACGCAGAGATTGATACCCGATTTCAAGGTCCTAGATCAACTGGTAACCTCTGAGGTCAGGTCAAGTGCCCCAAGGTGCGGTTCGGTTTTTGGTGAATAACTTCGCAAAAAAAAAAAACGGCCGCAGAGCCGCGATTTTGGCAGCATCGTTTTCGACTTGCTCAGGCGCGTCGAATGATGTACTTTTTGTTTGGGTGACGTCAACTTGTTGAGGTCAGCGCCCCAGGTCACGAAGCTGGTTGAATGAGGTCATATCGCATATCATTCGATTCGGCAGGTCTTCCTGAGTCCATTGCTGGCTTTCCCAACTCGCTAGCTCAATTTAATCGGGAGTTATTGACGAAAAACTAATATAACCTTAATGACGTCATAAATGACGTCACATAAGTTCAACATTGGAAAAGTACCGCATGAAATCTTGCAAAGAGTGCATGAAATCACGATTCTGTGTGTTTGAGATAGTTGGAGATCGTTCCCGGCGCCAGAATAGCAGTTTTCATTTTTCTCCATTGACTTGAAATGGTGAGGTCATGAAAATGGCCTGACCTCATATGACCTTAAGAGAAAATCCGAGATATACAAGTTGTGAAACTCTTAATTGATACTAGGTCCTGCAAGTTTCATTTCCCTGTGACATCTCCTCTGGCAGTGAGGGCCTTGCGAAGGTGCGACGTCTGCAGACCGTGCAGAGGTTCACTTATGACGTCATAGGTCAGTGACCTGACCTGACCTAAAAATGCGGTTGGTGTCAAAAGATCCGGCTTGAATCAAAGCTCAATTATGCCAAATTGCAGCTCTCTATCGCCGGCGTGTTCGGAGCTATCGCGAAAAAACCCTATGGGGGGGGGCGGCACCCCCCCCCCCCCTCGGCCGGCGAGGGATAATATACCGCGCACTCTCCTTTCAGTAACGCATCGAGCAATTGCAGATACGCCTGTAAATTGCGTGGATCCAGCCGTGAGCAACGGTTTTATCAATTATTAACACCACAAAAAAACGCATGGTGACAAAAGCACATACAAATACACCTTTTTGCATTTGAATTCAACCATTCGGCAAAAATGTTTGAGGAGCCATTTCGACAATTGGCATTGAGCGCAACTCTTCCGGCGTGGTGCGTTTCATTTCAGCCATTTAGGAAAACAGATTGAACACTGAAATGTCAAATAAACGATCTGCAAAACAGTTTTAACAGTTCGCCAGACTTCGGCATAGAGGGAGCCAGCTCGGCATATGACGAATAGTTTCGACCATTGACGATTTGTTTTGCACAATGTTGAACCATTCGTTCAATGTCGAGTTGTAGAGAAAGATCGCCGAATAGTTTTGCACAATGGTAATTCTTTGTGACCAACCGCCCATTTGTAACGCCACCTATATGGCGAATGTGTACAAATGTTTTGCCCGATGGTCAAAAGCTAACGCAAAAAGGTGTAGTACTTCAAGTGGCGGCAATAACGCGTGACCTCGCTACAGAGCAGGGACTAATCTTCTCGTGTCTCTTGATCCCGCGCCCCGTAGGGGGATGGGGGGGGGGCGAAACGGCGTCCTGTCCTTTTCCGCAGATATCTCCCAAACGGCTGCAGATATCGTCACCAAACTTTTAAGACCATTCCGGGCATCAATTTTACACATTGTGACCAAAAAAAATTCATAGGCTATGATAGGTTGGCCGTAAATGACGTCAGAATGACGTCATGTTCTGCCATATTCGACCCAAAAAGGTTTTGCGGGAAGAGCTGTCAGCCCTACAGCTTTGAAGATACAGAAAAATGTCTAAGACATGAAAGGTGTAGAATAAATAGGGCTACAAAACTGATACCTCATGGCTTTGAAATTCTGGGGTTTTGACCCCCTAAAATCGAATAAGGATTTTTTTATAGCAGCAAAACAAATCCAAAATGTTGTTCGAAATAAAAAACGGATGTATATGATAACTCGTACCGTATTCTTATCTACATACTAAACTTGAGATCGATATCTCTTTTTTGGCCAAGTTATAGCAAAAAAAACTTCAAAATTGATGACGTCAAATTTTCAAACTCAGTTGTTAGCAATTCTAGACCATGTAGCGCTAAACAAACACCACCATTGGACTCCTTGTGACGAGCTGCATTGAATCGATATCCATTTAATGCAAAAATGTCAGCTTTGAAATTTGACCTAATTTGACCTGATCTGGACCTGACCTTCACCAGAATATAGCCTTAGCTGGCCCTAAAGGTTGCCTGACTCACATAATCGCATTGGTCATGTAAAATGGACCATAAAACATGTATCACACGACCCTTTCGTATTGTGACCCTCAGTGACCTGACCTCTGTGACCTGACCTGGTATTAGTGACCTCGAATAGCAAAACATGTGTTTGACGGACAATTCCCCATCGATGATTTCCAATGGCATTCCTTTTTACTCGATTGTACAGTTTGTCTTAAAAGTACCGCGCAAAGTTACGATGGATCCATCAAGCCTGACCGAGGAAGGGCCTGCTATAATTTGAAAGTGACCGAACCAATTGACCTGGGGAATGCACGAGGATGTCAATTGCTTCGTGACTCAAATTATAGTAGGTCCTTCCTCGGTCAGGCTTGATGGATCCACCGTCACTTTGCGCGGTACTTTTAAGACAGACTGTAGGTACAACACATTTCTTGAAATGCCTGTAAAAGGTGAAAATTCGACTTTTGACCTGACCTGTGACGTTATCGGTTGGGCCGAGGTCAATGAAATTTGGTCACAAGGTAGTAGTTCCCCGTTGGGACTATCCAACGTCATTTGAATTTTGAAAATCGGCCGGTAGCTTTCCGAGATCTTAGGTGGGGGCGTTTCGCCCCCCCCCCCCCCTACGGGTGGTAGGGTCCACCGATAGCCCTGCGGGGCGGGTTAAATTTGATATTTCGACACGTAAAATATACTTTTGGCCATCTAACCCGTGACTTGTTGGAGGGGGCTGGGGACGGTCAATTGGTGTTATCAAAAACAAAATTTTGGATTTTCCAGGATAGCATTTTTATAGCACCGGTAATTTTACACCTTTTTGTCATTGACATTTTCTCTATTCTCAAAACGGTAGGCTCTTCCCGCAAAACTTGTTTATCGAAAATGGCGGAACAAGACGTCATTCTGACGTCATCTGCGGCCAACCTATCGTAGCCTATTTTTTGCCACAAAATTGTAAAATTGATGCCGGGGCGGAGGTCCTGATAGTTTGGTGACGATAACTGTAATACTGAGGAGATATCGACGGAAAAGGAGAGGGTCTGTTTTGGCCCCATACGCTGCGCTGGTTAAGAAGTCTATTCGTTGTGTTTCTGAATGTCCTACGATATGATTTCTGACTGATTATTCAGGTGTTGGCATGGATAGGATAATCTTTTTGTCGGCTTCGGCCGGGTCTGCGCCAAAGTGGAATGTCCTCTTGACAAACATGTTGTTACTCGTGCTCCCGGCCGGATGGACGGTGGTCAGTGTCAGGTTGGCTGGCGGGCGGCCGCCGGGCCGGGGCGCCGCCGCTGCTCCCTTTTGCGGCATCACCCGCTGCCTCCACGGCCGAGCGCCGGCGATGAAAGTGTCGGCGCACATCGCGCCCAGCGCCGCCGCCAGCAGCACTGTCGACACCGCCTCGCAGATGACGAGCGTGCGGTTGCCGAAGAAGGCCGCCGCGGCACCCAGCGCCCAGCATGCCGCCAGCAGCACCAGCAGCGCCGTGGTGGTGAAGCGCAGGCGTCCCAGCGCGCTGGAACGGAACACGTCCTGTTAGATGTGCGAACTCACAGAGCGCACTGCGTGCTGCGACACTGATCAGCGGGACTCGGAGCGGCTGTGGTGAGCCTGCTGCTCTGGCTAGTCTCACCTTTTGCGTTTCGCTTTGTCGGCGTGTTTCATTGCCAGTGGAACTTTGTCCGATGGAAGAGTGAGCGCCCGGAACGCCAGGAACAGTCCAGCAAGCCAGATAATGAGGAGGTGACACGCAACCACCCACATGATGGCGTTGTTTGGGTCCAAATCCAGCCAGCACCTGTAATAATGCGTTCTTAGCTACTTCAATGTTACAACTGGCGATACATTGTCATTGGGTAGCCTGCCAGGCGCCAGCAGTCTCTAAAGTTATACGTCATGATACAGCTTGAATACGCTCACTCCTATTGATTGGAAGTTGGTAGTAACTAGTAGGTGCAATCTATCATCGCAACTGGCCTCGGAATGCAACGCAATTAGCCTCTGGTATATGATAGGATGAGCACACCGCACCCTGATTTCATGTGTCTGTGCCGACGATGTTAACCTTCGCCCCAGTGGGGGGGGGGGGAGCATATGTTACCAACCTGTCGCGTTTTTTTTTGCGTGTGAAAAAAAAAAACGCGGCGCGTAGCGCTGCGGCGCTTGCAGTAGCTTTCTGTACATCAATTTTGGACAATGTGTGAATTTTTTGACCCCAGGTCATGTCAGGTCAGGTCACCAGGTCAAGTTAACTGACTAAGCCTAAAAAAGTTTGCAATCATGTCCAGCCTGCAGTGTTTGTCAGAGAGGTTTTAAACTTGGTGGATTGCGTGATGTTATGGGCGCCTATAATTTGCATATCTCGAATTTTTATACCCGTGACCTAAGGTCAGGACAGTGGCGTGACCTTACCATTATAAGTCAATGGAGAAAATGAAAATGCCTCTAGATCCGTGTGTAGGGGAAAGTGGGGTAAGACGGGCACCTTAACTTTGGAGCCATTTTTCGGCCGGTTAGAAACATCATAGAAACGGGAAACTGGGTGAAAACCTTTTTCAGACATTTTACTTTCATTTGCCAGAAGATGAGACTTAGACCTGATTCAACAAATAAACTGCAGCTATTTTTGCAAAACCTTGCAAAAACCCGTCTTACCCCACCCCATGGGGTAAGACGGTCACATGGGTAGGGCAAGACGGCCAGCTTCTTTCACCGATCAGCGCAGCTCGCAACAAATGCCCGAGATTAGCCGCATTTATACAGTCGCTCGTTGGTCTCAAGTGCTTCGGAAATGGCAGTATACGAGATTCGTGCAGAAGGCGTATGCTCCTATATAGGCCCTAGTTCAGAAGCCATGTAGAACCGTTTTTCACATTCATTATTCGAGAATAAACTGTGCCGAAGGAATATTGCTAACATGTCTGTGAGTATCGGAATCGAACATATTCTTATTAGAAATGCTTCTTTTTTCCTACAGCAACAAAAATATTTTCACCATTACAGACCCATTGGGTTCATAGTTGCCCGTCTTACCCCAAACTCAATGTCAGAAGTTCAGCACGATTTTTCGCTGTGGACAATTTGATGCAGACAAAGCAAATCCGCCGTAAATGAACACTGTTGGCATATGAGTGTACCACAAGTGATTGCGAGTTTTTAACTCTATAGTGCTGTACACAAAAGCTTGCACAATACATTATGGATGTTTTCAATGAAATGAGTGTTTTAAAGAAATCAAAATAAAAGATTATCGACTGAACACAAATTCACCAGACTTGAATGGTGGTGTGTAGTGGGAAAGGCAATTCTGGTCCTAACTTTTCTTGCTCGTAGCGCTATTGGTTTGGTCTGCAGAAGGGGTGCCCGTCTTACCTACCCTGACCGTCTTACCCCACTTTCCCCTACGCATAGGAACAGTCCAAATATTTCAGAATCACAATGATTTGGACCACCCGTGACGACCAGGGTGTGTTTTTTTGCTGATAGCCTCTAGAAAGGTCACCGAGGTCATTTGAGGCTACAAACAGCTTTTTGCCAATAACTCTCGATTTGAAAGAGATAGAAGGCTGGGGATGGCCTCATTGTGTTTGTCTTGTTGACACGCATCGACTGATATGCAACATGACCTTTTCCGGTGAGGTAATGACCTTGACCTGAGGTCAAATTTTCAAGTTGACCTTTCAAGGTCAAATTATAGTTAATTCGACGCGTCTTGGCAAGAGGAACACGATTCTGGCAATAGAAATGTCGTGGCTTGTCAAAAGTTATTGTCGAAAAAACACTTCTCTTAAAAACAGCTATTTTTTTTATTTTTTGCCCTCTGGAGGCTAAACCGTTGACCTGAGGTCAATTTGATATTGACCTTATCAAAAGAAGAGTTCAAAAGCTATCGAATGCTTTTCCATGCGTTTTTCTAGCTATCATAGTTCCTGGGATAAGGGCATGTTTCTTAAAAATAGAGGTACCTAATGACAATTGGCAAATTTTGACCTTTGATGACCTTTGGTGACCCCAATATTGCTCTAAAATGAAAGATGACGGAAATACTTTCAAACGTACGCATTGAGTGCTATCTACTGCTTTTTACCGCGTCTTTCTAGCCCACTTAGTTTTTGAGTTAGAGGTGGGTGGTAACATATGCCTCCCCCTACTATGGCGAAGGTGGCTGAGACCGCCACTGGGACGCGGGTTGGTTTAACCAGTCGCGCTGGGGTGGTATGGCGTCCGACTCACGTCTGCGGGGCGGCGTCCACGTATCCGCGAGAGTCGACGGCGGCGGCGATAAGCAGCATGACCACGGCCGTCTGCGGCCCGGCGGCCAGCAGCGGCACCGCCCAGGCGTGTCTGCCGGGGAAGCGGCCGGCCGCGCCGCCCAGCAGGCCGGGCAGCGCCAGCGCCAGCAGCAGGACGGCCGCCAGTGCCACCGAGAAGGCCAGGTGGGTGATGGCGGCGGCCGCACGGCAGCCGGCCGTGCCGCCCGCCGACAGCGGGCCGCCGTGCGACAGCAGCACAAACAGATACCCGACCGACACCGTGATGGCCACGGTCACCTGGTAGATGCCCTCGGGAACGGGCACTCTGGAAAAAAATGGCAACTGGGTAGGACGAATAGGCCGTTCACTGTTAGGGTAGAGTGGGGCAAAGTGGCCACCCTTACTTTCCAGCCTCAGTTATCAGTATATCTCTTTAGCTTACTGATTTAATGACAACTAGTTAGCTGATTTGGTAGCTCATTACCTTGGCTTTCTTCGAATAACACATCAGAAACATGTGGCATGCACCTAGTTTTTTAGATATGCTATCCGAATTGAGAGGACTACAAATCGGGCATTTTGTCCTACCCATAGAGCATAACGCCCATACGAGTCGTGTTACGAGATGTACTAGGTATATTCCACACTTGTGTGCACACTTATCGCCGTTGATCAAATCATCGCGTCGGTACGAGAAAGTAGATATGCGTGTACTTAACCAGACACAATTCAAGGATCATTTCAAAACCGAAAAGCTCACTTTCAATCAAAGTTTCAATGTAAGTTCCAATCTAGGTTCTTCAATCTAGGTTCCTCAATCTAGGTTCCAATCAAGGACCCAACTAGGATCGTTTTCCCACCCAGTCTTTTCTTCGTTCTTTTTCAGTTTCACACATTCCGTCCAAGGCCATATAGGTATAGGCTCAAAACTCAGGCTCCAAAAATACAACGCCCGCGATTTGAAGCGTGACTAAAGGAAATCGGTCCTCCATTTTAGAATCCGCAATACCCTCCCCCGGGTGACCTGCAGCGCTCTCAGCTATTTGTTTCTGCACAGGTGAAGTCTCTGAACGGGGCACTGCAGGTCACAATCTACTGTGCGCAGAGCCGCCGCCCGTGCTCACCCGTCTCGGCCCGGATAAAGCGCCGTGAAGATCCCGGTTTTCCACAGCAGCCTGTTCCTGGACCGGTCGCCCTCGATGAGGACTAGATCGACGAAGTCGTTGAGAGCCAGGGGCGTCGACACCGGTCCGACTTTTCCGACTAGTCGGACCACTTTTTCGACTAGGCGGTGCCCTGCTGTGGCTCGCGGGGGCCCTGCTGCGACCGCGGGAGCCCCTGCTGTGGCCGCGGGGGCCCCTGTTGGGGCTCTCGGGGCCCAGCTGCGGCCACGGGGGCCCCTGCTGCGGCTCGCGGGGGCCCCGTTGGGGCTCTCGGGGGCCCTGCTGCGGCCACGGGGCCCCTGCCGGCCACGGGGGCCCCGCTGCGCCTCGCGGGGGCGCTGCGGCTCGCCCCCCCCCCTGCTACAGAATGCGGGGGCCCTGCTGCGCCTCTGGGGCCCTGCTAGACACCGCGGGGGCCCCTTCTGCGGCTCGCGGGGGCCCTGCTGCGACCCGCGGGTGCCCTGCTGCGACTACGGGGCCCCTGGTGCGGCCACGGGGGTCCCTGCTGCGGCCACGGGGGCCCCTGCTATAGAATTCGGGGGCCCTGCTGCGCCTCTGGGGCCCTGCTAAACACCGCGGGGGCCTATACATTTGTATACTCATGTATGTATGTAAATGTACGTTGGGAAGCCGTTCGATACCTGGGGGCCCCCACCGGTGGGGCCCCCCGAGAAAAAGTCGGACCAGTTTTCCTTACGCGTCGACGCCCCTGTTGAGAGCGTTTGTCTCCGCATGACCTCGCTCGATGTAATCCTGGATAGCGTCATCATATTTCTTCAGTCGCTTGTTTCTTTTGAGCGAGGCTTCGCAAGCTTCCAGCCGAGTGAGTGCATGACGTTCGTTAGTTGGTAGCTGTGTCTTCCCATCTTCCTTCCAGGGCCAGCGAGTCTCATATCGCCCATCTGGGAGGCGACTGCACGTAGGTACCGTAGAAATGTTGCATGATATCATCTTCTTTTTTGCAAGCTTTATCCGCTCATGTGGCACTAATTCCGATGCCCTCCAAGCTCCATAGGGCCTCAAGCTGGCTTCTCGCTTCCGTTTGCCGGGCTTATATGAAGTTCGAAATGACTAGAGCTGAGCCTCCGACTCCGGCTCTGGCTTTATTTCCATAATCGACTCCGACTATAAGTTAAGTATAAGGTGAGGTAATTATAAGGTAGGTTAAGTAAGTGTAAGTAAGTATATAATGTTAGTATATAGTTACCCAGTACCCACCCCGTGGGGTAAGACGCCCTTTTGCAAGACTTTTTTAACACGCGCACCGACGGGGGGCGGATATCCGTCCCCCTCCTGAGGTTTTTTGCCGCGGCGCGTAGCGCCGCGAAATTTGGTACGACTATTCTCTCATCAATTTTACACATAGTGTGCAAGTTTGAACCTCCTAACGTTTTAGGTCAGGTCACCAGTCACTTTGAATGACCCAACCTCAAGTCACTTTTTTGCAACTTTGTCACCGTGCCAGAGCTACAGTAGATGTCGGAGGCCTTTGAAAGTCGCAGGATGTTATAAGGTCATTATTAGCTACAATTTGTATATCTCAGAATTTTGATGTCGGTGACGTAAGGTCAGGTCAATTTCGCGACCTCCACATTATACCTAAGTCAATGGGGAAAAAATCAACTCCCTGTTTTTACCACTAAAACGGGTCCGAATGGCCCCATTTACCATACATGACTTCATATACGATCAACCTTCACTACCTTGAGGTCTGTTTTGCTGTTGGGCAGCTGTAAGGTCATGTGACGTCATCAAAGGTCACCAGCGGTTTTTTGCCAATAACTCCGTACAGGTACAAGATACAGCCGCTAGGATGGTCACATTATGTTCAGCTCGTCAAGACGCATGGAATGATATATATGATGACTTCGAGGTCACGTGACCTGAGGTCAACCTTTGACCTTGATCTTTCGAGGTCAACATATATATCATTCGATGCGGATTGACGAGAGGATTACGATGGTGCCCTTAGTTTGTTCCTATCTTGACTAGTTCGAAAGTTATTCGAGAAAAACTCTCCCCATATCTGGCGCCGCCATTTTGACTTTTTTTACCCCTGTGACGTCATCTTTGACCTGACCTGAAAATGACCTTAGTAAAAATTGTAGACCTTGTCCGTGCATATCCGATGCCGTTTACCGCTTGTCGCTATCTTGCTTTGTTCTCGAGATCTCAGGGGAGGGGGGCGGTCATCCGCCCCCCCGTCGGTACGAAGTTGGCGCAGACCCCCGTCGGTGCGCGGGTTAAAACATCTGTCTCGCTCACTACATAGGTGATAATGCACAATTTCCAGCTCGCAAAGAAAGAGAAATAGTTGGTCTATTCTAATGCACACACATTTCCATGGTGGATGCGATTATGCGGCGAGTGTATGCATTTTCCCTTAAAGGTAGTGTGCCAGCTTTCTTGGACCATATGGAGTTAATGACCCGGATAAGGAGAACCGGATTTTTAGAACTTATCCATACCTTCAAAACTTATGGAAACGTCTTAAATTCTTCAAATTTTGAGTACCCCAGTGCGAAATTCGCCCCGACGGGTTGTCGGTCGTACCCCAACCACATTTCACACCACTATGAACAATAAATGCACACACTAAAATCGCTATTACCGATAGGCTCATCCAATCAAGTTTCGATAAACCCGTTCATCATCATCTCCTGCGGTTTCGAACACGCCTGTTAGGTGGCTTCTGATGCTCGTCGAGGTCGGAATTTCCAAATACGCGTGGTGCGTCGGGCCGCGCGCTCTGACTTCGGCCAAGAAAAATGCGTCAGCTGATCATTGTCATTTCTGCCACTTGCGTGTGGTGTAATGGGGTCATGACTTAAGAGACGGCTGTTTCATATCAATTATTTTACATAAAATCATATTTCAAACCACAAATTAATGTTCGACAGCCAAATTTAAGAAACAATACCAATACAGGCTTACAGTTTAACCCTCGCCGGCCGAGGGGGGGGGGGGGCGGGTGCCGCCCCCCATAGGGTTTTTTCGCGATAGCTCCGAACACGCTGGCGATAGAGAGCTGAAACTTGGCATACCTGACCTTTGATCCAAGCCGGATCTTTTGACACCAACCGCATTTTTGGGTCAGGTCAGGTCACTGACCTATGACGTCATAAGTGAACCTCTGCACGGTCTTCAGATGTCGTAACTTCGCAACGCCCTCACTGCCAGAGGAGATGTCACAGGGAAATGAAACTTGCAGGATCTAGTATCCATTATGAGTCCCACAACTTGTATACCTCAGATTTTTCCTAAAGGTCAAATGAGGTCAGGTCATTTTCGTGACCTCACCATTATAAGTCAATGGGGAAAAATTCAAACTGCTATTCTGGCGCCGGGAACGATCTCCAACTATCTCAAGCACACAGAATCGTGATTTGATGCACTCCTTGCAAGGTTAGATGCGTCACTTTTGCAATGTTGACCTTGCGTGACGTCATTTATGACGTCATCAAGGTCATATTAGTTTTCGTCAATAACTCTTGATCAAATTGAGCTAGCGAGTCGGGAAAGCCACCAATGGACTCAGGAAGACCTACCGAATCGAATGATATGCGACATGACCTCTTTCGACCAACTTCGTGACCTGGGGGTGACCTGCTGACCTGACCTTGACCTGAGGTCAACACCCCAAGTTGACCTGACCCGGACAAAAAGTATATCATTCGACGCGCCTGAGCGAGACGAACACGATGCTGCCAAAATCGGCGCTCTGCGACCGTTTTTTGCGAAGTTATTCACCAAAAACTGAACCGTACCTTGGGGCACTTGACCTGACCTCAGAGGTCACCGGTTGACCTAGGACCTTAAAATCGGGTACCAATCTCTGCGTCTCGTAACGGCGCACACGCTCGTTTTTTCCTCGACGCGCTAGCTCCACCAGGGGCGAAACGGCGAGGGGGGGGTCGTACCCGCCCCCCCCTCGGCCGGCGCGTATGTAGAAACCAATAGGTCCGGCGAGGGTTAAGGCTCGACATTGTGTTGTCTACGATTAGACAGCTGATAACTCATTCCCGTACGTCGTATGGTCGTAACACTATAATGACCTTTGCTTATTGTCACAAGTGCGCCGCATTCGCGATTGTTGCCCGACGCCTGTTTGCAGGTGAGCCCACTACAGTTGTTATACATATCTAAAAACCGATAAACTGTTAGGCGAAAAAGGCACTATTCCAGGCCCATTTTTGATTTTTTTGCGATATTAGGTAAAAACAGAAGCTTCTTATCCTAGGAAAAATAAAACGGGAAATCTTTCAAAGGTGGCACACTACCTTTAAAGGAACTATCCCACCTTCTAAAATGTTGTTAAAACCAGTTAAATTGTGCCCGACTTTATAGATTGGATGACCAGAAACACGGTTCTGGCATTTATTTTTCATTAAACATCTTAGGCTTCCCATATTCCAAACACAAACTTTCAAATATGTGACGTCACAGCCCAAAATTACCTCCTTCCCCAGGCCACATTACTGTCATAAAGCTGATTCTTTTTACTCTGTAGGCACCACAACAAAGTTCAGACCAAGTTTTAAGCGATTTTTCAACGAACAAACCCATTTAAATCAGAATGACTAAACGAGGTGACGTCACACTAACGGTCGCTCCATGTTGAAGATAGGGCCTTGTACAAGGCCCATTTTCAAATGAAGGGAACGAATTTCTTCAACACCAAGAGGCCGCGGGGGTTGCAACCTAGATAGTGGTTTCTGAACCTCGCCGCAAACTTGGCTATCTCAACTCAAACCCCATGTTAAAGGTGGGATAGTCCCTTTAAGGGGAGCGTCGTACCCCGCTCTCCCCTACTTTTGTTATTTTTTTTCGGGGCCCTCGCTGTTCCTACGGCGTCATTTCGAGGCAATCATGTGGTATTTAAAAAGCGCGGCATTTACGGCAGATGTTGCGCGCAAATAGCATATATACCTACTATCACTGCTTCACAAAGATGTTTGTAGGTATAAGGTTTTAAAATCGCTAGATCTGCGCTAACATCAAAAATTCAGAGGGGACATTCAAATGCATTGGCCCATCTGAATCCAATGTGCTGCAACTTTGAACTTAAATATTTCCGCATTGAAGCCTTTCTCGACATTGTGAGTGCTCAAACCAGTAACTAGTAAGTGCGAGCCAGGGACCCCAATTTTGCTATCTCAACTCAAAACTAATATTAAGGTGGGATGGTCACTTTAATCGCGAGGGATTGGGTATTCCAAGCCCATTGCGACACCTTACAGTGTTCTGTCGTAAGTGCCAGGTGATGCTGAAGTGGTCTCGTAATGCACTAACCTGGCCAGCAGCAGGATAATGGCGACCAGCAGGCCGGTCACCATCACTATGACGTAGCTGAGCGCCAAACACATGCGCGGTCCATCGTCCACCGGGAACATTGATGGCTGCAGGAGCATGCACAGACGAATCATAAATCGTATTAATGTATCATATAGGTATGTCTCCATTGTTACTTATGCATTCATGTGGGCTAGGCACTGGATGGGACCCACGCGTCTCAGGCCTAGCGGAAAGGATCAGTGACACACATCGCCAGGGAGGATCAGTGACACACAGGATCAGTGACACGTGTCGCTAGGGAAGAGCACCAGCGTTCTCACCTGCGCGGAGGATCCAAAGCGCGAATGATGATAGGTCCCACCATGGTCTGTTTTCCAGCCGAGTCACGAACTATCGTCACCTCGTACAGGGCGTTCTCGTCCAGCTCTTCCAGCACCACTGTCGTGCCAAGGGATACGCATTACACATGATCGCATTTCACACGGAGGTTTGTACTTAGGTTATAGGTACAGGGCTCGCGGGTTTTAGCGGTAGGTTTTGCACCTAGAAAATTTAGTGTACTTCAGGCTATATCTTCGTCGTCTTAAGCTTTTAACCCGGCGGCCGCTGGGCCTCCGCGCCACCCGCCGGCCGCTGGGGGGCATATAGTTGCCCCCCTTTACTTCTGCGACGATATCGTCGCAACGCGAAGAGATAGAGAAGCGAAACTTTGCACACATCTTCCTGAATACCTAGCCGAGGTTGTGTCCAAATTTGGTGTCGATCCCATTTGAAATGACGTCACAGTGACGTCATAAGTGAAATTATAGATTTGCGACTCTTATATTCCTCACGATACATCAGATATATGGGACCGAATATAAAGGGTCGATTATTGGCCAGAAACTAGATGGAAGTGTAGTTAGATATTTTAGGATGACAGCAGGTGCTGTCTAGTTCATTTACAGTTGAGTTTCATACTCAGCGTCATCAGAAACGGTCCTTATCGGAAAACGACAAAACTTTATGACGTCACTGTGACGTCATCTTAGGTGCTACAACCACTAAACTTTCCTCAAACATTGCCTAGGTATTCATTTGAAGCTATGCCAAGTTTCACGTTCGTAGCTCATCAGGTTTCGGAGATATTTACAAAACGTAAAGGGGGGGGGGGCAACTTTATGCCCCCCCAGCGGCTCGTGGGTTAAGTGTTGAAGATGCGATCGACTTGTTGGGTAACAAGCCGGCCATGATCGTGTAAAATGGCTTCATCGTAGATCGATTAGTTTCTGAGATATAACCGGAAATGTAAAAGTGCAAAACCTACCGCTTAATCTCGCGAGACCTGTACATACATGCATTACATCCATCCGGGTATTCAGCACTGAAAGGGCTGAACAGTGTAGGACATATACCTATAGGTAGTATGTCTACGCGCTAACAATGGGGGTGCAGAGACCACACCAACCAGCTGTTCTTATCCCAAGAAAACAGCTGGAGAACTAAACCCCAGCAAAATTATGTTTGAGGCATTTAGCAGCTAGTTGACATCAGCTGATATCTTTGACGTGCTAAATCGTAATCGGACCCATAGCGCGCTGGAGGCAGCCGTGGATGGTCCCTCTGCAAGTCATACCTGGTGGTGACTTGTAGGTGTCGCTGGTGGCGGCGCGTTTGATGCGAACGTCGTGGCCGGTCCCTGGCGGCGCCTGTCTCGGCGCCGCCGGGGGTAGGCGGCGGGCGCTTGTACACGGTCACCAGGTAGGAGGCCGACCACGCCTCCGGCACAATCCAGTCGATGCGGATGCGAGAGCTGCTCGGCTCGATGCGGAGGTCACTCTCCCGGAACTCTGGCAACGTTACTGCCGGGAGCAGAGGACTACTGTCAACAAGCATCCGGCATCCGACTCACGAGTTAATTGATAGATGGTCATGGGCCACCTCTACATTGTCCAACTACCGAAGTCTACATGGTCAAACTACCTAGAACTTGTGATCTTACACCCGGATATGATGTTCTTTTTAACCCGGCAGTCGCTGGGGTATTTCACTCGCCACTCGCCGCCACTCGCCGTTTGCTGGGGGGAGGGTGGCGTTAAACGCCTCCAGCCGATAACTGAAGAACCAATAGGCCCAGCGAAATGCACGAAGCGGCAAACGAAAGAACGCGACGAGACGCTTCAGGTGAGTACTTGAAAGTAGTTGGATTTCGAGGTCACAGGTCGGGTCAAAGTCAGGTCAAACACCTGAAATCGGGTTTTCAATAGCATGGACTTCAGCACCTCGTAATGAGTGCCTATCGTCATAAACTCTGTCAAAACTGTACACAGTCCTTCATAAAAGGCCTAGAAGAGTGTCAGATCCATGTAGGGGTCAATGAAACATAGGCCAGGGACAAGGTCAGGTCAATCAGGTAAGCACATATCCCCGAAATGAGAACTGTTATTCGCAGTCTATTTACACATGTTTTATGGGTAATTTTGGGCGTACAACACGATGTTGACATTCATTTTATCATACGATTACGTGTTTGGTAAAAAAAGTGAAGTTAATAATGCATGCATTATGGTCGTGAAGTACCTAAATACAAAAAAAAATGCCAAGATTTAGTTCGAGATTTGGAAAATGTGGAACGATAATCGAAAATCCAAGATTGCTATTTGATTGTTCATGGTATTGGCAGTCTAGCGGTAGGGGGGAGTGGGGAAAGATGCCCAGGGTTTTGCTATGTCATATATTATTCGAGAATTACGATCGGAAATAAAAAACTTGGAGTTTCAACGGAAGCCGACATCATTTTTCTTAAAAAATATCACACTTTCGTGCCTGAAATATGAAAACTTATTTGCTATTAAGCATTTTCCTGAAGAAGTGAAAGGGGGCATCTTACCCCACAGGGTGGGAAAGACGCCCCCTGGGGTTGGGGAAGATGCCCCCTGCACTATAAGTGACATAAATGGGCACGTGAATCGCCTGAACGAATCAGTAGTCCCTTCGAGCCTGCAGTAGACACCAAACGTCATCGTAAGGGCCCTCAAAAGTAGTCGTAAGGGCTTCAGAGGTCATCGTTAGGGCTATCATAGTCCAGCGCGGCCAAACAAACCTCCGTGGTGGCGTTCGGAGACCACTGTGGGGCCCTTATAGGTCTTCATGATGCTTGAGGGCCCTCGAGCCCATCGTGGGGACCTCAGATGCCAGCGCGGCCCGTGGAGCCAACGTGGGAGCCCTCAAAGGATGTCGTGAGGGGCCCTGGAGCCAATAATGGGACCCACAGAGGCCGTCGTGAGGGTTCTCAGAGTCAGATGCCGCCCAAAAAGTCGCTGTGTGGGCCGAGAGACCGGCATGGGGAGCACTCGACCGTACTGAACTCTCAATAGTCCCAGATCGGCTTTTGTCTCTCATCACAAGTATGTAATAAATTATTTGACGGGCTGCTTGAAGGACAGCCTACGGATTTAGGGGGGCGTCTTTCCCCATCAGGGCAGGGGGCATCTTACCCCAAGGTACCGAATTAACGTTTTATCAGTACAATTTGTTAGCCCTAAAACTACACCCTGAAACAAACTGGCTGGGACACAGTACACGCATGCTAATGTATCACGACTATAGCAAGGGACGCAAAAATTGTCTACCTTCTTTGATATTTACAATGTTTTGACACCAAAATATTTTTTGAAAGCAGCAAATAAAAAACATGCAATCACCAGCCAGCCGTTGCCCAACTGAGCTTCGCAAATTTTTGTGCAGTTAACAAGGCAGGCTTCCGCTTTACGCTAAGAACATTAATTTCCAGGTTTGATTCTTTGTTTCGCCGCTAGAGGGGGTGGGGCGTCTTTCCCACCCTGGGCATCTTACCCCACTCTCCCCTACAGCTTTTACAGCATATCTGTATTTGTATCCTGTGGTTTTAGATGCTTTTTTGAACAAAGTGCCGTTTTCGGTCGAAAACTCAGAAATTATGACGTCACTAAAACCTCAATATCTTTTTTTTTAATTTCGTCACAATCAACTGCAATCAATTACCTACAGGTACCCAAAATTAGCCCGCACCCCGTAGGGCTATCGGCGGACCCTACCAACCGTAGGGGGGGGGGCAGTTTCAGCCCCCTAAGATCTCGGAAAGTTACCGGCCGATTTTCAAAATTCAAACGGCGTTGGATAGCCCATACAGGGAACTACCTTGTGACCTAATTTCATTGACCTCAGCCTAACCGATGACGTTACAGGTCAGGTCAAAAGTCGAATTTTCACCGTTTACAGGCGTTTCCAGAAATGTATTGTAAAATCGAGTAAAAAGGAATAGGGGAGACCCGGAAGGTATGGGCCAGTTTTGTGAAAAGGCAATTTTCTTCCAGTGGGCAGGGGCTAGACCCGGTTTTTCACTCTGTGTACGTGACATTGCATTTCGCCTGCAAAGTGTGCCTGATATTAGGCATCTGGGACCAACTATTTTGTCTCGAGATAACTTTCAATAAATCATGCACTTTTTCGATCCATCAAAATACACCGGGAGGTATGGGCCACGGTCCGGGAGGTATGAGCCGGTGCCATGTTACATATTCTTCTCTCGACAATGAGAACAATACTCGTAGCTGGTATCTACCTTGATATCTCTTAGAGTTCAGGAACTGCATAAGCGGCCAACAGCTTACTTCATGGAGGTCACTACGGCACATATGTATTTTGGTAAATTCAATCATGCTCTACGAAATAAGATAAATAATACTTTTTTCTGTTCAAATGAACTTTGTAGTTACATTTTTGACCTTGCGCGACAAAAATTGAACTTATTGAAGAGGACATTTAATGAAAAAAGCATCGTTTCATTGATTTAGGATCAACGGGGGTCGGTGGCCCGAACGTCCCGAATAGCACGCCAGAATGTGTAGCATCTTAGCTCATAATCTTGCAAAAAAGCTTCAAATTTTCTACCCAGTCTTAATTTGCATGCTTTAAACTTGATGTTAGCGATGGTCTGACATAATTAAACGAGCCTGGCTCAAATTTATCACGAATTTTCTGTATCTACCGTAATTTACTCGAAGAGGGCAAAAACACTTTCTTATCGCTCATTGCCAAAGAAGACCGAGGAAGATTATGGAAATCACGTGGGTTGTATAACGGAATGGCTGCTACCAGTTTACGCGGCCAAATGTGTAAAAATATGCAACACTTCTTCAAAACTGCGATGGCCCATACCTCCAGAGGGCCATGCCTCCCTAGTCTCCCCTACCATTGCAAATCATCGATGAGGAATTGTCAGTCAAACATATCTTTTGCTATTTGAGGTCACTGATAACAGGTCAGGTCACAGAGGTCAGGTCACTGAGGGTCACAATATGAAGTGTCGTGTGGTGGTACGGGGACCCGCAGTTGCTACTGTACACGAACCCCAACTCTAGCCGTCTGTCCTGCCTAGTAACAACCGATAACATTGATATCGACTGCCAGTCCTGACAGCTTATCGTTGTTCCCTGTGAGGGTGCTGGGACAATTTACTCAGGGTCGCTGTACAGTAGCAACTGCGGGTCCCCGTACATGTTTTATTGTTCATTTTACATGAAAAATGCGATTGTGTGGGTTAGGCGACCTTTGGGGCCAGTTAAGGTTACGTTCTGGTGAAGGTCAGGTCAAGGTCAGAAGTTAATATTTTTACCTAACATGGGTAGGTATCAATTCGATGCAGCTTGTCACGGGGAGTCTAATGGTGGTCTTTGTTTGTGCTAGGTGGTCTAGAATTTCTAAAAATTGAGTTTGAACATTCGACGTCATCAGTTTTGAACAGCTTTTTCACTATAACTTGGCCAAAAAAGAGATACCGATCTGAATTTCGGTATGTAAACAGAACACGGTATTGACTATGATATAGGTATACCGTCTTTTTGAAATTCGAAAAAAACTTTTTAGATTTTTTGGCTATTATATCTAAAAAATGACTTTTATTTAAGTGAGTCAAAATCCAAAAATTTCAAAAACCGGATATAGCAGTGTTGTAGTACTGTTTATTCCACACCTTTTATGTCTAGAATATTTTCCTGTATCTTTAATGTTGTAGGGCTGACAACTCTTCCCGCGAAACCTTTTTTGGGTCGAAAATGGCAGAACATGACGTAATTCTGACGTCACTTGCGGCCAACCTATTATGGCCTCTAGAAACCTTTTTGGTCACAATATGTAAAATTCATGCTCGGAGGAGTCTTGAAAGTTTGGTGACGATATCTGCTGCCGTTTGGGAGATATCTACGGAAAAGGACTTTTCGCCCCCTCCCCCCGTACGGGGCGCGGGTTAAGCGTGCCTGCGGCGCGCCATTTTTATGCTATAGCGCGGCGAAAAAAGTGGGGGCGCTTAACGCCCCCCTCTAGCAACTCGCAGGTTAAGTATCAGATATAAAATACTGCATAAGCTACATAGATCTCTCAACTTGCCTGTTATGTTGGTGCTGCACATGGCCTGCATTTCTTGATCGCAGCTGCTCGTGGAGGCCTGGATGCCGCTGCGGTCCTGCTGCACATACGTGCATGGCTTTAGGACTGTCGGCTCGGAAAACTCCACGTCGGACTCTGCAGCGGCGTCCATTTCGGTAAAGTTCTCTTCGGCTGTGTTCACCGCCAGATCCTCAGAGAGCAGCTCGGCCAGTGGGTCCGAGGTCGGCTCAGGGGGCGGCTCCTTGAAGCCGGGTAGCAGCTCAACATCTCCGGGCTCTGAGCGTCGGGTCAAGTCACGGCGGCGACGTCGCTTCTCCCGTTGGACGACCCAGAAGCTCTTGTTCAGCACGAGAGAGATGTTTTTGACCAGCTGGTACTCCTGCAAAAAACAATATTCAAACTAAAGCGGAATGACGGGCGCAGTTCGCATGGCATAGTGCCTCCGTAATTGCAACCGCAAAACCAGGGATGCGGAGCCGTGGAAATTTTAGACGGCTCCGGCTCCGGCTCCGGCTCCGGGTGAAATGTCATGGCGGCTCCGGCTCTGGCTCCGGCTCAGAGTACAATGGCTCGGCTCGGGCGGCTCCGGCTCCGGCGGCTCCGGCTCCGGCTCCTACTCAGTACGTCCCCTATGCGATCAGTTAATTAAATACGGGTGGAAGAAATAAGGCGATGGGATTGTTACACGTTGCTTCTGTATTTGCATACAGGGTGACACAAAAAAAAACGGTCATCACCAAATTTCGAATAACTTCGGAAGTTTTATTCAGATCAGCACCAAACTTCGGTCACTTAAGGTCACACCTATGTAGCATACATCCACCAAGTTTCAAGTCTTCACTACGAATACTTTTAGTACAGTGTGTGTTTTACTGACGCTCCACAATGTGCTCCAGGTGAGCGCCACGGCGCTGCAGGGCGTAGGCACACTTGCATCCGGCGGGCAAAGTTGTCGATAACCCGATGGCTGTGCACTTTACAGAGTGCAATGGCCTCTGGAGACACTGCTCAGGGGTGTGCTACCCCTGAAACGTTATTCTTATCGGGTTATCGGCAACTTTGCCCGCCGGATGCAGGTGTGCCTACGCCCTGCAGCGCCGGGGCGCTCACCCGGAGCACATTGTGGAGCGTCCGTAAAACACACACTGTACTAAAAGTATTCGTAGTGAAGACTTGAAACTTGGTGGATGTCTGCTACATAGGTGTGACCTAAAGTGGCCGAAGTTTGGTGATGATCTGAATAAAGCTTCCGAAGTTATTCGAATTTTGGTGATGACCGCTTTTTTTGTGTCACCCTGTATAACAAGGCTATTTTGAATGCCACATTGTTTTACGCCTTGTACTGTCAAACCGAACTAGGTAAATATTTTTTCCTCTTAAAAAAAGAAGCCGGAGTCGCCCCGTTTTTTGACGGCTCCGGCTCCGGCTCCGGCTCCGGGCTATATGTATTGTTTCACGGCTCCGCCTCCGGCTCCGGGCAAAATATGCCGGCTCCGGCGGCTTCGGCTCCAGCTCCGCATCCCTGCGCAAAACACGTTGTTGCAAGACATACATGCATACATACCTACATGCTCATATGCTCACCTCTCTGGTGGCGATGGGGGCCACCCACGGGCGAGCCCTCAGGCTGGCGCTGGCCGGTCGGGCGTCGCCGCTGGTGTCGCACGTGGACAGAGCCTCTGAGTATGTCGCCGCCTCCTGGGACGGCCAGAAACAGAGGGCGCCCAGCTGATACTCGCCGGACATACAGGTGGGCCCTGTACAGCATGCAGGGCGTCCGTTACAGTCAGCCATGGCAATCACCGGAGCGGTGGCGCCTAAACACATTGACATGATGAATAAATGATCCCTCACACCACAGGTAAGGAATGACCACAGGTACTATTCGTAGTCCTCGTTATGACTTTAGACGCCCAATAACAGTACCCCGAGGCCAGACGTCGCTAAGGTGTACGGCGTGGTTAATAGAGGTGATCTGAGCATTGTTGGGTCGTGCGTCGCCGTGGCCTACTGACCGGCGCTGAATGCCACGTAGTCGGTGGTGTGGTTGGAGTCGGCGTCGAACAGCGCCAGCAGGTAGCGGGCGCCCAACTCCAGGCCCGACCAGCGGATGTTGTCGGACGGCTGGCGCCGCGCTCGGTCCGTGCTCAGCCTACTCAGCGGCTCGGCAGTGGCCGCCCCGACAGCGCTCGCCGCGCCGTCAGCTTCCAGATCCGCAGCCCGCTGGGCGGCGGCTGGCCGCCACAGTTAGGTCAACAACGCAGAATACCCAACAATTACCGGGGTTACATGAGCGATCCGTTCCAAATACGTACTACGGTAATGCGCATCAGCTCCCAAAAACGTATCTACGGCACCGGTTACATGAGACTAATTCGTTTTATCTACGTCAAACGGATCTTGTTTGGCTCACTCCTCGACGGCCGGTTATTCGCATCACAAACGGAATAGGATTAGCGTACAGTAATGGCGCAGTTGCGGCATTTACCGGGACGACTGAACGAAATTTTCAATATTCATATCATTTGATAGGCTCAAAAACATTTAAAATTAACATGAAATCAAAAAATGAAAACAAAGTTTCCTTGTTTTAAATCACTGGGCACTGATTCACCATGCAGCGACAGCAGGGTGGTCAGAAAAAAATTATCCATCAAAATATTTCATTCATTTTATTTTTGATCTTTATCAAATTCACCTTCAAAGACTAAACCAAAATACCAACTTTTTTTGTGTGCTATTTTCTACGAGGCAGCAAAAAAAAAAATGCTTAGTATTTTGCATTTTGACGCTTCCATTCAGCAAAGAATAGTTCTTGTGAAATACGGCCCGAATCGTGTGCCTCGGTTACATGAGCGATCCGTTCCAAATACGTACTACGCTAATTCGCATCAGCTCCCCGAGAACGCATTCAGTGCACCGACTACATGAGCAAATTCGTATCAGTGACGTCAAACGGATCTAGTTTGGCTCTCGGCCTGACGGAAGGTAATGCGCACTACAAACGGAATAGCATACAAATGTGGCGCATTTCCGTAGCAATAGAGGTGACTGAATTAAAAATTTATTATCTTATGTCTTTTTTGCATTTAATCTGCTCAGATCATTCTCAATTAACTTAACAAAAAAAAGTTGAACATAAAGTTGTCTTGCTTTGACTCATTGGGCACTTGCCTCTCTTGATTCGTCTGTAGTGCTGTCAGAATTTTTTTTTCAACTGAAAGTACTTAGATATTTACTTTTTGGTTTTCTCTATATTTATTTTTGAAAACTTGACAAAATACCGACATAATTTTTTAATTATTATTTCAAAAGAAGAAAATGAAAGAAGTACCTATAATTTTGCATTTTAATGTTTCTTTTTGGGAAGAAATAGTTCCTGTAATACGTATCTTGGTCCTATTCGCTTCTAAACCTCCTTTCTCAGCGGATTTTGTTCGGACCGCCGATTTATACTAGCAGGTGGCTACATGAGTCGGTAATGCGTTCCTAATTCGAATAAACGGCTAAATACGTATTTACTGTGCTCATGTAACCCCGGTAAATGTAGGAAAGACTGAGCCAAAATATATCAGGGTTTCTAACCTGGGTACGGGCGTCGTCCCACGGGTTGTGTCGGCCTCGCACGACGCCATTGCTACATTATATGTATGGAAACTCTTGCGGAGGGGAGAGGATACGGATTTTTTGCTCCCGTCCGAGCGAGCAACGTTATAGCCGGTCCCCGTTTCCCGGCTACTTCGGCGGCCGCTAACGTTGCCGTGTCCGTTCGGTACGTTACTGTCCAGTGTCCACCGGCGGACATAGCAACACTAGCGCCAGCCCGCAAGCATATAGCGGCCGGTGTCGGAACTAACGGGCCCCGTGGCCCGTTAGTTCCGCTAGTAACGGGCCCCGTCTATACACTGACGGCGAAGGCTCCGCAGACAACAGAGTGTATTTCATATAATCTAATATAGGCGGCGGAACGGGGGGGGGGCGCACCGGGGTACCATGCCCCCTTGATTTTGGCATTTTAACATTAGCCCTATGGGCGTTGCATGGAAACAATGGGACCAAAAGTCGGCAGTGCCCCCCCCCCCCCTAATTGAAGGTGTTCCGCCGCTACTGTAATCTAACCAAGAACGAATGCCAAATATTAAGATGCCCCAACGGAATTTTATTCTTTGAACAATTCTGAATCGATTGGTACCACACTCTTTCTATCATAATGTTGCAGCTCGTCGGACTCGGGATTTCTACACTCCCCCGCGCGAATGTTCGCCATGTAGGTAGGCACCCACTAGGCAATGCATATCCATGTGCCAGAGTTGGGGTATGCTGCACGTGCGCACGTGCAGGGCCCAGGGGTCGTTTCCAGGTCTCGAGAACGGCTGGACCGATGGCGTCCAAATTTGGTACACGGTTAGGGAGCAGTTAGTAGAGTGCCGTGCACAAGTCCCATTCTGCACGTGCGCACGTGCAGGTTGCCGCTTCCAGATCTCGAGAACGGCTGGGCCGATTGTGCTCAAATTCGGCACATCGCTAGAGACGGGTGCCATGCACAAGTAAGTTGGAGATACCCCCTGGAAATTTCGGACGTGCAAGGCTCGCTTCCATGACAAAATATCGAAACGCAAAATATCGAAGCGCAAAATATCGAACGCAAATTATCGAAAGCAAAATATCGAAGTCGCAAATTATCGAAATTGCAAAATATCGAAATCGCAAAATATCGAATTGCAAAATATCGAAATCGCAAAATATCGATTTCGCAAAATATCGAATCGCAAAATATCGAATTGCAAAATATCGAAATCGCAAAATATCGAATAGCATAATATCGAAAGCAAAATATCGAAACGCAAACTATCGAAACGCAAAATATCGAAACGCAAAACATCGAAAGACAAAATATCGAAAGACAAAATATTGAAAGACAAAACATCGAAAGACAAAATATCGAAAGACAAAATATTGAAAGACAAAATATCGAAAGACAAAATATCGAAAGGCAAAATATCGAACGCAGAATATCGAAAAGACAAAATATCGAACGCAAAATATCGAAAAGGCAAAATATCGAACGCAAAATATCGAAAAGGCAAAATATCGAACGCAAAATATCGAAAAGACAAAATAACGAACGCAAAGTGTCGAAAAGGTAAAATATCGACTTGAAATGGCCCTCTGCGGACTCCTTAGAGCTCTGTCGAACTCATCGGGCCCTCCGTTATCTGTAGGCCTCAAAGAGCAATCAGCGGGTCCATGACAGACTTGGAAAACTCTGATATTGTTTTGTACCTAGATCTCAGCAGTGGCGGCGGAAGGTAATTTCGGATGAGGGTGCAAAGTTTTCTCAAGGGGCCTCTCTGGAAGTTTCGCCCCCCCCCGATATGTGTTAGAGTGATTATCATTGCTTTATGAAAAACGAAGATTTTGGAAAACTATCCCCAAACACACAAGTTCTGCAAAATATTTGAAATTACAGTGTACCTAACTCAAATAAAGCATAACGAAGCAAATGCAGATAGTTTTTATCATCTAATCTTGTTTTAGTCTCGCCACCACCCTCAGCATCTCAACCCACTTTTCTGGATCCGCAGTGGACCATTAAGGGCCCTACGAGACCGTTCTTAGAAGACCGTGTTTAAAGGGACTATCCCACCTTCTAAAATGCTGTTAAAACCAATTAAATTGTGCCCGACTTTATAGATTGGATGACCAGGAACATGGTTCTTGCATTTATTTTTCATTAAACATCTTAGGCTTCCCATATGCCAAACACAAACTTTCAAATATGTGACGTCACAGCCCAAAACTACCTCCTTCCCCAGGCCACATTACTGTCATAAAGCTGATTCTTTTTACTCTGTAGGCACCACAACAAAGTTCAGACCAAGTTTTAAGCGATTTTTCAACGAACAAACCCATTTAAATCAGAATGACTAAACGAGGTGACGTCACACTAACGGTCGCTCCATGTTGAAGATAGGGCCTTGTAAATGTACAAGGCCCATTTTCAAATGAAGGGAACGAATTTCTTCAACACCAAGAGGCCGCGGGGGTTGCAACCTAGATAGATAGTGGTTTCTGAACCTCGCCGCAAACTTGGCTATCTCAACTCAAACCCCATGTTAAAGGTGAGATAGTCCCTTTAAAAACCCCTTGGAAACCGACCCCTTAGAGGCTCCTCCAGAGACCTACATGACTCCCCAGACCGAATGAGCCATCCGACCAGGGTCGGTCCCTCAGAAGTTGCTGAAGAGTTTCAGGAAGCAGTATACTCGTAGGCTCGAAAGGCTTTTGATGGCTCTCAGAGACTGGCATCGGACCCAAAAAAGCCTGTATGGTGACCCTCCAAAGCCTGGATGGCCACCAGGAGCCGATGATTAGCCTAAAGAGCCAGTATGGAGGACTGAATAGAGGAAAGGACTAGGAGTCTCAGTGGGGCCTTCAGGAGCAAGCGTTTGGGCCCCAAAAGTATGTGTGGGGTCTTAGAGGCAGGTAGGCCCCTGGAGCGTGCACGGGGTGGGACCCCGTGCGCTAGCGAGGTGGGAGCTAGCGTGTGAGCCCAAATATTCGACTGGCGGCTACTAGAACCTGCATGGGGATTCTTAGAAGCCGCTTAGACCCATATATGATGAGTCATGAGTCCCAAGAGTCGATGTAGGGGCCCTAAAAGCCGGTGTAGGGCCCATGGCCCCATAAGTTCCGGCGTTGGGACTCTCAGAGGCCGACGGAAGGGGAACCAAGAGCGGATAAAGTGATTCAACAAGCCGACATTTGGCCTGAGAATCAGTGTGGAATTCTAGGAGTCTGCGTGAGCTCTCGGAGACCTTCGTAGGGCCCACAAAGGTCGTTCTGAGTGCCCTCTGAATCTGAACTCTGCGGAGCCCTTAGAGGCCAGCATGTCCCCTGGCACCTGCCTGCGTTGATTTGAGACCCTCCGAGACCCTCCGAAAACTCTGGGTTGGATCCGCCTATGTTTGATAGCCCCGGAAGATCTGTCGAGCGAAACCTAATTTCGACAGAGTTCGACAGAGCTCTAAGGAGTCCGCAGAGGGCCATTTCAAGTCGATATTTTACCTTTTCGACGCTTTGCGTTCGTTATTTTGTCATTTCGATATTTTGCGTTCGATATTTTGCCTTTTCGATATTCTGCGTTCGATATTCTGCCTTTTCGATATTTTGCGTTCGATATTTTGTCTTTTCGATGTTCTGCGTTCGATATTTTGTCTTTTCGATATTCTGCGTCCCATATTTTGCCTTTTCGATATTTTGTCTGTTCGATATCTTGCGTTCGATATTTTGTCTTTTCGATATTCTGCGTTCGATATTTTGCCTTTTCGATATTTTGTTTTCCGATATTTTGTCTTTCGATGTTTTGTCTTTCGATATTTTGTCTTTCAATACTTTGTCTTTCGATATTTTGCGTTTCGATATTTTGCTTTCGATATTATACTATTCGATATTTTGCGAGTTCGATATTTTGCAATTCGATATTATGCAATTCGATATTTTGCGATGTCGATATTTTGCGATGTCGATATTTTGCGGTTCGATATTTTGCGATTTCGATATTTTGCGCATTCGATATTTTGCTTTCGATATTCTGCCACTTCGATAATTTGTCTTCGATATTTTGCTATTCGATATTTTGCTTTTCGATATTTTGTCCGGAACCCGCAAGGCTCACCCTCTCGCTCGCTCCGTTAGTCGCCCCAAAAGGCGCTTTACTGGTAATGATGTTTAGGATGCCCCAGTTGATTGCAATGCTCCGAAAAATTCTGAAGCGACTGATACCAGAAATAAGTACCTACATACATAGTAGATTGTCATCGGACTAACGTGTTTTTGTTAAAACAGTGATGCTGATGAACATTGTTATCTTCTACTCCCAAATTCCGGTGTCAATTTTTCATGAACATGGGTGAAAAGTACGTCAGAGTGAACGAACATTATTGAAAGCTATTGTAGTATACAGACTTTTTAGTTAATAGTTAAGTTTTCCCATAGAGCCGTTTTAATCCCAAGCTCGGCCTCCGCGAGACCTACATAGTTGCATTGAGTAGCCGAGAGTGGGCGCTACCGTCGCCGACTGGGCCGCAGCCAGTATACTGGCAAAAATCCAGCTGTTATGATATCGTTTGTTGGTAACTAAGTGTGACGTTCTTTCTAAATGCTCGCTGCATATAGAAACAACCGTTTAGTGAAGAAAATTATTTAGATTTTATTAATAATAAAGGTCTGATCCCCAATGTCCGCTTTTCTATGGAGTATGGACCGTAACGACCTACCCAGAGCCTGCGAGAGGGCCTGCACACTGGGCGAGGGCGGCTCAGCCACATCCATTCGCCGGAGGACCACGTCGGCGGCCTGGTCCCCGGCGCCGGCCACGACCTTCCGCTGCCAGACGGCCGTCAGCAGGCCGGAGCGGGAGATGGCCACACTCAGCGGCAGCAGCGACACTGAAACGGGCCCGGCCACCGTCACCACCAGCCCCCTGAGCACACTAGACGGCCGACACATGCACGGACAATTTCGAAATATCTGAAATCCCGTTAGACATTTTATACTTTTCCGCACATTGTTTGCACACGCCGCAGAACCATAAGCCTACATTAACACGCGCAGTGGAAGGGTTGCTAGTACTACGCCCAGAGATCTTAGAGGCGAATGTCGTCCCCCTAAGATCTCAGCTCCCACTGAAGCAAGAGAGACGAAATTTGGAGGGTAGGTGGGGGCACTGGGGTACTCTGTTGTGTCTGAATTTCATGACCCTAGGTCAAAATCTTCAAGGTCAAATGAGGTCAAATATGGCAAAATCTGCAATATGAGCGACATTTTTGCGTTTAAACGCCGATAAGACAAAAAGTTACCGGCCGATTTTACTTTTTCTTTGACTATACGAAAGAACGTACGTTTCTGAGTGTGTATGATGAATTTCACGTTAAAGGGACTGTCCCACCTTTGCATTAGTTCTGAGTTGAGATAGCCAAGCTGGCGGCCAGGTTCAGAAACCACTATATATCCTGGTCGCAATATCCTCAGTTTCGTGGTGTTAAAGAAATTCGTTCCCTTCATTTAAAAGGTGGGCCTTAGCTAAGGCCCCATCTCTTAACCCGCGCCCTGCTGGGGGGGGGGGTGTTTGAACACCCCCCGTTTTGTTTTTTCGCGTATATTTAAAAAACGGCGGCGGTACACCTTATTATACATCAATTCTACACAAGTTGTGAAAATTTCAGACCAAGGTCATTCAAGGTCAGGTCACCAGGTCACTTGAAGTGACCTCACCTCATAAAACGTTTCAATGTCTGTCATAGCTACACCGAGTGACCGATCGGTTTGAAACTTTCAGCGATTGCTAAGAGCAATAGCATGCACAAAATGTATATTTCAGAATTTTGATATCGATGACCTAAGGTCAGGTCAATTTTGCGACCTCCCCATTATAAGCCAATGGGAGAAAATTGAAATGCGCCTCTTTCGGACGAAAGACATCATAAACACTCCCAAACACTGAATTAGGTACAAGTGGTTTAGACACACTGAACATGAAAATGGTGTCCGTGACCCCTGTTTATGCCCTGAGGTCATCTTAGGTCACGAATGGTATCTAGTCAAAATTGATGTGAAAAGGATCAATAACATGCCAAAAATTGTATTGGGTTCTTTAGTTTACCAAAGAGAAACAAAATAGACAAGCTTTCGACAACACTGTCATCATCAGGTCTGAGTTTCCTTTAATTTCCTTTAATTCCTTTACACACTTCACAACAAAGTAAAGGAATTTCAAAAACTCAGACCTGATGATGACAGTGTTGTCGAAAGCTTGTCTCTTTTGTTTCTCTTTGGTAAACTAAAGAACCAATACAATTTTTGGCATGTTATTGATCATTTTCACATCAATTTTGACTATAATGTCTTCACTCATGCCAACCATCCAAACGATTAAGAATGGTATCTAACAGTTTTTCGCAAATAACTTTTGATAGAGGCATGCTAGAACGATGAAAACGCCTTATGTGTGTTCAGCTCGACGATACGGATCGACTGATATGCAACATGACCCTTTCCGGTCAGGTCATGACCTTGACCTGAGGTCAAATTTTCAAGTTGACCTTTTAAGGTCAAGTTATAGTTCATTCGATGCGTCTTGACGAGAGGAACACGATGCCGGTAAAAGTAAGCTCGTACAAGGCTTGGGTCAAAAGTTATTGCAGAAAAACTGTTTCCGAAAAAATCGGCTATTTTTGCAGTTTTTGCCCCCTGCAGGCAAAACCGTTGACGTTAGGTCAAATCTGAGAGAATTACTCAGAAAGGGCGTTAATAGGGCTATCGAATGCGCTTTTCCGCGGCGCTTTAGCTCTATTGGTTCCCGAGTTATGCGTTGGCTTCTTGGAAATTGTCGACATTCGACCTGGAAATCGGCGAAATTTTGGCTTCAATGACCTCTGGTGACCTGACCTTTGACCTGACCAAAAAATTGACCGAAGTGATTTGGTCATTATTTTTGACGCTCTTTCGAATGCCGCCTTCTGCGTATCGCTACGTGGCCCAGGAGCCGAGTTAGAAGGGGGTGTGTTCAAACCCCCCCAGCAGGGCGTGGAATTCCAGGACCCCCAGCCGGGCGCGGGTTAACTATCAACGGCCATTTGATGACGTCATTTGCATTTTGAACGCCTGCCACGCATGTGAAGTTTCACTTGATTTACGAATAAGCTAATCAGAGACACTTGTTATTGTATGAGCCGCGTCATATTTGAGAGCAAATACCTATATTTGCTGCCAAATTTCCCCCACATTGACGTGAAGTAAATCCTTCATTACGTCACAGATCCGATCTAAATGACAGATCGGTTGAGGAGGATGCCATCAATGCCGAGGCTTACCGTCGAGGACGCCTGAGTGCTGGACACTGGAAAGGCGCCTTCGGCGCCCAGAAATGATCATGGAAGGTGCCATCCAGGATGGGTCTTTCCCAGAGGGCGCCTGATAGATTTGGGAGGGACCTCGCCCGCACATGCCATTTTCCCATCCTAGAACGCACATGGGGGGGGGGGGGGTTGCCACCCCCCGCGCCATTTCGTTCCTGTTGGAGATAGAGCTTAGCGGTAAAGACCAAAAAGATTCTTTGGGAAGAAACGAATCCAATGATACCCAGTTTTACCTTCTCAGGTCAGTCATTGACCTTCCAAGTCAGGTCAAACTAAAAAATGTTGTTATTTTGGGTCACCGTTGGATATCAAGTGCGCTGCTTACCAGTTACCATATACCGATGACGATGCTGTTTTCTGGTGCCAAGCCAGCTAGAACCTCTTTGTCACACTACCCGACCAGATTTTTGCTGCTGAGGTCATGTCAGGTCAAGTTAGGTCAAGGTCAATTATATGTGTTTGTATGTCTGTGTGTGTCTGTGTGTATACTGATGTGTGCACCGATTGTTTTTGTGTCCATATTACATGAACTCATGATCTGAGAAGCTTTTACCAAAAATGCAGTCAAAAAACTTCACAAAAAGTAATTTCCGCTTACCTAAAACGCAATTATAGGTTGACCTTGACCTTGACCTTGACATCTGTACATCGTCGAACAACATGTTCCATGATAGTTGGGAGGTAAGACTGACAAAAAAGGCCGAAATCAAGGTGTCAAAAGCTCACAAGGCCCATAGCCAGCGCAGGATGTTGAGAATTGGCCATTTGGGTCATGACATGACCTGAAAAACAAGGTAATATCTCCGAAACCAAAAATCACAGAAACTTGAAATTTTCAGTGGACATTAAGAAAGGATAGAGGAGCAGCTATACGAAACATCAGCCTTCTAGCTCTAAAAATGTTGAGTGCAGAGCAGAAAGACTACCTGGGGGGTGGCAACCCCCCCCCCCCATGTGCGGGCGAGGGTTAAGGGACAAACTCACGTGATCTAGCTGTCACATAGGCGGCTTCCGTGGACTGTATCGAAGCCAGCTGGCTCCAGACGGTCACTTGAAACTCGTGGTATCCCGGAAGTCCGGAAATGTGAGCTTGGCGCCCGTCTGAGGAGGTCCAGTTGGTGCAGGGAAGCGTCAGCGACGTTTCGCGCTGCGACAGGTCCCTAGTGGGACACACCTGGACAACAGGCGAAAAACGGGTTAGTGGGGGTGTCCGCGTTGGCACCAACGCGCTATCCAATGTCTAGTCCAATATGCTGGGCGCCTTCGCCCTGAGGTGTTATGTACTCGTACCTGAATCAGACAGGAACTGGGCGCCCACCCGGAACTGCGCGGCTGCCACGACAGGTCCAGGCTGAGAGGGTACTCGGACCTGGCCGTCAGGTTCTCCACCGGGTTCAGCAGCTCTGAAATGGTCATAATTTCCCTCAGTATACGCTGCATTATAATCGTTCAAATACACAGTTTTTACCCAGTTACTTGGCAGCACCGAACCCTATTTATAGCAGGCTCCTGGATGCTCAATGGTACTGGGTAGGAATTGGTTACAACTCCGTACGCATCTCATCGTCTTTTTAAGCCCTCTCTGCCGCGATCCGAACACCGACATCATCTGAAGTGCGTCAGTACGTAAATTTATAGCTGAAGGTGCAGTGTCGCCTCACCTCCTTCGACGCGGGAGGCGCAGATGGGTGGGAGCACAGACTGGCACATGTCCATCCTCCACTGGTAGTGTACCGTGCCGCTGGTCACGTCTTCCGTGCGGAACAGCTTGACGCAACACTCGCCGGCCGCCGCGGGCGGTGGCGTGCCCATGTCTTCGAACCGGGCGCGCGATCCGTCTGACCAAGCGCCCGTGACTGCAGAAATCAACCCCATCATTGATAGGGAACATTAGCATTTATCGGGACACATCAGCAAGGAAAGCCGCATTACGAATAAATTTTTTGTTTTCCTTAACAGTATAATTCGTTTGTAAAACATTATCACTCTCCTTGTATTCATGTCATTGACTGATAACAGCATTTTAATGTTGCCAGTGACCGGTCACAACGGCTCTAGGTCAAACACCGTTTTCAGAGATCGGTGATGGCAACCCCAGTGTAGCAGGCACCGGTGACAACGGGTCAGCTTGAGAGGGTAAGAGATGCCAACTACCGACAACCGATGGGCAGGAGCCACTTCATTAATAGGAGGCGGAGGAGGGACAGCCAGCGCTGATAAACGCATGACAGAGCTTGTCACGGGTCAGAGCTAATGAAATTACTGACAAGGCGGGCAGACGCTGAGTCCGATCCAGGCCTGCGACAGCCCCCGCCTCTCGAGCAGGTCGGTCAGCTGCTGCTGTCTGTCCGCGGAGGTGACCGCCACCAGGTGGCCGCCGCGCCTCTGGCACGTGCTGCTGGCCTCTGCCCAGGAGCCGGCTGGCTCGGGCACGTCCAGCACCAGCCAGCCGGAGTCAGTGGGTGTGGCGGCATCCGGGGCCGCTGAAACGGCGTACGACGGCTGCGTCAGCCACAACTCGGCCGATAGCTGCAGGACAGTTCAAAGTACCGACATTTGTAATGTGACACATACCGGAAACGCTCACGATCTTGACACAACCACTAGATAGTCATGCACGGTAACCGCAGGCAGTTAAAAATTGACAAACACTATTCGGTAGCATTGTTTTGCAATTGAAAAACAACCGGATCAGTCCTCGGTTGAGGTGTGTTACATGCAGCTAAAATCCGAGCCTATTCCTCGGGGAAAAAAAACTTGAAAAAGATGCATGAGCGCCACCACTAGCTGATGCAATTCATTTTTAATTATCTCGCTAAACATCAAAATGTAGTCTGGCAGTCGCAAGTTGCGTCACATTCAACACTCACTAGGCGTCACGGTGACAGCGCCACAGGAGAAGTTTCTGGTCGGGAAGGAGCACTCCACGTGGATGCGGTACTCGGTGCCGGCTGCCACGGTGCCGGTGTAGCGCCACTCGAAGACGGCCGCGGTGCGTGCTCCGTCCACGAGGTCGGAGCGCAGCTGGCGCCCGTCGGCGGACACGACCAGCCGGTAGGCGGAGGCCGGCAGGTCGCCACCATCCCCGCGCAGCACGGCCGGCCGCCACTGGACGGCGATGTCGCCGGCCCAGCGCGGCCAGGCGCGCAGCGATACGTCCGCGGTCACCGCTGCTGGCGGCCGGGCGGCGCGCCGGGTCAGCCAACGGCGCCCACAATCACAGCTTATCCGAGAAACAGGACATCGGACAATTCCCGGACAAACAGCGTCAAGAGACTATATTAACCCGGCGGCCGCTGGGCCTCCGCGCCACCCGCCGGCCGCTGGGTACATATAGTTGCCCCCCTTTATATCTGCGACCATATCGTCGCAACGCGAAGAGATAGAAAAGCCAAACCTGACACACATCTTCCTGAATACCTAGCCAAGGTTGTGTCCAAATTTGGTGTCAATCCTATTTGAAATGACGTCACAGCGACGTCAGAAGTCAAATTATAGATTTGCGACTCTCAGTCTCCTCACGATATATCCGATATATGAGACCGAATATAAAGGACCAATTATTGGTCAGTGACTAGTTGGAAGTGTGCTTAGATGTTTTCGGATGACAGCAGATGCTTTCTAGTTCATTTACAGTTGAGTTTCATCCTCAGCGACATCAGAAACGGTCCATATCGGAAAACGACAAAACTTTATGACGTCACTGTAACGTCATCTTAAGTGCTATAACCACCAAACTTTCTTCAAACATTGCCTCGGTATTCATTTGAAGCTATGCCAAGTTTCAACCTCGTAGTTTATCAGGTTTCAGACATATTCTACAAAACGTAAAGGGGGGTGCAACTTTATGCCACCCCCAACGGCTCGTGGGATTTTTGGATAACCCGCGCATGACTGAGGGGGGCTCTACAGAGCCCCCTCCCGTCTTTCTGTAATATCTTCTAAATAACCTAACGCATCAACACGAAATTTGCAGTAACTTTAGTTGCATCAATTAGACACCATGTGTCAAAATTACAACATCGTAGCTACGCTAGGTGAGCCGGAACGTCATGTCAGCCGATTTTGATGCAAAACATTGATCTACGGCAATCGCTATATGATATAAAATTTCAATGACCTAGGATGACCTGGTCTTGACCTGAAAAATTCAATGTACAAGTTTGCTACCCTCGTGGTATCTAAGGCATATATAAAGGCGTGCGTAAACCAAAAATGAGCGTGATCGGACTTGTTTGCCGGCGGCCAGAGCCTAAATTGTGAACAAGCCAAAATGCTGATAATTTTTTACTTTGACCCAACCTGTGATGTCATCGGTGACCTCGAAGTCAATGAAATTAAGTGTCGCTGGACAAGTTTTCCAGGGCTATCAGACGCCGCTTGAATTTTGACGATCTGCCCAGTAGTTTCAGAGATAGGAGGGGGCTCTGTAGAGCCCCCCCCCCTAGTCACTCGCGTTATGGAAAATACCTCAGTCATGCGCAGGTTAACAGTCAAAAGTAAAAGATAAATAAATATAATATAAATAGAAGAAAAAAAATTGGGAAAACAAGCCAACACACTGAAAGCCAGCTTATTGTAGTGGTTAGGATAGTGGGCTAATGACATGAGCTTTGACAGATCGATCCCCAGTCGATACTATTTTTCGCAACGGCTATAACCTACAGCAATCCCAAAATTATCCCATGCCGTGTTTAGAATAGTAATCCCTGATATGGATTCTGGAAGTAATCGCCACGAACTTGGAGAATGTGGATCGGTCATGATTGTTAAATACAGTACAAACAATACAATTTCCAAGTATTCCCACTACCTACATGAATAACCAACATGTCCCTTGTCCATCCGGTTCAGTTCCGTGCTAAGAAAACCCCGGGCAAATTTAAAGTGCCACGAGCTTATAGGGGAGAAGGAGGGCTGACTTCAAATATTGTCACCCAGCGGTAAAAGAATGGGGCTCTGCCGCATGCCAAGCTCCTTCATTGTAACCAGTGGGCGGCAAATGACCACCGAAGGCCCATGTAGGCCCATCAGGATTCGGCGTAACTGGTCAGAGGCCGTGTGTGCCCATCAGGGATCGAGGTAAGCCTATCATAGGGGCCGGCCATTAGCCAGTTACCCATGACTCATAACCTCTCCTATCATTCTATCTACATATACACCTCTATTACCTCTGCGCGACCCGAACATATCGATGCATTACGCAGTCAATAAATGATTGTGTGTGAAAGTTGTCGAATGCAGAAAGCAACAAAGTTGTATAATGAGTCGCGAGCACGGCCGATGACCTAGGGCATCGCTCCAGGCTCCAGCGAGCCGATCGTATTCATGATTCGTGAAACGGTGCGAAGCCAGGCAAAATTATGACGTGTGATGTGTTGTCAAGGCAGTAATGTACCCATTTATTGCTGTGTGTGTTGTGTTTGCAACACACACAGCAATAAATGGGACACTTATAATAATGGGAAACACCTACATAAATGGGAAAACAGACAATGCAATGTGGCAGACGAACGCTGACTGGCAAAAAAAAATTAATTACCGGGGTTACATGAGCGATCCGTTCCAAATACGTACTACGGTAATGCGCATCAGCTCCCAAAAACGTATCTACGGCACCGGTTACATGAGACTAATTCGTTTTATCTACGTCAAACGGATCTTGTTTGGCTCACTCCTCGACGGCCGGTTATTCGCATCACAAACGGAATAGGATTAGCGTACAGTCATGGCGCAGTTGCGGCATTTACCGGGACGACTGAACTAAATTTTAAATATTTATATCATTTGATAGGCTCAAAAAACATTTAAAATTAACATGAAATCAAAATATGAAAACAAAGTTTTCTTGTTTTAAGTCACTGGGCACTGATTTGCCATGCAGCGACAGCAGGGTGGTCAGAAAAAAATTATCTATCAAAATATTTCATTCATTTTATTTTTGATCTTTATCAAATTCACCTTCAAAGACTAAACCAAAATACCAATATTTTTTTTGCCATTTTCTACGAGGCAGCCAATAAAAAAATGCTTAGTATTTTGCATTTTGACGCTTCCATTCAGCAAAGAATAGTTCTTGTGAAATACGGTCCGAATCGTGTGCCTCGGTTACATGAGCGATCCGTTCCAAAAAAGTACTACGCTAATTCGCATCAGCTCCCAAGAACGCATTCAGTGCACCGACTATATGAGCAAATTCGTATCAGTGACGTCAAACGGATCTAGTTTGGCTCTTGGCCTGACGGAAGGTAATGCGCACTACAAACGGAATAGCATACAAATGTGGCGCCGCCGCCGTTTTTGGTACACCTCATCATACATCAATTCTACAAATGTTGTGAAAATTTCAGACCAAGGTCATTCAAGGTCAGGTCACCAGGTCACTTGAAGTGACCTCACTTCATAAAAAGTTTCAATGTCTGTCATAGCTACACCGAGTGACCGATCGCTTGAAAACTTTCAGCGATTGCTTAGAGCAATAGCATGTACAAAATGTATATCTCAGAATTTTGATATCGATGACCTAAGGTCAGGTCAATTTTGCGACCTCCCCATTATAAGTCAATGGGAGAAAATTGAAATGCGCCTCTTTTGGACGAAAGACATTATAAACTCTCCCAAACACCGAATAACAAGTGGTTTAGACACACAGAACATGAAAATGGTGTCCGTGACCCTTGTTTATACCTTGAGGTCATCTTAGGTCACGAATGGTATCTAACAGTTCATCGCAAATAACTTTTGATAGAGGCATGCTAGAGCGATGAAAACGCCTTAGATGTGTTCAAATCGACGATACGGATCGACTGATATGCAACATGACCCTTTCCGGTCAGGTCATGACCTTGACCTGAGGTCAAATTTTCAAGTTGACCTTTCAAGGTCAAGTTATAGTTCATTCAATGCGTCTTGACGAGAGGAACACGATGCCGGTAAATGTAGGCTCGTACAAGGCTTGGGTCAAAAGTTATTGCAGAAAAACTGTTTCCGAAAAAAATCGGCTATTTTTGCAGTTTTTGCCCCCTGCAGGCAAAACCGTTGACGTTAGGTCAAATCTGAGAGAATTATTCAGAAAGGGCGTTAATAGGGCTATCGAATGCGCTTTCCGCGGCGCTGTAGCTCTATTGGTTCCCGAGTTATGCGTTGGCTTCTTGAAAGTTTTCGACATTCGACCTGGAAATCGGCGAAATTTTGCCTTCAATGACCTCTGGTGACCTGACCTTTGACCTGACCAAAAAATTGGCCGAAGTGATTTCGTCATTATTTTTGACGCTCTTTCGAACGCCGCCTTCCGCGTATAGCTACGTGGCCCAGGAGCCGAGTTACAAGGGGGGTGTTCAAACCCCCCCCCCCAGCAGGGCGTGGAAATCCAGGACCCCCAGCCGGGCGCGGGTTAATCTGCTCAGAACATTCTCAATTAACTTGACAAAAAAAAGTTGAACCTTAAGTTGTCTTGCTTTGACTCATTGGGCACTTGCCTCTCTTGATTCGTCTGTAGTGCTGTCAGAAAAATGTTTCAACTGAAATTACTTGGATATTTACTTTTTGGTTTTCACTATATTTATTTTTTTAAAACTTGACAAAATACCGACATATTTTTTTAATTATTATTTCAAAAGAAGAAAATGAAAGAATACCTATTATTTTGCATTTTAATGTTTCTTTTTGGGAAGAAATAGTTCCTGTAATACGTATCTTGGTCCTATTCGCTTCTAAGCCTCCTTTCCCAGCGGATTTTGTTCGGACCGCCGATTCGTATTAGCAGGTGGATACATGAGTCGGTAGTACGCTCCTGATTCGCATTAGCGGTGATTCCGATCGTGATACGTATTTGCTTTGCTCATGTAACCGCGGATCGGATCGCCGATTCGCACTAGCAGGTGGCTACATGAGTCGGTAATGCGTTCCTAATTCGAATTAGCGGCTTAATACATATTTACTGTGCTCATGTAACCCCCATACATACTCTCGAGGGTTAACCCTCACTGAGCCAGTCCCATTTCCATATCACGAACGGCCGGGGGAAGGATTGTTACAACAGATGTCTGTTTTGTCAGCCTGTGTTATGAAGGTGTTATGAACGACTATCAGGACAGCGAGGGCGTCTAGCAGCGACAGTCATACGACAGCGTCGGGGGTAGTCAGGCCAACAGTCGATGTAAACAGACGCACGCGGCCGCCGTCCAGCGATCCATAGCGTCCGATCGGGGCACAGACCGTGGGGAGCGTCGGCCGCCGTCACCATTGAACCTGGCCGGTCGACATGACTAGCGAGGGTGCTCATTCGCCGGCGTCAGCGAAAAAATTGCACGCCTCTTGGTAATAGGGACATAATGCATCATATGTATCATCAAAGGCGACTTTTTCATGCATTGTTGATAGGTTGGTTCAATCTTCAGGTCAGCTCAATCAGTGGGCGCTCCGTCGGCTATAGATCTTGCGCATTAAAATTACTGACAGCTTTACATTATCCGTTTTCACGACAGGTCACCTCGCACCTAATCTAACCAAGTGTGCACCAAACATCTTTTACTGCAAATATCTTCGTTTCAGGAATTAACATCAGTGCTTTAACCTTCGCCCCAGTGGGGGGGGGGGACATATGTTACCACTTACCCTCCTGTCGCGTTTTTTGCGTGTGAATATAAAACCGCGGCGCGTGGCGCCGCGCCGCTTGGGGTAGCTTTTGGTACATCAATTTTGGACAATGTGTAAAATTTTTGACCCCAGATCATGTCAGGTCAGGTCACCAGGTCAAGCTGACTGACCAAGCCTAAAAAAGTTTGGAATCATGTCCAGCCTGCAGTGTTTGTCAGAAAGCTTTTAAACTTGGTGGATTGCATGCTGTTATGGCGCCTACAATTTGTATATCTCGGATTTTTTTATATCCGTGACCTAAGGTCAGGTCAGTAGCGTGACCTTTCCATTACAAGTCAATGGAGAAAAATGAAAATGCCTCCAGATCCATGTGTACGCATAGGAACAGTCCAAATATTTCAGAATCACAGTGATTTGGATCACCCGTGATGATCTGGGTGTCATTTTCGCTGATAGCCTCTACAAAGGTCATGCGAGATCATTTGAGGCTACAAACAGATTTTTGCCAATAACTCCCGATTGGAAAGAGATAGAACGCTGGGGATGGTCTCATTGTGTTTGTCTTGTTGAGACGCATCGACTGATATGCAACATGACCTTTTCCGGTCAGGTCATGACCTTGACCTGAGGTCAAATTTTAGAGTTGAGATTTCAAGGTCAACTTATAGTTCATTCGACGCGTCTTGGCAAGAGGAACACGACTCTGGCAATAGAAATGTCGTGGTTTTTTGTAGTCGAAAGTTATTGTCGAAAAACACTTTTCGTAAAAACAGCTATTTTTGGAGTTTTTGCCCTCTGGAAGCTAAACCGTTGACCTGAGGTCAATTTTGATAATGACCTTATCAAAAGAAGAATTTAAAAGCTATCGATTGCTGTCCCATGTGGTTTTCTAACTACCATAGTTCCTGAGATAACGGCATGTTTTCTGAAAAATGTGACAATTGGCAATTTTTGACCTTTGATGACCTCTGGTGACCCCAATATTGCTCTGACATGAAAAATGACTGAAATACTTTGAGTTAGAGGTGGGTGGTAACATATGCCCCCCCCACTAGGACGAAGTTGGCTGAGACCGCCACTGGGGCGCGGGTTAATCGATAATACTGTCTGATACTTTGACAAAGCAGGCATATAAGCAATTAGTGCAACCTTAGCTGATAGCTGCTAAAAACAAACTGAACCTAATTTAACCAAATGTGCACCAATTCTTCACCAAATCTGCACCAATTGTGCACAAAATGTGTACCAGATGGCCGTCCTGAAAACGGTTAATAGTTATGCTGCATGGGCGCCGAAACTAAACTAGTTCTCAGCAGTTCAAACGGGTAGTCAATTTTAAAACCAGCTCCAAAAACTACCCTAAATAGTTGAAATATTCAAACAGTTCAGTTGAGGTCATCAAAGAACCGTGACTTGACCAGCTTCACATGACCTTTGATGCACTCGCTAGGGAACTCCTGGATACATTGACGGCAAGCATGCAAAAAATCACTACGCGTAAGACAAGGACTAAGACTAAGCGTGCAATGACCTTTCAACAGTACGTGGTGAACTCTAAAAAAAATCTGATAACTTTTGTATCTCAAAATTTCATGACCCTGACTCAAATGACCTTTGACCTGTAGCCTACTTTCCGAGACTATGTTTGGCCGGAATCGCGATTCGGCGTATGTCGGCTCGCATTAGCCGCGCGTTTGCAAGCTTTTCGTGGTTTCAAACGTTCAAACATGTGACTTGATGTTGCTCCCATGCATTAGGGTGGATTTCAAGGGCACCTGAAGGTCATGTCAGGTCATTGACCTTTGGTGACCTCGGTTCATTTTTTTCGAGTTTTACATGTTTTTAGGCTAGTTTTTGGAGCTGATTTCGAATTTAGCAACCGTTTGAACATTAACGAAGTATTTTTGGTGCCTTCGTAACATGCTACGTAGCTGTCAGAGGCGGTTGACAGGTACTACGAATACCTACCCGTCACGACCCCTACTGGTTGACCTGACCTGACCTGGTCTAAACGCTTAAAGACATCATCTGTGATCAAACCTAACACGATATTCGTGATCAGGACAGCGGAAAGCCCCATAGCATCCACACTTTACGACTTTCTAACAGGTCCCGATTTTTCCGATTTTTGGGTCATTGACCTGACCTGGAAGATCATCCGATGACCTAGGAGTCTAGGACCTTAAAATTGGATATCATTGGCTAGTGGCTACCTCTCGTGACGGGCAACACGATCGTTTTTTTTCCGCGAAGCTCTAGCTCAATCAGGGGCCAACATCAGTCACCAACCGTGGCATATGGATATGCGTTGCCCAGTGGTAAGTACCTACTCACATGCCAAGTTTCAGGGCAATCACAGCTGTAATAGCCGAGTTATGGTAATGGGAAAAAATTGACACTTCTCTTTGCATTTTGCATGTGCAGTGGGGGGTCATCCACGTGCATCAAATGTATCCGAAGTTTGGTAGAAGGGATGGAACTACCCTACACAAATTACCGCAAGTCAATCGCCCCAGCAGTTGCTGAGATATAGGCCTCTCAAAGCGCTACTTCAACAGAGCAGCTTGAACACCCTCGACTTTTCAAGCGCCACGCGCCACGACGGTCACCTAGATGCATCAAGAGTAGTCAATTAAGGCGTAGAAGGCATTGGGCTTTACAACCAAAAAGACTGCAGGCTAATCGGCGCAGCGGTTGCTAAGCTTCAAAAACGTTACAGCTCAGGCCAGGGGGCCACTCATACTGGGATTGTACTTAGAGAGGTGTGCACGTGCGCACGTGAGCACGTGCAGAGCTACATTTTTCGGCTAATTGAAGATCGCGGCGACTTACTAGCTTTGGGGCGCACACAAAATGTAAACATGATTGGCCGACTGGCTTCCTAAATACAACCATAGAACTACGAACCTTATTCGAAAAAGTGGGCTCCTATTTTTCGCACTAAAACCGAGTGTCCAACCCAGGTAGTTCATGTTATTTACGAGTATGTTCAAGTACACAATCAAGTACGTTCGGGTACTCGGTGTAGCTATGGCATACATTGAAACTTTGTATGAGGTGAGGTCACTTCAAGTGACCTGAACTTGAATGGCCTTGGTCTGGAATTTTTACAACATGTTTAGAATTGATGTATGATCAGGTGTACAAAAAGCACAGGGGGAGGGGTTGCTCAACTGAAACACCCCCCCCCCCCAGCAGTGCGCGGGTTAACATTGCTATCAAGTTGGTCTGAAAAAGGCCAGTGGCCGAAAGATTACCGTTTTTTAAATATATTATTCGTTTTTTTTACATTTTTTGATGTCGAGGAAAAGGTCAATTTCTTTCATTTCTTTGTTCAATTATATTCAATATGCTCCTCACTCGAGCACTTAATAATATTAACAAAGTTCGATCAGTTTAGCGAGTGGAAGGAATATTTTCGTACCAAAAATTGTGCCAACAGATGTTTCTATCGGTGCTACAATGGAACGCTCCGTTGCCGTCCTTACCTGCGACAGAGGATGAGCTGCTGCCTCCTTGCTCCACGATTTTAGACAGCTCGGCCGACTGAGCAGGAGACGTCGAAACTGCCAACAAAGTGAGCTGTATGACTCACATAGGCAGAAAATGCATAAGAAATGTGAGCATTCGCCGGGACTATCGGTTTTCTACATACCCCTCGCCCAAATGGGCTCAATACCATAGACAATTATCATAGCATTTAGTTTCAGAGATAATCTGAGAAGCGTTAAACGCCCTCTTCCCCTAGCTCAGTCAACGGCTGAAAGTTTAATGAAATGCGGGATGAGCTTCACGTAAATTACTCTCATGCTTTAGTATGTTTCCTTATTCCTATAACTGGTTATTGAGTGTGCGGTGATTCTGCTCTCACTTCCGGGAGTCCAACGCTCTACCAGCTGAGCTACGGGAAATGCCTATTAAAATAATCCCAAAACACTTGTTGAGTGTTTCCACCTTTATTAAAACCGCGCAGGGCCGGTTTTAAAAGCGTCCAAAATCACGACGATAATACTGCAGTCATTTTTTTTATAGATCAGATGCCAGTTTTACCATCAGAAAAAGTCGCCTGCCGAAATGTTTCCGTTTCACATACGGAGCGTAAACGCGATGGGCACGTAGTTAATATAGTAGTAGGGCTTTACCGTTTACGCTCCGTATGTGAGGCGGCTTTTAAGCAAAAAATTCCGGCAGGCGGCTATTTTTCTGTTAGTAAAACTGGCCTCAGGTCAACGGTTACGTGACCAGGGTTATCAAAGGTAAAATGCTGCCTGATACAGCATGGAACATCGGTGCATAACTGGGGAAACAATAGATCTACAGCGCCACAGAAAAGCGCATTCAAAAACCTTTTTAACGCTCTTTCTGTAGCAAGCTCTCAGATTCGACTTGGGACCAACAGCTTAGCCTCGAGAGAGCAAAAACTAAAAAAAAGTTTTCAAAATTTAACCTCAGGTCAAGACAAGATTATCACCTGACCGGAAAAGGTCATATCGCATATCAGTCGATCCGTTTCGTCGAGGTGAACACATGTAAGGTGGTTTCATCGCTCTAGCCCGTCTCTATCATACATTATTGCAACAAAAAAAAAACTGCTGGGGACCCTTCATGACCCTTCATATAATCGACCCTTCATGACCCTTCATATAATCGCCTATGGCGACAGGCCTGAATAAAATAACAATAGCAAGATATCGGGGACATAAGAATGGGTCACTCGATGTAGCTACGAGCATTTAAACTTTTTTAGGAGAGGTCACTTGACGTGAACTGATGATCTGACCTTGGGTGACTTGGATCTGAAATTTAGACATGTGCCAAAAGGATGCATGAACAGGTGTACCAAAAACTGCGCCGCGCCGCGCCGCCAATTTTGAGATATCTGCAAATAAAATCACAGAGGGTATGTCCAAGCACCCCTCCCTCGGCACGGCACGAGTAGGCCGCCCCACACTGGACCTCGCATGCGGGTTGCGAGTTTTTGGATTTTCGGGTTTCTTCAAAATCAAATAATGCAATCTAAGCTGATTGACCCACACTACCATCTAACAAGCGAGTCTGCATGTTTTTAGCTTGAGAGCGACCTTGCATCGCATTCCAAAAGTTGATTTTGAGTCAACTTGCGATTTTCCTCGCTGCGAGGTCTGCGAGTTCTGCGGGGTTTGCGGGTTTTTCGTTTGAGTCGAATTTTGGTTCGTTGCGCTGGTATTGCGACTATATGTAAGATTCTGACGGTGTACCGGGTTCACTGCATTCATGAAGTTATCATAAGGGAACGGTCTTGTCACTCTGTGAATTAGTATTATGCACGCAAACTCAAAACCCACAAACCCGCAACCCGCATGCGAGTTCCAGTGTGGGGCGGCCATTGACTGTCCACTAAACACTCGCAGCTGGCAGTTCTAAATAAATCTCAATAACGCTCCGCACAACCGCTGAAAACACCCTTCCACGTACTCTAGTATATGCAATCTAGCATAATCACTTACCAAGCACAACTTTACGATGAAAGGTTGGGGGCGACGTGAGCTCAGGTACCACAGGTGTAATGAACACCTCATAATCCTGATCGCTGGCCAGGTTGGGCATATCCCGCCCGGTCACTGACGAGCTGATTATCTGACGAAAACCCATCACACGCTGTCAAGCGTTAATGCATCTGAATTGCATGCAACTGATAATTAAGCACACATGCTAGAGCTTGCGTTAACTAATTGCAATTTGAGATGTATTTTAAGCATTTGAAATCGTTGAACAGCACTGTCTTTCTCACCTGATTGGTGATCCCCGACCCAGCTTCGCTGACAACCACTGAGAACATAAACTCAGGCACGCGCCAGCCATGTGATGTCATCGACCAGTTGGCCGTCAGCGTATTGTTTGCGCTGTCCCAGGACGACAACAGCACATCGGGCAGCTCGAACACTGGCGAAGGAGGGACGCCATAGTCACTCCAACACCGGCGAGGAAGGAACACCGTAGTAACATCGCTTGGACAACGCAGAGGCAAAATGAACGCCAGAGATCAGAGACGCTTCCACAAATGACGAAAATGTCTTACTATAAGTCTTGGCATTGTTAAATATTCGCTGCTTATAGCAGATATTTGGAATGAAATTGCGAATCTGGGATAAAATTCGATGCCAACATCAACATGAAACAGTTGCATCATCGGATTGAATAATCAAACGCACGTAAGTAAATCTTCACAGTTTTGAAGAAAAAAAACCTTAACCCGCGCCCTGATGGGGGGGCCATTTTGGCCCCCCCTATGGTTTTTCGTTAATAGCGAGAAAACGGCGGCGCGCAGCGCCGCCAAATTTTGGGTACGTACCTTACCGGGCATCAATTTGACACCTTCACACAAAATTTCAAGTCACAGGTCACCTCAGGTCAGGAGTTATTGAGGTCAAACTGAGGTCATGTTCGAGTAAAAATGAGCAAAAAACATGACATTTTGAAACGCTCACCAATTCTACAGTTAACAAGCAATTTTAAAGTTCTTTATGTGGTTATGTAGAGAAAAGACGGCGCTACAAAACTGCTATGTCGGATTTTCGAAATTTTGGGATTTTGACCCCCAAAAATAAAGAAATGATTTTTTTTACAAAAACTAAAAAATCCAAAAAAAAATTCGAATTTTGAAAATCCAGTATATATGTGATAGTCCCTGCGCTCTTCGATATACATACCAAATTTTAGATCGATACTTCTTTTTTTGGCCAAGTTACAGCGAAAAAAACTGTTAAAAATTGATTACGTCAAATTTTTGAACTCAATTTTTGGCAATTCTAGACCTCGTAGCGCAAAACGGAGAACACCATTGAACGCCCTGTGGCGAGCTGCATCGAATCGATACCCATTTTATGCAAAAATATCAACTTTGAAATTTGACCTTATTTGACCTGACCTTGACTTGACCTTAACCTGACCTTGACCTGACCTTGACCTGACCTTGACCTGACCTTGACCTGACCTTGACAAAAACGTGAACTAAGCTGGCCCAAAAGTCTGCCTGACCCACATAATCGCATTTGTCATGTAAAATGGACCATAAAACATGTATGTATCACACGATACTTTCATATTGTGACCCCCCCCCCCCCAGTGACCTGACCTCTGTGACCTGACCTGGTATCAGTGACCTGAAATAGCAAAATATGTGTTTTAAGAACATTTCCCCATCTATGATTTTCAATGAAATGCATTTTACTCGATTTTACAACGCATTTCTTGAAATGCCTGTAAATGGTGAAAATTCGACCTTTGACCTGAACTGTGACGTAATCGGTTTGACCCAGGTCAATGAAATTGCGTCACAAGTTAGTTCCCCGTTGGGGCTATCCAACGCCGTTTACCGCTTGTCGCTATGTTGCGTGGTTCTCGAGATCTTAGGGGGGGGGGGCAAAATGCCCCCCCCCCATCAGACCGCGTTGCTCGGCAGACCCCATCAGGGCGCGGGTTAAGAACTTAATCATATATCACCGTTAGGTAGACATGGACAGCAACATAGCAAAATGAGGTAGCGTCCCTTAGGCAGTAGTGATATCCAGTCGAACAGCCCTTTAAACAGAGGCACATGTATGCTGTGAAATATGTACCGTGTAGCGTAGTGCATGCTTTTGCGCTTATTGCTGTCATCAAGCTTTTATGAAAAGTAAGTCCCGAGTTAATCGGGAAACTTTCAATTACATGAATAGGAATATGCATAGAAGTCACAAACTGCATTGTTTCTGTGCAGCAGTTGTCATTTACCTCACCCAACATATAACTGTGGTGCCCCTAGCCGAAGGACATGTGCATCCATCAGCACAGGGTCGCACAGGCGCGGCGATCGTTCCACGCTATTGGTAATTGAATCGCCGCGCGGCTGCCCAGTAACGAGCCTGACACGCTCAATGGCCTAATGGGTATGCTCTGGTGTGTAATGACGCCCACGGTGCGCCGCCAGCGCTAATACCTATCGCCGACAGCAAACTAATTTATCGTAAGCTTGGGTACATCATGCTACGGCTAGTAAAAAAGCCAACAATGAAGCGAAAATTGGATAGTTATTAAGGCCACGTTCAACAAATAATTTATTTGTATTCGACCAACATGCCTTTATGAAATCAAAATCAAATTAAGATAGTTATAGGCATCGATTCCCAAATTCGCCAAAGAAATGGTCTTGGAGCCAATGTGAATTCAACCGATAACTGGGACTTCATTGGCGTCCCACGCCGTCCGGTGTGCCATGAGTGTCATGAGTGTCACCCTAGTGTAAATTACCAGCGCTGTCCGCTGCGTCATCTGTGTCTAACCTGCGACTCTTACCTGCGCCGTCGGCTACGTTATTAGTGGTTTACCTGCGCCGTCCGCTGCGTCATTAGTGTCTTACCTGCGCCGTCGGCAGCGCAGCGCTGCTGGCCGTCCGGACAGCCGAGTTTGGCGCGCACGCTGTACTGAGCCCAGGGGAACTGCACGCCAGCAATCTGCACCCACAGCAGGAGCTCGTACGCGGCGCCCCACAGTGGCCGTGCCACCGTCCAGCGCGTGCCCGTGGTCTCTCCGCGACTGGCCACGTGCTCGGAGCCCTCTCTATGAAGCACCTCCAAGGCGAACCGGTCCACCGGCAGTCTGCAGCCAAACCGCACAGACGAGAATCAGATACGACAGGTGGAGTCTGCTACACGGGATGGCATAGCAGCTAAATAGCTAAGTCTGCAAACTGCATTACCTGGCTGGGACAATTATTCGATTTGGTGGAATAAAAAAAGATATACTTATTTTACATCCCAGGGCACACAAATTAGTGTGCCCTGGGATATTGTCCTTATAGCCATGTCAGGTCATACACTTTCCAGATAAAAATTAACAGGACACCTTGTGTTATGCGCCGCGTTCACTTTTTCAACACGCAAAACACTGGCGAGTGTGGCCGGAAAGACCCCCTCACCCACCCTAGTGCAAAGCTTATGTTTAGAGCCTGTAGTGTTTGCCGTTGCTCTCTGACCTGGAAATGACAGGCGTCTCTCCGTTGTGCAGGTTTGCGGACAGTGGCTGCCACATTATATCCAGCCATCCACGAGCGTCGGCTACGTGCCAGATGCGCGGCGTGGGCAGCCATCCTGGAAACAGGGCCGACCAGCGCATCGGCAAACGGGTGGACCGAGAGCAACAATGGTCAGAACCACGGGTCAAAACGGGTAAATTATAAATAGGTCATACGTATATCTTAACAGGAAGGCCATGGGGACACTCTCCAAGTAACTAACTAGTCGATGCGTTCAAACACACCGAACAAGTGATAGGTGAGCACTTGTAGCGCGACGCCAGATGTCCAGCCGATTGTTGGCCTCTTATGCATCTGCACTTAATTCTTTTGTTGGCCTGTTATGTCTGTGCACTGAATTTCAACATAGAATAGCGCGACAGGAAGTTTTAAAGGCAGAATTACTCAATATGGTCTGGTGAATTGACCTAATTAGATTTGGGATCAGAATGATAAAACATGAAAAATGCTCGTTATGCTCGTAAGCAATCCGAAGTTTATTGTCGTTGCGCGCCGCAGTTTCCCTTAAACACATTTTGGAGATTTCACGGATTTGAAACACAATTTAAGAAATCTTAGTAGGTCTAAAAATATTTTGAATGTCATATTTTTGCATCCTTAAAATCCTTTTGCAATACTTAAAAAGTTTATTGTACGAAAATGCTGCAAGAGCTTAAAACAGCAAATTAATTTAGGTGCAACGTAACTTAATTTGAACTTGTGACTTGAAACTAAGTGATCTGGATTAAAATGCTTCTACGCTGAATTAATATTTCTCCCAGACAATAAATTACCTGGAAAGGTAGGTTTTATTACATCGGCGTTCGGTTTACAGCTTCCTTGCTAGTAATGTATCCTTAACCCTCGCCCGCACATGGGGGGGGGGGGTTGCCCCCCCCAAGGTAGTCTTTCTGCTCTGCACTCAACATTTTTAGAGATAGAGGGCTGATTTTTCGTATAGTTGCTCCTCTATCCTTTCTTGACGTCCACTGAAAATCTAAAGTTTCTGTGGTTTTTGGTTTCGGAGATATGACCTTGTTTTTCAGGTCATGTCAAGATCCAAATGGCCAATTCTCAACATCTTGCGTTGGCTATGGGCCTTGTGAGCTTTTGACACCTTGATTTCGGCCTTTTTTGCCAGTCTTACTTCCCATATATCATGGAACATGTTGTTCGACGATGTACAGATGTCAAGGTCAGGGTCAAGGTCAACCTAGGTCATCTAAGATAATTGCGTTTTAGGCAAGCGGAATTTACTTTTTATGAAGTTTTTTGACTGCATTTTTGGTAAAAGTTTCTCAGATCATGATTTCATGTAATATGGACACATAAACAATCGGTGCACACATCAGTATACTCACAGACACACACAGACATACAAACACATATAATTGACCTTGACCTAACTTGACCTGAAAATTGAAATGACCTCAGCAGCAAAAATCTGGTCGGGTAGTGTGCCAAAGAGGTTCTAGCTGGCTTGGCACCAGAAAACGGCATCGTCATCGGCATATGATAAGCGGTGCACTTGATATCCAACGGTGACCCAAAACAGCAACATTTTTTAGTTTGACCTGACCTGGAAGGTCAATGACTGACCTGAGAAGGTAAAACTGGGTACCATTGGATTTGTCTTTTACCAAATATTTTTTTTGGTCTTTACCGCTAAGCTCTATCTCCAACAAGAACGAAATGGCGCGGGGGGGGGGGGGTGGCAACCCCCCCCCCATGTGCGTTCTAGGATGGGAAAATGGCATGTGCGGGCGAGGGTTAATGGGTTAACATTAACCCTCGCCGAGACAGGCTGGCACAAGGGGGAGGGGGGTTAGCACGACCCACCCCCCTTGCGTTTGGCCCCTGATCGAGCTAGAGCTTCGCGGAAAAATACGAGCATATTGCCCGTGACAAGAGGAAGCCGATGATACCCAATTTTAAGGTCCTAGGTCATCGGTTGACCTTCCAGGTCAGGTCAATGACCCAAAAGTCGGGAAAATCGGGACCTGTTGGAACGTCGTAAAGTGTGGATGGGGTTTTTCGGGGTGCTGATCACGAATATCATGTTAGTTTTGAACACAGATGATTTCTTTGTGCATTTATGCCAGGTCGGATCAGGTCAGGTCAGCTCAACCAGTAGGGGTTTTTTCTGGGTATTCCTAGTACATGTCAACCGCCTCTGACAGCTTCGTAACATGTTACAAAGGCACCAAAACTACTTCGTGAATGTTCAAATTGCTGTTAAATTCGAAATTAGCTCCAACAAACTAGCCTCGAAATATGCAAAACTCGAAAAAGTGAACCGAGGTCATTAAAGGTCAATGACCTGACCTGACCTTCATGTGGGATTGACATCCACCCTTATGCATGGGAGCAACATCAAATCACATGTTTGAACGCTTGAAACCACGGAAAGACTGCAAGCGCGCGGATAATGCGAGCCGACATACGCCGAATCGCGTTTTCGGCCAAACATGGCTTCGAAAAGTAGATCAGGTCAAATATCATCTGGGTCAGGGCCATGAAATATTCAAGGTAGGTGTTTAATTGATCAACACGATGGTACTGAAAGTTTTGTTGCGATCGGCCGCTTATTCCGCGAGTTATTTACGAAAAACCTTAGGGGGATTGCATCAACCCTCCTGTGTCGGCGAGGGTTAAAAAATTATGCTCGAAAGTTTGAATGGGTGGGTTGGCAGAGCCGGAGCCCACGCTAGCAGAGCTTGTTGCGTAGACCCTGAATCCTACCGTCCGATCACAGAACCCCGGGTAACGGTAGAATTTAGATGCCAAAGTTTCTTTTGCTCATCAAAGCCGGACACTGCCTGTCCCATTCAACTGACTTCAACTGACTGTCTGCTCTCACCAACTGCAGACCAATGACCATCCCCGTGAGGACTCAGGAGGCTCAAATATCGAGTGGCGCAGGCAGCTACTCGAACCAGGACTCTCACTACCGGGAGTCCAGCTCTACCAACTGAGCTACGGGACAGACAAGACGCAATATAACTGCAATACAAACATGAAACAATGCAACGAGGGGCAGAGCCAATATTTCAAAATGTAAGTTTTCTATCTTGATTTTGAACGCTGGGAAAAATTTCGTCAAACAGGACATAGATATAACAATAATAACATTAAGTATTCGATAAAAGAAATGCTCGCACATTTGTCTTACCTTCTTCGCATCCCACGAGTTCCAGACGAACGCACTGAACGCTTTGGGGCCAGCTAGATTTGTCAAACCGAAATCTGACATATCTTGCGAGTTTGAGGACACCAAAATCATAATCTCGTATTGTGTCAGATGAAGCTTCCTGGTCTAATATCCGAAACTGCAAAAGAGGACTTGTGTTAACGGTTTATTAACATTGAATAAGGGGGTGGAATTGAATTGAATTGAATAAGGGCGCAGTGGAAGTTTTTTATTCTGTTTTTTTTTTCTCCAAATAACTCACGCCGTAATCATTATATTAACGTCAAATTTGGTATACTTGCCCAGAATTGGATTGCACATATTTACCTGAAAGCAATAAGCTAATCAGTCCGCAACTTTTTAGTAACGGGGGTGTAAAAACAAACATCTCGCCAGACCGGCGCCGGCCGTTATTCGCCGCTTGACTGGTAGGCTGTGCCGGCGCCGGATGGTCCCGTCTTTGAATTGCGCTGCTTACCGCTGATATTGGTAGATTCGCGTCTGTGAAGACTTAGAAATGTACAGGCAATCGTATGCTCAAGGAAATACGAAAATCGGCCAGTAACATTTTGAGTTACGAGGGTGTAAACACAAACTTGACATTACTACCTAAGATGCTGCAAGTGAGCTCAGCGCCGTAACTGTGAAAAGACCGATGTGAATGGGATTAAATATGAAAATGGGTGTAAAGAGTCACAACGCACGTGCCGAGGAAGTGTATAAAATGCGTTTCAAGACGGTTATCTTGATAAATATTTGGTCACATTCGGTGCCATTTTCTCAAATTAGGTTCACAGTTGATTTTGTTCAGTTTTCAGCTACTAGTTTTCAGCTTAGATTGTCTTAGTTGATTACAGGTGCCTTAGCTATCAAATTATCAGGTAGGGGAGAGCGGGGAGAGTTGTATCATGTCCAAGTTGTATCAGGGCGAATTGTGCCAAACTTATCCAATGGATGGCGCTCGCGACACGACCAGCCGACGAGGTTTTCCGGGCGCCATCTTTCCCTGTTCTGTCTTGTGGCTGAGTGGACGCGTTTCGAGGTGAGAGCCGATTTTATGTTTTTTTAATGTCATTCTAAAAAAATAAGTTGCAAGAAAATGTGTGTTTTGGGCATTTAGATGTGCACGAATTTGAAAGATCTCCGTAGCGGTGGTGAGGGTAGGTTCTAAGGCTGCGTGAGTGAAAACGGATTTCTCCAGCTGTCCGCTGTTTTTTGAGCACGAGGATGTTTTTTCCAAGATGGCGGCTAGGTACATGTTGTATCAGAGCCGGGTGGGGTATGTTGTAACATGTATGTATGTATGTATGTATGTATGGGTATGTTGCTTTTGATCGCGAAAGCTAAGCCCTGGCTCGCGTTTGTAGGTAGCTAGCCAATGCTCGTTCCATTTCGGCACAAAGTGTTGGCTTCTTTGCTCTTAACGGGCCACTTTTGCGTCTAGTCTGTTGATGTTTCGTTCAGATTGCATTGACCTAAGTTTGGTCTAATAAAGTGAAGCCTTTGAGCATACCTATACATTGTATTAACCCCATTTAATGTTGTTGTTATGTTCAAAACCAGTAGCAAGCACACTCCCTGAAACGTGAAATAGTGATACAAATTACCCCACCATGTGATACAACTCACCCAAGCCATGGGGTAAGTTGTATCAAAAACATTGTTCTATTCGGCAGACCGTAGAAGAAAAACTGGTAGAGGTAGCGGAAAAGTTACTTTGCACAAAAAAGCAGAAGAATCAAGGAAGGGGATGGTATGGAAATTATGAGTTTATCACGGATAGTTACGAGGTTATGGGTCTCGGAGTAAAAACTGATACAACCCACCCCACTCTCCCCTATGTTTCGATTCGTGTATTTGTTCCCGTCGGAAAACGGCTATTAGTTCATATGCAGGACTAAATAGACAGTTTCTAATGGCACTTTTCCTTATGATTTTGAGGTCACATGTTCCTCTGGCCTGGGAAGCGACCCCTCCACGTGCGCACTGCGCACGTCCAGCAGCACCCCAACCGTGACATATGGAGATGCATTGCCTGGTGGGTGCCTACTTATAAGCCAAGTTTCAGCGCAATCAGCATAGCAATTACCGAAATATTGTAATTACGGAGCGAGCGAGGCGAGCGTAGTCTTTCCTTAGTTAACGGAAATTTCTTAGTATGGGCGGCCGGCCGGACGTGGTCACGGTTTTGCGAGTCTTCTATCTCAGCAACCACTTGACCGATTTACATGCGGTAACTTTTGTAGGGTAGCTTCATTCCTTTTTCCAAGTATTGGACTATTCTATTCCCGATGCATGTGGGTGACCCCTTATGCACGTGCCACGTGCAAAGCGAAGAGGTGTCACTATATACGGCCTTGGTGTCACCTTTGTAATAGTTGATATATCTCGGTAACTACTGGGCCGATTGCGCTGAAAGTTGGCATGTAGGTAGTGTAAGTGACCCACTAGGCAATGCATATCCATGTGCCAGAGTTGGGGTGCTGCTGCACGTGCGCACGTGCAGGGGTCGATTCCAGATCTCGAGAACGGCTTGACCGATTGCGCTCAAATTTGGTACACGGTTACGGAGCAGTTAGTAAGGTGCCGTGCACAAGTCAGTTGGGACCCATTTTGCACGTGCGCACGTGCAGGGTGCCACTTCCAGATCTCGAGAACGGCTGGGCTGATTGTGCTCAAATTTGGCACACCGCTAGAGACCGGTTGGTAGGGTGCCGTGCACAAGTCAGTTGGAGGTACCCCCTCACAATTTCGCACGTGCAAGGCCCACCCTCTCGCTCGCTCCGTTAGTCGCCCCAAAAGGCGTTATACTGGTTGTTACAAAACTGAAACCGCTTCATTTTGCACGTGGTAAGTGCATAAGGGGCCACCCACATGCATTGGGAATAGTCCAATACTTGGTAGTAGGAATGAAACTACCATACACAAATTACAGTAAGCAAATCGGTTCGGTAGTTGTGGGGATATACATAAGTAAATGTCTGTTATTACATGGCTCGTATGTTAACCCTCGCCCGTATTGGTGTTTTTCCAGCCGCGAACGTATAAGGGGGGGGGTGTCCGTTGGACCCCCTTGCCGTTTCGCCCCTGATCGAGCTAGAGCTTCGCGGAAAAAACGAGCGTGTTGCCCATGACGAGAGGAAGCCGATGATACCCAATTTTAACCCTATTCCTGGCGGGGGGGGGGGCCTCAGGAGCCCCCCCCCTGAGGTTTTTTGGTTATTTCTCCCAAACGCGTTGAGCTAGGAAGCTCAAATTTTCTGACTTTTCCTAAAAGGCTTCTACGCAACATGTCTGAAAATTTTGAGTTGATCTGACCTCAGGTCAGGTCACCAGAGGCGGTTTGGTGACCCTACCTCAGAAAAGTTTGCAATCACGCCAGAGCTAGAGTTTTTGACCGATCAATTTCTTCTCTTCAGGGTTTAGTTAGGGTACCAGTATGTGCAATTTGTATATCTCGGAATTTTGATATCGGTGACCTAAGGTCAGGTCAATTTCGCGACCTCCCCATTATAAGTCAATGGGGGAAAAATCAACTCCCTGTTTTTACCACTAAAACGGGTCGGAATGGCCCCATATACCATACATGACTTCATATACGATCAACCTTCACTACCTTGAGGTCTGTTTTGCTGTTGGGCAGCTGTGAGGTCATGTGACGTCATCAAAGGTCACCAAAGGTTTTTGGCCAATAACTCCGTACAGGAACAAGATACAGACGCGTGGATGGTCTCATTGTGTTCAGCTCGTCAAGACGCATCGAATGATATACATGATGACCTCGAGGTCACGTGACCTGAGGTCAACCTTTGACCTTGACCTTTCGAGGTCAACATATATATCATTCGATGCGGATTGACGAGAGGATCACGATGATGCCCTTAGTTTGTTCCTATCTTGACTAATTCGAAAGTTATTCGAGAAAAACTCTCTCCATATCTAGCGCCGCCATTTTGACTTTTTCGACCTCTGTGACGTCATCTTTGACCTGACCTGAAAATGACCTTTGTAAAAATTGTAGATCTTGGCCGTGCGTATCCGATGCCGTTTACCGCTTGTCGCTATCTTGCTTCGTTCTCGAGATCTCAGGGGGGGGCCGAATCGGCCCCCCCCGCCAGTTTCTTGTCCCGGCGGAGCCCGCCAGGAATAGGGTTAAGGTCCTAGGTCATTGGTTGACCTTGCAGGTCAGGTCAATGACCCCAAAGGCGGGAAAGGGGCCTGTTAGAACGTCGTAAAGTGTGGCTCCTATGGGGTTTTTCGGGGTGTTGATCACGAATATCATGTTAGTTTTGATCACAGATGATGTCTTCATGTATTTAGGCCAGGTCGGGTCAGTTCAGGTCAGGTCAACCAGTAAGAGTATTCGTAGTAGGTGGCAACCGCCTCTGACAGCTTCGTAACATGTTACGAAAGCACCAAAACTACTTCGTAAATGTTCATATGGTTGCTAAATTCGAATTCAGCTCCAAAAACTGGCCTAGAAACATGTAAAACTCGAAAAAGTGAACCGAGGTCATCAAAGGTCAATGACCTGACCTGACCTTCAGGTGACCTTGAAACCCACCCTAATGCATAGGGGCAACATCATATCACATGTTTGAACGCTTGAAACCACGAAAAGACTGCAAACGCGCGGCTAATGCGAGCCGACATACGCCGAATCGCGATTCCAGCCAAACATGGTCTCGAAAAGTAGGTCACAGGTCAAAGGTCATTTGGGTCAGGGTCATGAAATTTTCAGGGTAGGTGTGAAAATGATGAACGCGAGGGTACTGAAAGTTTCGTTGCGATCGGCCGCTTTTTACGCGAGTTATTTGCGAAAAACCATAGCGGGGTCCGTTCGACCCCCCCTCTATACGGGCGAGGGTTAACTGGGTGTGTAATAATTTTGACTGTTGACCGGCAATTTTCACGTTTAATTTTCTTTTGAAGGATGACGTATTTTTGTTAATGATACCATGACAACGGGCAACAGTATTTTGCGCGTGCTTAAAAAAAACATTCAGAATTTTGAAATTTAGGTTTTAGGGGGGTTTAGGTTCTTCACCTCATCCTCATTCAGTTGGTGGACGTCATTGCTGAAGGATCATACGTACCTATATGTGTAGTTATGACAGCGCTGCCTCGTTTTCATTTATTTGAACCAAGTGAATTAGATGAGCTCCTTTTTTCACGCAGGGCTGAAGGTAGGCAAAGGGTGATAAAATCGTCGGGAGACATATTCCATGAAATTTTTAACAGCTAAAGGTCTAACGCTGGAAGACCTACAGTACAGTAATGCTACTCTCGACGACACTGCTAAGGAGTTTTTCTCTAATGTCAAGCGCAAAGATGGAGAAAGAAAAAAAAAAAACGAAAAGTCTACACTCACTGAAGTACGGAATCAAACAGTTCATCATCAATCAACTAGGAAAAGACAAGTGAAGTAGGAAGTTTTCCTTTGAGTACCTACAGAGGCTTTCCAGGTCGCAATGCACTTGTCTAAAAAGGATGGGCGAGGATCAGTTGACCACAAGGAGCCGATAAGCCGAGGCGACTGAGAAAAACTGAATATTTACACGCAAAACTACTCCTCGCCAATGGCAGGCTCCAGCAGAAAGTGTTTGTTGTGATGTGATGAGAAATGTGTGATGCCATGAAATACATTCATCATTGAGATTCAAACAAATTGTGTGTTATTATGCTAACCCGTTTTGTCATACAGCTAAACGATAATAAATAAAGTTACTACGAATAGGTAATACGAGACGAGGTGGGCCATGTAATAAAATGAATACTGCATGAGGTATGCCCTCACCCTCGGGCTACAGTGACGTCACATTGGGCAATAACTTTTACTGTTGCCCGCTACCCCATGCAGTATTCATATACTATTCTACGCTGTTATTTCTGCTATCATGCTATAGGGACTTCACTCGCCTTGCTCGCTCGTTAAAGTCATCATTAGATTGTGTTTTTTAATTCTTCTAGATATGAGTAACAGGTTATTTTTCATCCTTTCAATAATCGTTTTAACAATGCCCAACACAACGTTCCAATATTTGTCAAATTACACAAAATAACATACATAATGGCACTGGTAAGTCATCTACGTAGGATTGCACAGAAGGACGGCTTTCTTCCTATACGGTACGGTGAGTGTGCGCCACCCGACTGACCGAGTGGGAGACGCCGACCGTCTCCATGCTGCAGCAGAGGGTCCACGCGTCGCCGTCCAGACTGTACTCGAGCGCCGCGAAGCTGCTGTAGTCTCTGCTGTGCACCTCGGCAGGAGCGGGCTGCACTCGGAAACCTGCCAACAGCAGACGAGCAGCCTCTGTGCAGACGTGTTCACTCGTCCGTGGGCTCTCTCCCACCCGGTCTGAGGCTCGATATACCAGACCAAATATCAGACAGAACGATCAAAAGAAACCAACTTTTAAAATTAAACTTTCCTAAGTAAGACACGATTCAGGCGATTTTGACTTTGACCCTCGCGGGTAGCTTACCTTTGATAGTACGTGCTTATGCAAAACTACATTTAAACACGTTTTGCGTGGCCCATTTCCAAACGAGCACCGAACGAATTCAGCTTTTTTTGTTTACAGCTCATTAAACTTACGGGTTTTCCACAAATGCGCCACCGGCTTATCATCATCAAGAAAAAGTAACTAATGTCGGACTGCTGAGAGAACTGGTAGCCAGTAGCCACCTCAGCCCAATGGTTCCCCAATCTATCATTACCTGAGCTTGCAATGGTGTTTCTGGGCCGAAGAGGCTAGCAATCAGTCAATGTTTGATTGCCTTCTGCATTACTGTAATGGTCGGGTGCACCGCTGCAGTCCGGTCATGGCGTCACGCCTTGCACACTGTGTGCAGCCACGACCATGGAAACATGAATGGCCGGTCAATACGGACCATGATAATGCTCGGTGGTGGCAGGCGATGAGGGAGTTCCAGACGCCCAGGCTCCAAGCAACGCTCACTGCACAGTGCACAGCCAATGATGGCCGCCAGAGGACCGTGTGCGGGGTGCGTGATGCACACTGCAGGATGCGGCCTCCATTTCGATTGCTATTATTAGTCCTTCAGCTCAACCCGCGCCCCGTAGGGGGGGGGGGCGAAACGCTCCCTCTCTCTTTTTCCGTTGATACCTCCTAAAGCACTGCAGATATCGCCACCAAACTTTTAGATCCCTTCCGGGCACCAATTTTATATCATGCGGCAAAAAATAAATAAATGAATCCAGAGCCTACGATATGTTGGCCAGAAATGACATCAGAGTGACGTCATGTTCTACAATTTTCGACCCAATAATTTTTTTTTTTTTGCGGGAGAGCCGTCAACCGGGATATATGTTATAGAACTAATGGTCCTTCATCTACATTTCAAATTTCAGCTGAATAGCTTAACTGTTGGCAAAGTTATGGCAACAAAAACTACTCAAAATTGATTATGTCAATTTTCGAACTTATTTTTTTGCCGTTCTGAACCACCTAGAGTAGGGAAGAGTGGGGTAAGACGCCCGGGTGGGGTAAGACGCCTTTTCGATATAACAGGGTTATTTTATTTGTAAGTTCTTGCAACGTTTGTTATTTCCTTTAACTTATAGGGGCAAGATTTTCGGTTCCGAGGTGGTGTCTTTTGCAGGCGGTGAGCACTGTTATGTTTTGACATGTTCTGATATAAAAAATCTCATCGTCTTCCATCTAATAACTGGGAGCCGGCCTTTAAATTATGTTCCATATGCATTTTGCACATAGCGAATATAGGCGCTTTACGTGTTGCAACGAGTTTGAGCCTCACGATTGAATCTCTTGAAAGAATTGGAGCTCAAAGACATTTGGTAGTTGAGGGATAAGACCCCCACAAAATTCACTGTCTGCGTCAGGGCTGCAGAGTCTATGCCTTTTCGAGCCTCCAATTCCGACCCAGACTCCGGTTTCCAAAATGCAACTTCGACTCCAACTCCGGGCTCCGACTGTCGACTCCGATCGACTAACTCTGACTCAGATTCGGCAGACCTTGAATGGCTGCTTAGTTGATGGATTTTCGGTGGCTCCGACTCCGGCTCCGGCTTTACTACCATAATCGACTCCGACTATAAGTTTAGTATTAGGTGAGGTAAGTATAAAGTAAGTAAGGCAAGTATAAGTGAGTATATAAGGTTAGTATATGGTACGAGCCTCTCCCCGGGGCGTCTTACCCACCCCGTGGGGTAAGACGCCCATTTGCAAGACTTTTTTAAACATGTGTCGCTCACTACATGTTAGGTGATAATGCACAATTTCCAGCTCGCAAAGAAAGAGAAATAGTGGTCTATTCTAATGCACACACATCTCCATGGTGGATGCGATTATGCAGCAAGTGTTTGCATTTTCCCAAGGGGGAGTCTTACCCTGCTCTCCCCTAAAACAAAGACCACCACTGGATTCCCCGAGACGAGGTGCATCGCATACACCCTTTTTATGCAAAAATAACAACTTAAAAATTTTACCGTTTTGACATGACCTTGACCTGACCTCCACTAGAACGTAACCCAAACTGGTCCTTGTGGTCACCTTACCCACAATATCGAATTCGAAATGTAAAATTTTCCATAAAACATGCGTCACACTACCCTAGTATAGCCCGGTTCATGCTAGCCGTTTTCAATAGCGGGTACCTAATAGATGCCTGTTTGGTCCTTTGATACCTCAGGAATTTTAGTAGTTTCCTTTGATACCTCAGGAATTTTAGTAGCTTCCTTTGATGCCTCAGGAATTTTAGTAGTTCATTGTAGTAGGTTTTCTACCTGTTGAATAAGTGGTTCGTTACTTTGTTGATTTTCTACTAAATAATACATTAATTTATTTTATCTAAGGGTTTACCACTCATGTAAACCTAAAGCGTAAGCACGTTTATGAAATTCTCATATCTATACATATAATGCTAGTACAATGATAAGGAAATATACTGAGCTGCCAGCTGCGGGTGACCGAGCTCTCCCATTCCACGTTGGCTTGGCTTTGGAACCGTAACAGACGGCGGAAGTCAATGTCACTGTTAAGGCGGCGGCGGACTTGATGCGCCCGGGCACCACCATGGCTGACCGAGCTCTCCCAATTCCACGCTGGCTTGACTTTGGAACCGCAACAGACGGCGGAAGTCAATGCCACTGCTAAGGCGGCGGCGGATTTGTTGCGCCCGGGCACCACCAGGGCGCGCGCAGCGTCGGGCCGGTGAAACAGAAGCCGGGTATCTAGTTGCCAGGCTGATTTGATCCCTCATAGTTGAAAGATGGACTACTAGAACCAACAATTGATTTGTTTTTAAATAAATAAGCGATATGATGGTCAAAATCGTCTGGATTACAACTTTTAAATTTTTTTTTTAAGGCAGAAGACCTCAATTGTAAGGACTCTAAAGCCTTAGCCCGCGCCCCACTGGGGTCTGCGTATAACACGCCCTACTGGGGGGGGGGGCTCTCCATAGCCCCCCTCCTAACTCCGAAACTACTGGGCCGATCGTCAAAATTCAAACGGCGTCTGATAGCCCCGGAAAAACTGTCGAACGAAACCAAATTTTAGTGACCTCGAGGTCACCGATGACGTCACAGGTCAGGTGATTTTCAGGTCAGGGTCAGTTCATCACAGGTCACGGAAATATTATATCATGCGTCGGTCACGTGACACATGTTCTATGGTCCATTTAGGCCATAGATTTCGAATTTGATGTCGTCTGTGTCATGCGAGGTAATTTTGAGTCGAATTTAGCTTAGGGCAGTTCACTTTCCGGTCAAAAAGGTCACGTTTTGAAGTTATTTTTTTTCAACAAAAAAGGTGCTTATTGAATGCAGTTTGAGCTCAGAAACACGATGGTGCTATTTATATTTGTGTACGATGTCAAATACGTACTGAAAAATTGATTTGAAAAATTAAAAATTGTGAATTTTTTGCAATAATGCGTATAACTTGGCCATCTTTGAAGATATTTAGCTAAAAATTGCTGCACTTAGTCAAAAGCATGCGTTCTATCACATGCATTCCGTTTTTTTCGAAAAGTCAAAAACTTTTTTTTTTAAATTTAAATTTTGAATTTTGTTATAATTTTTCCTCGAAATTTTCAAAATTTTGAAAATCCGAGATAGCAGTTTGATAGCCCAGTTTATTCTGAGTCCTTTCATGCAAAGAAATTGGATCTAGCTTAAAAAACTGAGCTCTTGAGAGCTATTGCCGTGGTTCAATGTTTTGCGTCGAAATCGGCCGAACATGACGTCACTCTGACGTCATTTCCGGCCGACCTATGGTAGCTACGAAGTTCATATTTTAACACAAGGTGTCATATTGATGCAGCCGAAGGTACTGAAAGTTTGGCGTCGATACGTCAAGCGATTTGGAAGTTATTGCAGAAGAACGGGAGGGGGCTATGAATAGCCCCCCCCCAGTGGGGCGGGGCTATGAATAGCCCCCCCCAGTGGGGCGCGGGTTTAAGGGTTGGTACTTTCCAGGTATGAAATAGGTTCCACCAAGAAAGTTCCGTCGTGAAAACGTCCGCTGTGACCCTTAGTGACCTGGTATCAGCGACCTCATTTAGCAACATTGATTAGTCAACCAACGCCCTGTCGATGATTTTCGATAACATGCCTTTTACACGATATTTACGAAATTTTATTATTCTTTTATTCTTTCGAAATATTATTATTCTTTTACACGATTTTATAACGCATTTCTTAGAAGGTCTGTAAACGGTGAAAAGTTCGACCTTTGACCTGACCTGTGACGTCATCGGTTCGACATAGGTCAAAGAAACTTGGTCACCAGGTCCTCGTTGGGGCTTTCAAACGTTGTTTGAATATTGAAAATCGGTTGGTAATTTTCCGAGATATTAGGGGGGTGCTGACACGCCCCCCCCTACGGGTGGCAGGGTCCGCCAATAGCCCTACGGGGCGAGGGTTAACCCGCGACCCGTTGGGGGGGGGCAAAGGGCCCTCCTCTGGTTTCTCGCAGATAACTCAGAAACGGCTGCGAATTTCACAACTTAACCTCATTTGACCTTCCTGTGACGTCATAGGTCCAAGATAAATGGTCAAGGAGGTTTCTGTGGTTGCATATATATGACATGTCTTCATAAAGACTCGATTATTCACAATTTAACATGCCTTTCCTTACCATTCACGTAAGTGTTTTCTGTGACGTAACAGGTCAACATCCATTCAGGTGACTATCCACATGCCAGGTCTATCATATACGTCATATTCAGACTAATTTTGGAAACCTAGGTTTCATTTTTATGACCGACTTCTCGTCATTGTAAATTGGACTGAATTGACCTTGTTTAACCTCCCTGTGACGTCAAAGGCCAATTATCAAGGTCATCAACATGCTATCTTGTGCATCTCGATGAGCTCTTTGGAATGCCGTTTGATTTTTTTTCGATCCGACTAGGTATTGCTTTTGAAGATACGACGGGGTGCCCTTTGCCCCCCCCCCCACAGGACGTCGAACCTGCCAGACCTTAACGGGGCGCGGGTTAATTCATGGTGAGTAGTATCTTCGGATATAATTATTGCATTGCGACATGTTTAATCCGCGCCCCGCTGGGGGGGGGGGGGGGCAGAATCTACCCCCCTCCCGTTTTTCGCCAATAACTTCTAAACGCTTTACGCCATTGAATATAGTCAGTGCATATTTTTCGGTGAAATTTGGTAGATATACATTTTTATCTTTCTGAACCTCGGAACATAGCTTTTATGCCAATTCATTACCTCTTTTGAAGGTGGGAGTGTCCCTAATGGAGTGGTCCAGGATGGTGTTGCCGACAGTGAAAACTGACCACAGGAGCAGGGCATCATTCGAATGAACGACCACTGGCTGCACGGGGACTGTGGTGTAGGACCGGTGCCGGTCGGGCCGGGCCGGGCCGGTGTCACCGCGCGCCGCCACTAACGGAGCGGCGGCCACCTGTATAATTCAGCCCGGCCACTCAGTTCGCTGCACTGGGAACACCCGTGCCCCAGTTTCCTCTGTGTAAGGCTACAGTTTATTAAAATGTGAAATGTGTGAACACACAGCAGTGTCAACGAAGACTGCGTGTCAGATATCCGTTAATTTTAAATCGGTTACAAGCCGCATACTTCGCGACCGCATGCAACTAGGTAAAGAGGACAGAGCCGTCAGAAGAGCAGCCGCCGGGCGCTGCTCTGTACTGTGCGTTTGTATTTGCTGAGGTGGTACGAACTGCGCGTTTGTATTTGGTGTTGACTGACCTGAGATCAGGCGGCTGGAGCCCAGGTCGATCGTCAGCGTGGCGTCCTGCTCCGGGAAGCTGGAGGCGTTGACGCACCAGGCCGAGGCCGCATTGAGCCGAGCTCCAGACGGCGAGCTGTACTCGGGAGCCCCGGAGAAGCTCACATTGGGCCACCCGCTGCCCGCCGAGAAAAGGTGCACCAATGTTACACGATGGACGAGGGAACGAGATTGAGTTTGGGTCCCACTGTGACGGACCCCGATGTGTTCATCTCCAGAGGGCTTATTACACCCTGCGGTGACTAGTTGCATGTAAACAGGCATCGCACACTGTATCCGACGGTATCCGGCTATCCGCCGCCCTCCACCAGCACGGCCAAGAAGGGTTTGCCAAGAAGGCAAACCCGGGGGGGGGGGGGGGCGGCCGTCCGCCGGGTCGCGGCGGTGGCGGCCTGACCTGACCCATGGGGCCTCCAAGTGCTGTTGAGAGCGCGGCGGCCGCCAGGCTGTAGTGACTACAGCCAAATACAGTGTAGTGCATGTATGTACGTACATACGATTGGGTATGTATTACTGGTCGCCAAATACAAATAACATCCATTTCCAGGAGAGATCCTGCTCGTCTTCCAGTGTTTCTCCCTAGGGTGCGTGGGGGAGGGGGAGGGCACCGTAAATCGAGCATAAAGTCACCCACACTGAGAAAGTAGTTTTTCCATATTCGGTCTCAGAGACCAGTTTTCGGGCTTATGTCCCCTATTCAAAACAGACGACACATTTTGAGAATACTTTCTGAGCAACGCCATTGATCGCAGAAACAGATCTCAGTCAGTACCCATAATCGGTGTCAAGCTTTTAAAATCAGTCTCACTATGAAACCAGTTTTCAGCCCGATCCCCAATTTCGGTCTCACTTGAATCCAGTATTCGGGCTAAAAGTACATGAGCCTTAAAAGGAAGCCTTACTGAAACCGTTTTTAAAATCACACACATTTCAGGCTTGTTTCAGCACTCAATTGAGTCTTTATTCAAAAATGTTCTCAAAGTGTTTTCTGAGTGCAGTCACTGGGATAACGCCCTTAACAACAATTCCACTGGGGTCGCAGTCCACCGTATTAACTCAAGGCAACGAGAGAAATAAACAAAACCACAGAAGTACGTACAGAGCAAAAATGAACAGTTTTAGAAAATAGGCGATCTCACTCAGTCCCGGTGACAACAAAACTAAGTTAGAACTCTAAATTGCACCTAAAAAAAATCACGCATCTGATAAACCCCGATAGGCAAGTAGGTACGCCAACTCACGTGATGTTCTGGTCGGGAATAGTGCCATCGGCCAGACCGAGGTCGGTCATGCAGTCCAGGTCACCTGCTGAGAACAGACATAGCCACTCATTGGAGCAAGTCGCACTGGCAGTAACCAGAAATATGCCAAGCAGCAAATGTCCACAGACGCCTGCAGAGTGGGCCGGCAGTCCAAGGATACACTACAACTGGCAACACTTGATGCTGAGGCTGACCTTATGTAACGCATGCTTTGAGCCCGACGGAGAAAATGCGATATGACTGGAAAGGAAGAATTTCAAACCGGGGTGTAACGATTACATAGCATCTTACCGTTCAGATTTGCGCTGGGCTGGATGACATGCTGCATTTGGGGGCGCTGCGTGCCGGCACTAGGGTCGGAGCTGGCCGGCCGCCACCAGGGGATCCAAGCACCCTCACCATCGGACTGAGATTGAACGCTGGAACTGCCTGCGATCGGCACTGAAGACGAACACCATGTCTTACAATCACGATATCACTGTCAACACTCACGCCTCACAGTTCTCAACCTATGCTTTGTAGTATCTATGACTATATTGGTGCATCGCAAATAGAAGCGAAGCATTTATTTCCCCACAATCAAATGCGCTTCATTAGTGCTGCAATGTGAATCTCGTTCGATAACCCGGAACCAGTTGGGAGGGGGGGGGAGGGCAGGGACCCCGTGTGCTTTTTCGTATGTTACTACAAACGGCGGCGGATTTTGACTCGCCGTTTTTAGTACCTCTCCGGATATCAATTTGCCACAATTATTGATAATAATGGGCCCTAGATCATCTTGGATCATGACTTATAGTAGAGGTCAAGGTCATGGTCGGCAATTTTTGGTCGAAAAAGCTACTCATGGAAAAAAATCGCAGACAATTACATTATCAACATAGAGAGTCAAAAACTAAACCGTAGGCACAATAATGCATGGCAAACAAAATGTCTATTTCGAAATTCCCAAACTTTATTATTCTCATGATCTTGATGATCCAACTGAAAATGTATATTTCTTGAGATATTTTGAAAATTGAAGAATATTTCAAAAACAGAACATATTTCAGAGAGCACCTGACTGCCCTTGTGCATGCCGATAATCAAGACAATATATCTAAAACTCCCAGAGATATAACCCTTTAAAAGGCTAAAAATACAGGGACTATTCTTATGACGTCACAATATGTTCAGCATTTGTTCTTCCAACTATATCTTCGGGGACTATATATGGCACATATTCATCTCTTCCTCACTAAATATGACCGCTAACGTCTCTTTTACATAACACAATTTATTTTTACCCAATACAATGTTTGCCAATGAAAATCGTTACAACTACAATTAACCTTTTCTACCTGTATGTGACGTCATAAGACAAAAGAAAATGACCAAGTACGTTTTTGTGGCTTAATATGTATGCACTACTTAGGCACAATAATGCATATAGCCCTCATGTGTCTTTTGATTGGTCGAGGCTGACCTCTCTTGTGACGTCACCGGTCATCATCCATTCAGATGACTATCCACGTGTCAGATCTATGATATATATCGATCGCATCCGGGCTCATTTTAGAAACTTCTATTTCTTTTTTAGAACCGACCGCCCATCACTGTGAATTGGACAGATTTGACCTTTTTGACCTCCATATGACGTCACAGGTCAAAAAAGAGGTTAACGATACCGCTTCTTGTGCAGCTTGATGAGTAATTGCGAATGCCTTTTGGATTTTTCGATCCGACTATTGGTTCCGGAGATACGACGGGGGGACCTTTGCCCCCTCCCCTCAACAGGACCTGCGGAACAGGACCGGGCCGGCGCGGGTTAATAGTATCCATAATAGTTTCCATGTTTCCATATTTTCTCCGTTGACTTATAGGGGTGAGGTCACGTACCTCAATGCCCTAAGACAATCTCAAGCACATGGCAGCGTGATTGTATTCACTCCTTGCAAGGTTTCAAGTTGGATTATATTGACGTCATTAATTACTTCATTAAGGTCGTCGGCGTTATTTGTTAATACTTCCCGGTTGAACGGTCCACTATTTTCCTAAAAGAACACTGTGCGGATATTTAAAATGAGCCCGTCAAAAGCTGCCTGTAGTGTACATAGACGATAGGCACATGCTCTGTTCCGTGTGAAAGCGTCACCTGTGCAAGTACATCGGCCCGCTCGGACAATGACCGGGCTGATGCCGATCCGGGGCGGTTTCCGAGCGAGAGAGGCGCACACATAGGCCCACAGACACAGCTACCTACAGATCGCAGCTCCGAGCACATCCACTCAGCGATTCCTCCGACTCAGAGATACACACAGGCTCAGCACAACGCACGCACAGGTATGTTTGCTTTTCGCTAGTCGACCCGGAATATTATTGACCGCACGTGTAAAAAGCTTTCCCAAGTTACACCAGCCGATTCGTCTCTTTAACCCTCGCCGGATCTATTGGTTTTCTACATACGCGCCGGCCGAGGAAGGGGGGGGGTACGATCCCCCCTCGCCGTTTCGTCCCTGGTGGAGCTAGCTAGCGCGTAGCCCGGGAAAAAAGAGCGTGTGCGTCGTTACGAGACGCAGAGATTGATACCCAATTTTAGCCCGCGCACCGACGGGGGGGGGGGGGGGACGGATAGCCGCCCCTGAGGTTTTTTGCAAATAGCGGGAAAACCGCAGCGCGTAGCGCCGCGAAATTTGGTACGACTATTTTCATCAATTTTACACATGGTGTGCAAGTTTGAACCTCCTACCTTTTAACCCGCGCCCCAGTGTCAGTCTGGATTTTCCACGACCTGGTGTGGGGGGTGTTTGAACACCCCCCTTCTAACTCGGCTCCTGGGCCACGTAGCGACACGCAGTAAGCGGCAATCGAAAGAAAGTCCAAAATAAGGACGAAAACACTTCGGTCATTTTTTGGGTCAGGTCAAAGGTCAGGTCACCAGAGGTCACCAAAGGTAAAATGTTGACTATTTCACCATTTTGGAAACTGCCAACGGCTATCTCGGGAACCGATAGAGCTACAGCGCTGCGGAAATACGCATTCGATAGCCCTTTTACAGACCTTTCTGAGTAATGGTCTCAGATTTGACCTCAGGTCAACGGTTTAGCCTCCAGAGGGCAAAAACTCCAAAAATAGCCGTTTTTACGAAAATTGGTTTTCGAAGATAACTTTTGACTCAAAAGAGCCATGACATTACTTTTGCCAGCATCGTGTTCCTCTCGTCGAGACGCGTCGAATGAACTATAAGTTGACCTTGAAAGGTCAACTTGAAAATTTGACCTCAGGTCAAGGTCATGACCTGACCGGAAAAGGTCATGTTGCATATCAGTCGATCCGCAACGTCGAGCCGAACACGTCCAAGGCATTTTCAACGCTCTAGCACGCCTCTATCAGAAGTTATAAGCGAAAAACTGTTAGATTCTGTTCGTGACCTGAGATGACCTCGGGGACATAACGAGGGGTCACAGTTGCCATTTTCCGGTTCAGTGTGTCAATTTTACCTACATCTCGATGTTTGAGAGTGTCTAGAATAGCGTTCGTGCAAAACAGACGCTTTTCAATTTTCTCCCATTGACTTATAATGGAGAGGCCGCAAAATTGACCTGACCTTAGGTCACCGATATTAAAATTCCGAGATATACATTTTATAGATACTGTTACTCTCATCAATCGCTGAAAGTTTCAAAGTGATCAGTCACTCGGTGTAGCTATGGCAGACATTGAAACTTTTTATGAGGTGAGGTCACTTCAAGTGACCTGGTGACCTGACCTTGAATGACCTTGGTCTGAAATTTTCACAACATGCGTAAAATTGATTTATGATAAGGTGTACCAAAAACGGCGGCGCTCCGCGCCGCCGTTTATGAGATATCTGCGAAAAACCGGAAGGGGGGGGGGGGTGTTCAAACACCCCCCACACTTTGGCGCGGGTTAAGGTCAGGTCACCAGGTCACTTTGAATGACCCAACCTCAAGTCACTTTTTTGCAACTTTGCCACAGTGCCAGAGCTACAGCAGATGTCGGAGGCCTTTGAAAGTCGCAGGATGTCATAAGGTCATTAGTAGCTACAATTTGTATATCTCTGAATTTTGATATCGATGACCTGACCTTATTTGATATCGATAAGGTCAGGTCAATTTCTCGACCTCCCCATTATAAGGCCCCATATACAATACATGACTTCATATACGATCAACTTTCACTACCTTGAGGTCTGTTTTGCTGTTGGGCAGCTGTAAGGTCATGTGACGTCATCAAAGGTCCCAAAGTTTTTTTTGCCAATTACTCCGTACAGAAACAAGATACAGCTGCGCGAATGGTCTCATGGTGTTCAACTCGTCAAGACGCATCAAATGACATACATCATGACCTCGAGATCACGTGACCTGAGGTCAACCTTGGACCTTGACCTTTCGAGGTCAACATATATATCATTCGATGCGGATTGACGAGAGGATCACGATGATGCCCTTCGTTCGTTCCTATCTTGACTAATTCGAAAGTTATTCGAGAAAAACTTTATCCGTGTCTAGCGCCGCCATTTTGACTTTTTTGACCCCTGTGACGTCATCTTCGACCTGACCTGAAAATGATGTTCGTAAAAATTGTAGACCTTGTCCGTGCGTATCCGATGCCGTTTACTGCTTGTCGCTATCTTGCTTCGTTCTCGAGATCTCAGGGGGGGGGGGGGGTCTCGGGAGCAACGTCGGGAGACGTCCTAGGGAGTTTTCCGGTTCAAACTCCCCTAGGGAGTTAGAACCGACGGGGGGCGGTCATCCGCCCCCCGTCGGTTCTAAGTTGGCGCAGACCCCCGTAGGTGCGTGGGTTAACCTTCAAGGCGGTGGGGGGGGGGGGCATTTTTTTGCCCAACCCCCTCTTTAGTTTTTTCGATATATCTCCAGAACCGCTGCGCCGATCGTCACCAAACTTTCAGTACCCTCCCGTGAATAGCTATTGCACATTGTGACCAAAACTTTTTCTTAAGGCTTTGATAGGTTGAACACTAATGACGTCAGAATGACGTCAATTCTGCCATTTTCGACCCAAAAAAGGTTTTGCGGGAAGAGCTGTCAGGCCTACAGCTTTAGAGATACATAAAAATGTTTCGACATGAAAGGTGTAGAATTAAAAGGGCTACAAAATTGTCATCTCGGATTGTTGAAATTTTTGGATTTTAACCCTCGCCGTGGCAGGGGGTGGGTCGATGCGACCCCCCCTAAGGTTTTTCGAAAATAGCGTAAAAACGGCGGCACGCAGCGCCGCCAAATTTTGCACTGCCTATGGGGCAGCCTTTTTACATATGATCTAAAAATTTCAGGTCCAAGTGACCTTGGGTCAGGTCACCAGGTCAGAAAAACCGGTACAAGGTCATGGTCAAATTTCAATTTTCTTTTTGCACCTGTCCAGCTCACAGTTTTGGACTGATTTGCTTCAAACTTTCAGGATGTGCTAAGTTCACCGAGTTGTATAACATATAGTTCCGGTTTTTTTTAGGTCACTGACCTGAGGTCAGTTAGAGGTCATTACGTCGTAATGTTAAGCCTATGGGAAAATACTAAATTCGGAAAATACTGGAGATATCCGCTTCGTTCTATCACTTTTGTGCTTTGAAACCACAGTACTTAACAGCAGGTCACTTGGTGCTTCTTTTTTGTGTACTTATCCATGGTCAGGTCAAATGAGGTCAACTGAGGTCAAATGACGTTTTTGCCAATAACTTGGCACATAATGACGCTAGAGCTTAAAATGGTGTCATTGTGTTCCTGGCGATCAGCCGAATCGAATGATACGCAATATGATGCAATTTGGTTAGCTTGAACTTAATTAATTAATTAAATTTTACTTAAAAATTAAGAAAAAACTTTAAGCACACTTATGCAAGCTAAAAAGTATATCATTCGACGCGCCTTGACGTGCTGAGTTCACTGGTGCTTTTATTTTTGCGCCATCTTTATTAGATCAAAAGTTATAGGCGAAAAACTTTTGACCTGTTTTTAGAGAAATTTTTACATTTATAACCCCCCCCCCAAACTCCCCTAAATATTGACCTAGAGCAACCAAATTTGCACAGGGGCGAGAACTCCAGGGGGCTCACCTATCTACAAAATTTGGTGTTTCTAGGTTCCATAGGAGCCAATCGCGAGGGGGGTCGCATCGACCCCCCCTGCCAATGTTATGAAAAATGTCCTGCCAGGGCGAGGGTTAACCCCCCAAAATAAAAATATATTTTTTGAATATAATAACCGGAAAATCCAAAAAAGTTTTTTTGAATTTCGAAAAAAACCGGAATATATATGATAGTCCCGACCGCTTTCTATCTACATACCAAAGTTGAGATCGATACCTCTTTTTTTGGCCAAGTTATAGCGAAAAAAAACTGTTCAAAATTGATGACGTCAAATTCTCAAACTCAATTTTTAGCAATTCTAGACGAGCTGCATCGAATCAATACCCATCTTATGCAAAACTATCAACTTTGAAATTTGACCTTTTTTGACCTAACCTTGATTGACCTGACCTCCACCAGAAAGTGACCTTAACTGTACCTGATGGTCTTATAACCAACACCATTGAGTTGGAAATGAAAAATTGGTCATAAAACATGCATCGCACAACCTTAGTAAAGTTGGGTTCATGTGGTGACCCTTGGTGACCCTTGGTGACCTGGCCTATTACCTGACCTGGTATGACCAGTGACCTCTAATAGCAAAATATGTACTAGACAACTGACGCCCTAGCGCTGATTTTCGACAAAATGCGTTTTCCTCGGTGTTATAGCGCTTTCCCTAAAAGACCCGTGAACGGTGAAACATTTTATCTTTGACCTGACGTGTGACGTCATCGGTGACCCCGAGGTCAATGAAATTTGAATTCCTTCGACAAATTTGACAGGGCTATCGAACGCCGTTTGAATTTTCCGGATCCGTCCAGTAGTTTCGGAGATACGGGGGGAGGCAAAAAAAATTGCCCCCCCCACCGCGCGGAAGGTGGCCGGGAGGCCCACCGCCTGCCGGGTTAAGGTCCTAGGTCAACCGGTGACTTCTGAGGTCAGGTCAAGGGCCCAAAGGTACGGTTCCGTTTTTGGTGAATAACTTCGCAAAAACGCCCGCAGAGCCGCTATTTTGGCAACATCGTGTTCACCTCACTCTGGCGCGTCGAATGATATACTTTTTGTTTGGGTGAGGTCAGCTTAGGGTGTTGACCTCGGGTCACGGTCAGGTCAGCGCCCCCAGGTCACGAAGTTGGTCTTAGGAGGTCATGTCGCATATCATTAGATTCGGCAGGTCTTCCTGAGTCCATTGGTGGCTTTCCCGACTCGCTAACTCAATTTGATCGGGGTTATTGACGAAAAACTAATATAACCCTAATGACGTCATAAATGACGTCACGCAAGGTCAACATTGCAAAAATGACGCATAGAACCTTGCAAGAAGTGCACAAAATCACGGTTCTGTGTGCTTGAGATAGTTGGAGATCGTTCCCGGCGCCTGAATAGCAGTTTTCATTTTTCCCCATTGACTTACTCGTATAATGGTGAGGTCACAAAAATGATTTGAGCTCATATGACTTTTAGGAAAGATCCGAGATATGCAAGTTGTGAGACTCCTAATAGATACTACTTAGGTCCTGCAAGTTTCATTTCCCTGGGAAAGCTCCTCTGGCAATGAGGGCGTTGCGAAGTTGCGATATCTGAAGACCATGCAGAGGTTCACTTATTATGTCATTGGTCAGTGACCTGACCTGACCCGAAAATGCAGTTGGTGTCAAAAGATCCGGCTTGAATATCAAAGGTCAGGTATGCCAAGTTTAAGCTCCCTATCGCCGGAGTGTTCGGAGCTATCGCAAAAAAAATGTTGGCGAAATTTCATGACCTGAGATGGCCTCAGGGGCATAAAGAGGGATCATGGGTGGCAATTTTTCGATTCAGTGTGTCATGTCTACCTGTTATGCAATGTTTTAAATTGTTAAGTTTGACCTCCGTCCAAAAAAAGGTGCATTTCAATTTTCTCCCCTTGACCCAATGCAATGGAGAGGCCACTAAATTTTCAGGTCAGGTCAAAAATGACGTTACATGTGTAAAAAGAGTCCGAATGGCGGCGCTAGGGAGTAGAGATAAAGACAGTTTTTACGAATAACGATTGAAGCGACTAAGCTAGGGAAAAACTAATAGCACCATCGTGATCCTCTCGTCAATCCGCATCGAAACATATATATGTTGACTTCAAAAGGTCAAGGTCAAAGGCTGATCTCAGGTCACGTGACCTTAAGGTCATCGTTTATATCATTCGATGCACCTTGATGAACTGAACACAATGATTCCATTCATGCGGCTGTATCTCGTTGCTGTAAGGAGTTTCTAGCAAAAAAAAAAAAAATGGTGAACTGTGATGACGTCAAATGACCTTACAGTTGTCAAATAGCAACTAATAAATCAAGGTAGTCAAGGTTTGTCATGAAGTCATTTATGGTATAATAGGCCATTGCGACTCTTTTCAGGGACAAAATAATACAGTTGATCCCCCTTTGACTTATAATGGGGAGGTCACAAAATTGACCTGACCTGATATATCGGAATGTTGACCTGATATCAAAATTCCGAGATATACAAATTGTAGCTATAATTGACTTCATTACCTCCTGTAACTGTCAAAGTGCTCCGTCATCTACTGTAGCTCTGACACGGTGGCAAAGTTGCTAAAAAGTGATTTGATGTTGAGTCATTCAAAGTGCCATGGTGGCCTAACCTTAGAATGTGGGAGGTTTAAAGTTGCACACGACGTGTAAAAGTGATGTGAAAATAGTCATGGTAAATTTTGCAGCGCTACGCGCTGCAGTTTTCTCACAATTTCCGAAAAACCTCAGGGGGCGGATTAGCCCCTGACGCGCGGGCTAATTGACATTCGCTGACTTACCTTGACCTGTCGGTTCAGCTGATCTAAGAGTGGTTTAAACATATTATAAGTGACTTTTGACAACATTTCAAACACTGCTTGCCGCTACATGGTCCTGGAGACGAGCATGGTGGGTAGTATGATGAAACATCCTCCTCACAGCAGCGTGCGAAAATCCAGAATCACTAGTGATCGAAGAGGTGTGTAAAGTACTGACTGTCGAAAAGTCATATTCAATCCCCAGACCATAAACCAAATATATGCAGTTACTTTGAGAAAAAAGTCTGGACGGCCAGTGTTTTGTGTCTGTGTCTGTGACTGCCGCTACCATCTGCCGCCAGATGGCACTGCTCCGATGGACGGCGGCGGCCACGGCGCTGCTGGCGGCGCCGCACCTCGTGCTCGGTCTCGACAACGGGCTGGCGCTGACGCCGCCCCTGGGCTGGCTGGCCTGGGAGCGGTTCCGCTGCATCACCGACTGCGCTGCCGAGCCTGACAGCTGCGTCAGTGAGGCGCTGTTCCGTGCGCAGGCCGACCGAATGGCTGCCGATGGCTACCTGGCCGCCGGCTACCAGTACATCATCATCGACGACTGCTGGTCGTCCCACGAGCGTGACGCCGAGGGGCGTCTGCAGGCCGACCCGGACCGGTTCCCCAGCGGCATCAAGGCGCTGTCCGACTACGTGCACGGCCTGGGACTCAAGCTGGGCATTTACGGAGACTATGGGACGTACACGTGCGGCGGCTACCCGGGCAGCATCGACCACATGGAGACGGACGCGCAGACGTTCGCCGATTGGGAGGTGGACTACGTGAAGCTGGACGGCTGCTACAGCGACCCTGACTCGATGGACGTCGGCTACCCCGAGTTTGGCGGATACCTTAACGACACCGGTCGGCCGATGGTGTACTCGTGCTCGTGGCCCGCGTACCAGTCGAACCCCGACTACCCAGCCATCGCCCGCGCCTGCAACCTCTGGCGCAACTTTGACGACATCCAGGACTCGTGGGACTCGGTGGCGTCCATCATCGACTTTTACGGCGACCATCAGGAGGAGCTGATCCCAGTGGCCGGGCCGGGCCACTGGAACGACCCGGACATGCTGATCGTGGGCGACTTCGGGCTGAGCTACGAGCAGAGCCGCGCCCAGATGGCCGTCTGGTCGGTGCTGGCGGCCCCGCTCATTATGTCGGTGGACCTGCGCACCATCCGACCCGAGTATGCGGCCATCCTGCAGAACAGCGCCGCGCTCGCCATCAACCAGGATCGGCTGGGCATCCAGGGCAGGCGCGTGTTCCAGGACCAGGGCATGGAGATCTGGCGGCGTGCAATCACGCCCCAGGTGGACGAGCAGTTCTCGTACGCGCTGGCGTTCCTGGACCGGCGCACGGACGGCACGCCGAGCCGGCTGACGATGACGCTGCGCGAGCTCGGCCTCGACAGTCCGACCGGCTACCGGGTGCAGGAGGTGTTCGACGGCCAGTCCTACGGCACGCTGCTGCCGGAAGACTCCATCACCGTCCATGTCAACCCAACCGGTGTCACCTTCCTGCGCTGCGATCTGGTGGCCTAGTGTTGCCATGTGTTCATACAGCCGATTTGATGTGACCTTTCATAAGCGTGTCCGTAGTGTATGCAGACATGCGCACAGGGTTTTTGAATGTGAGAGACACTGCCTCCAGACCGGATCACCTATGCCAGCGACGTTTCCCAGAAGAAAACTCCCAAAGTAATTCAATCTCGTTTTGCTGGAACTTTTGTTTATGTAAACCGTGTTAATTATCAACATGGCCTGCGTTTCAATTCTTGTCTTGTGTAAAACTGTATGTCTAGACACTTTTTCATACTGAACGCGAATTAACCCTCGCCGGCCGAGGGGGGGGGGTGCCGCCCCCCATAGGGTTTTTTTCGCGATAGCTCCGAACACGCTGGGGATAGAGAGCTGAAACTTGGCATACCTGACCTTTGATTCAAGCCGGATCTTTTGACACCAACCGCATTTTTTGGTCAGGTCAGGTCACTGACCTATGACGTCATAAGTGAACCTCTGCACGGTCTTCAGATATCGCAACTTCGCAACGCCCTCACTGCCAGAGGAGATGTCACAGGGAAATGAAACTTCCAGGATCTAGTATCCATTATGAGTCTCACAACTTGTATATCTAAGATTTTTCCTAAAGGTCATATGAGGTCAGGTCATTTTCGTGACCTCACCATTATAAGTCAATGGGGAAAAATGAAAACTGCTATTCTGGCGCCGGGAACGATCTCCAACTATCTCAAGCACACAGAATCGTGATTTGATGCACTCCTTGCAAGGTTAGATGCGTCAGTTTTGCAATGTTGACCTTGCGTGACGTCATTTATGACGTCATCAAGGTCATATTAGTTTTTCGTCAATAACTCTTGATCAAATTGAGCTAGCGGGTCGGGAAAGCCACCAATGGACTCAGGAAGACCTGCCAAATCGAATGATATGCGACATGACTTCATTCGACCAACTTCGTGACCTGGGGGTGCTGACCTAACCTTGACCTGAGGTCAACACCCCAAGTTGACCTGACCCCGACAAAAAGTATATCATTCGACGCGCCTGAGCGAGGCGAACACGATGCTACCAAAATCGCGGCTCTGCGGCCGTTTTTTGCGAAGTTATTCACCAAAAACTGAACCGTACCTTGGGGCACTTGACCTGACCTCAGAGGTCACCGGTTGACCTAGGACCTTAAAATCGGGTACCAATCTCTGCGTCTCGTAACGGCGCACACGCTCGTTTTTTTTTTTCGCGACGCGCTAGCTCCACCAGGGGCGAAACGGCGAGGGGGGTCGTACCCGCCCCCCCCCCCTCGGCCGGCGCGTATGTAGAAAACCAATAGGTCCGGCGAGGGTTAAACTTCAGTCATGCATTTAACCCAACCACCCTGTCGCGCTTTTTTTGCGTGTGAAATTGATTAAAAAAAAAACGCGGCGCGTAGCGCTGCGCCGCAGTAGCTTTTTTTATATCAATTATGGACAATGTGTGAAGTTTTTGACCCCAGGTCATGTCAGGTCAGGTCACCAGGTCAAGTTAACTGACCAAGCCTAACAAAGTTTGCAATCATGTCCAGCCTGCAGTGTTTGTCAGAGAGGTTTTAAACTTGGTAGATGGCATGATGTTGTGGGCACCTATAATTTGTATATCGGATTTCTTATATCCGTGACCTAAGGTCAGGACAGTGGCGTGACCTTTCCATTATAAGTCAATGGAGAAAAATGAGAATGCCTCTAGATCCGTTTGTACGGATAGGAACAGTCAAAATACTTCAGAATCACAATGACTTGGACCACCCGTGACGACCAAGGTGCCTTTTTTGCTGATAGCTTCTAGAAAGGTCATCCGAGGTCATTTGAGATTACAAACAGATTTTTGCCAAACACTCTCGATTGAAAAGAGATGGAACGCTGGGGATGGCTTCATTGTGTTTGTTTTGTCGAGACACATAGAATGATATGCAGCATGACCTATTTTGGTCACCGCGTGACCTTGACCTGAGGTCAAAATTTGACCTTGACCTTTCCAGGTAAAAAATATATTTTTTGAAGCGACTGAAGGAGATTAACACGGCAGTGCCATTGCCAATTCCTCATCTTTGCTTGTTCGAAAGATATTCGTGAAAAAATGTTATCCAAAAACAGCGATTTTCACAGTGTTTGACCTATGGAGGCTTAACCGTTGACCTGAGGTCAATTTGGATGATGACCTTATCAAAAGAACTGTCCAAAGGCAATCGATTGCTTTTCCATGCGCTTTTCTAGCTATCATAGTTCCTGAGATAACGGCATGTTTTCTGAAAAAAATATAATGACATGTGGCAAATTTTCACCTTTGATGACCTCTGGTGACCCCAATATTTCTCTAAGATGAAAAATGACTGAAATACTTTCAAACCTACGCATTGAGAGCTATCGACTACTTTTTACCGCGTCTTTCTAGCTCTCTTAGTTTTACTGTATTTGAGTTAGAGGTGGGTGGTAACATATGCCTCCCCCCCACACACACACTATGGCGAAGTTGGCTGAGACCGCCACTGGGGCGCGGGTTAACCCGCGCCCGGCTGGGGGTCCTGGATTTCCACGCCCTGCTGGGGGGGGGGGTGTTTGAACACCCCCCCCTTGTAACTCGGCTCCTGGGCCACGTAGCGATACGCGGAAAGCGGCGTTCGAAAGAGCGTCAAAAATAATGACGAAATCACTTCGGTCAATTTTTTGTTCAGGTCAAAGGTCAGGTCACCAGAGGTCATTGAAGGCAAAATTGCGCCGATTTCCAGGTAAAATGTCGAAAATTTCCGAGAAGCCAACGCATAACTCGGGAACCAATAGAGCTACAGCGCCGCGGAAAACCGCATTCGATAGCCCTATTAACGCCCTTTCTGAGTAATTCTCTCAGATTTGACCTAACGTCAACGGTTTTGCCTGCAGGGGGCAAAAACTGCAAAAATAGCCGATTTTTTCGGAAACAGTTCTTCTGCAATAACTTTTGACCCAAGCATTGTACGAGCTTACTTTTACCGGCATCGTGTTCCTCTCGTCAAGACGCATCGAATGAACTATGACTTGACCTTGAAAGGTCAACTTGAAAATTTGACCTCAGGTCAAGGTCATGACCTGACCGGAAAGGGTCATGTTGCATATCAGTCGATCCGTATCGTCAAGCTGAACACATCTAAGGCGTTTTCATCGCTCTAGCATACCTCTATCAAAAGTTATTTGCGAAAAACTGCTAGATACCATTCGTGACCAAGATGACCTCAGGGCATAAACAAGGGTCACGGACACCATTTTTATGTTCAGTATGTCTAAACCACTTGTAATTCGGTGTTTGGGAGTGTTTATAATGTCTTTCGTCCAAAAGAGGCGCATTTCAATTTTCTCCCATTGACTTATAATGGGGAGGTCGCAAAATTGACCTGACCTTAGGTCATCGATATCAAAATTCTGAGATATACATTTTGTACATGCTATTGCTCTTAGCAATCGCTGAAAGTTTCAAAGCGATCGATCACTCGGTGTAGCTATGACAGACATTGAAACTTTTTATGAGGTGAGGTCACTTCAAGTGACCTGGTGACCTGACCTTGAATGACCTTGGTCTGAAAATTTCACAACATGTGTAGAATTGATGTATGATAAGGTGTACTAAAAACGGCGGCGCTCCGCGCCGCCGTTTTTGAGATATTTGCGAAAAACCACAAGGGGGGGTGTTCAAACACCCCCCCAGCAGGGCGCGGGTTAAGTCACATATTGAAGCTCTGTTGGATTCGAATTATATTTATTCCTTGGGGACAATCAGCTCCATCTCGGATGGCAGGAGCCATGGACCCTCTTTGGGCTAGACAATAGCGGTATCACTTAACGAAAGTACATTTTAGTCTTTTCAGGCATGGAATACGGTCTCTGACATTTAGTTGTCTTTCTTTTACCCAGAACGAGTGTCTTATATCTGAGTTTGGCATTTCTAAGACTAAAAAATATTAGGTCTTGGGTCCTTACTGGACTCTAGCATGTCTAATTTGATCCTTCGCAGACTTATGACGGGTCCTTTTAGGACAAGGAATGGCACCCGGGACTATGTGTGAAAAACTAACCAGGCCTATACAGACCTCTCGGACTTGATTTGGATTCGACTTCGACTAAACAGGCCTTCCTTGACTGAGTAAGGGCCCCGAAGACCTGAAAATGCATATCAGTCTAGGCCTGAGATAGGGCTGAAACGGCCTGAGAAAATCTGTGAAGCCTGACATTGATCATCTTAGCTCTTAATTAACCCTCAACCGCACAGAGGGGGGCACCCTCAGGTAGTTTTTCTGCTCTGCACTAAACATTTTTACCGCTAGAAGCCTGGGTTTTCGTATAGCTGCTTCTCTATCCCTTCTCAATGACCCCTGAAAATTTCAAGTTTCTGTGGTTTTTGGTTTCGGAGATATAACCTTGTTCTTCAGGTCATGTCATGACCCAAATGACCAATACCCAATATCTTGCGTTGGCTATGGGTCTACTGAGCTTTTTGACACCTTGATTTCGGTATTTTTTTTGCTAGTCCTACCCCCCCCCCCCCCCACCTATCATGGAACATCTTCGACGACGTAGAGACGACGACGTAGATTATTCGACGATGTAAGTACAGATGTAAGAGTCAAGGTCAAGGTCAACCTAGGTCATCTAAGAACATTTCATTTCAGGCTAGCTGAATTTACTTTCGTGAAGTTTTTTTTACTGCATTTCTTTTTGTAAAAGCTTCTCAGTTCATGATCCCATGTAATAGGGACGCACAAACCAACCGGTGCTCACATCAATATACACACAGAGACACACAGACATACAAACACATATCATTGACCTTGACTTAACTTAACCTGAAATGACCACAGCCGGTAAAAGCCTAGTCGGATAGTGTGACAAAAAAGAGCTGTTCTAGCTGGTTTGGCACCACAAACGGCAGCGTCATCGGTATATGATGGGCACCGCTCGTGATGTTCCAACCGTGTCCCCAAACAGCAACACTTTTTAGTTTCACCTGACCTGGAAGGTCAATGATTGACTTAATGAGGTAACATTGGGTACCATTAGATTCGACTCTTCCCAACGAATCTGTTGGTCATTGCCGCGACGCTCTATCTCCAGCAGCGAATAATAAATAGAAATTAATAACAGATAACTTCTTTCTAACTAATAATAAATAGAAAATAAATAACAGAAATAGCGCAGTGGGTGGCAACCCCCACCCCCCACCCCATGTGCGTTCTAGGATGGAAAAATGGCATGTGGTGGCGAGGGTTAAGGGTTGAAAGCGTAGTTGCAAGACAAGACTCTGATTTTTTAAAATGCACTCGCAACTCCTACCTGAGGCGCTGGCCCAGAGAAGGAGCAGTGTCGGCACTGAGAGCGCCTTTCTCGCCATGTCTTGTCTGTGCCCTACCCACGGAGCCGGGCACCTACGGACGATCAGAGTGCGCCGCTGTCCATGGAGGCAGGTGGCCCCGCAGCCTCGCCGCGCCACTGAGTCCCGGTCACTGGTGTCGGCGGCGGCCGACCGGACTTGCCACGTCGGCCCCATTGATTTCAGGCCGTCCGCCAGCGGCGTTCCGTACGCCGCCAACGGAGGAGTTATAGGCCTGGGGCTCCGCTGAGGCGGCAAACTGATGTGTGTCCCTGCCCAGGTGCGGCGCGAGAGCAGGTGTGGGTTACTCGATTATATACCAAGAACAATTGTGTGTGTAGCAAATAACGTCAACGTACGTAAAGGGCATCCTTCTGCACACTTGATGGTCATTGTTACGTCATAATGAACTTTAACCCGCGCCTAAATGGGGGGGGGACTATTCATAGCCCCCTCCCGTTTTTCTGCAATAACTTCCAAACCGCTTGATGTATCGACGCGAAACTTGCGGTACCTTCGTCTGCATCAATTTGAAACGTTGTGTCAGAATATGACCTACGTAACGATCATAAGTCGGCTGGAAATGACGTCAGAGTGATGTCATGTTTAGCCGATTTCGACGCAAAATATTGAACCACGGAAATCGCTCCCAAGAGCTTAGTGGTTAAGATCGATCCAATTTCTTTGCATGAGAGGACTAAGAAAAGACTACGGCATTACTCTGCTATCTCGGATTTTCAAAATATTACAATTTTGAAAATTATATACTTAAAAATTAAAATATTATGTTTTCATTTTTCAAAAATTTTCAACTTTTCGAAAAACCGGAATACATGTGATAGAATACCCGCTTGTGACTAACTCTAGCAAGTTTTAGCCAGATATCTTCACAAATGGCCAGGTTATATGCATTAGGTATAGCAAAATATTAACAACTGTATTTTTTTTTAATCAATTTTTCAGTACATATTTGACATCGTACACCAATATATCTAGCACCATCGTGTTCCCAAACTGAAACTGCAGCCGATAGACACGTTTTTGTTGCAAAATTCCAACCTGAAAATTTGACCTTTTTTACCTGAAAAAGGCCCGACCTAAGCTAAATTCAACTCAAAATGACCTCGAGTGACATAAACGACAACGAATTCGAAATATATGGCCTAAATGGATCATAAAACATGCTTCACGTGACCAACGTATGATATCAGATTTCCGTGACACGTGTTGACCTGACCCTGACCTGAAAATCAAAGTACAAGTTTGGTACCCTCAGGGCATCTAAAGCAGCTGTTCATGAGTGTGTAAACAAAAAATGAGTCTGATCTGACTTGTAAGACGGCGTCCAGAGTCCAAAATGTGAACAAGCCATACATCGATAATTTTCATTTTGACCTGAGGCGTCATCGGTGACCTCGAGGTCAATGAAACTGACCTCAGGTCAACGGTCTAGCCTCCAGAGGGCAAAAACTCCAAAAATAGCTGCTTCACGAAAAGTGTTTTTCGACAATAACTTTTTACTAAAAAAAAGCCACGACATTTCTATTGCCAGAATCGTGTTTCTCTCGCCGAGACGCATCGAATGAACAATAATTTGACCTTGAAAGGTCAATTTAAAATTTGACCTCAGGTCAAGGTTATGACCTGACCGGAAAAGGTCATGTTGCATAACAGTACATGCGTCTCGGAAAGACAAACACAATGGGACCACCCCCACGTTCTATCTCTTTCCAATCAAGAGTTATTGGCAAAAATATGTTTGTAGCCTCAAATGACCTCGGATGACCTTTCTAGAGGCTATCAGCAAAAAAGACACCTTGGTCGTCACGGGTGGTCCAAATCGTTGTGATTCTGAAATATTTGGACTGTTCCTATGCGTACACACGGATCTAGAGGCATTTTCATTTTTCTCCATTGACTTGTAATGGAAAGGTCACGCCACTGGCCTGACCTTAGGTCACTGATATAAAAAATCCGAGATATTCAAATTATAGGCGCCCATAACATCATGTAATCCACCAAGTTTAAAACCTTTCTGACAAACACTGCAGGCTGGACATGATTGCAAACTTTTTTAGGCTTGGTCAGCTAACTTGACCTGGTGACCTGACCTGACATGACCTGGGGTCAAAAATTTTACACCTTGTCCAAAATTGATGTACAAAAAGGTACTCCAAGCGGCGCGGCGCTACGCGCCGCGGTTTTTTATTCACACGCAAAAAACGCGACAGGGTGGTAACATAAGCCCCCCCCTCCTACTGGGGCGAAGGTTAAGCGTGTTAATCCACTAAGCCTTCCGGCGGCGGCTACAGTTTCAACTCAAGCTGCTGGCTGGTTCTTCGGATGTACGCCGTGTCTGCTCGCCAAATTTCTACACGAGCCATCTGCGCTGGCTAACCTGGCCACGTCGACACGCGTCAGTTTCTACTCGCGTTTCTGTACGCGTCAGTTTCTGCGCCCGTCTCCTGAGAGGGCACCTGGTTGGCTCTTCGGTCTACGGACGCGCGCGATCTCTGCGCGGTTTCTGCGTGCCGACCCCTGCTGGTTCTGCGGCGTGCGTCATACGCGCGTGCAGGCTTCTCTGCGCGTCAGCTTCTACGTGGGCTGACTTCGGCGCTGCCGGTAACACTGCCGGTAACGCTGCCGGTAACGCTGCCGGTAACGCCGCCGGTAACGCTGCCGGTAACGCCGCCGGTAACGCCGCCGGTGACTGCCGGCTCCTGCTCGCCTCAGTGGCGTGGCCAGCGACTGTCACCCGCGCAACGGATAGCCAAGTAAAGTAGACTTTATTCGACGCAGGGTACGACGACGACGCAAGTATACGACTCTCTCTCGACTCTCTCGAGTATATATATGTATATACAGTATATAGAGTATATAAAGATATACTCTCTCGACGACGCAAGTATATCTTTACAGCCCATAGCTAATGCATGTATTTGCGGTGGGCGCATTTGAATTCAATTGCACCATGGTGTGGGCGCATTTATCGAAGGTATTCGACAATTGCACCCTTTGCAACACTTTCTAAAACGACCGTGTCTGGCTAATGAGTTGAAGTATGCGATAAATTAGTGTCTAAAAGGTAGGAAAAAGGTTTCTAAATATAATGTGAAAACAACTAACCTGTGCTGTCTTTGTATTCCAAGCTGAAGCCAGTTTCGCTTAACGTGGCGCAATATGGCCAGTCTCCCCTATAGTGACGCATCTAACCTTGCAAGGAGTGCATCAAATCACGATTCTGTGTGCTTGAGATAGTTGGGATCGTTCCCGGCGCCAGAATAGCAGGTTTCATTTTCCCCATTGACTTATAATGGTGAGGTCACGAAAATGACCTGACCTCATATGACCTATAGAAAAATTGGAGATATACAAGTTGTGAGATTCGTAATGGATACTAGCTCCTGCAAGTTTCATTTCCCTATGAAAGCTCCACTGGCAGTGAGGACGTTGCGAAGGTGCGACATCTGAAGAACGTGCATAGGCTCACTTATGACGTCATAGGTTATTAACCTGACCTGACCCGAAAATGCGGTTGGAGTCAAAAGATCCGGCTTGAATCAAAAGTTAGATATGCCAGGCTTCAGCCCTTTATCACCGGTGTGTTCGGAGCTATCGCGAAAAAAAAAACATATAGAGGGCGGCACCCGCCTCCCCCTCGGCCGGCGAGGGTTAACCTTCCAGGCGGTAGGGGGGGGCATTTTTTTGCCCCCCCCCCTTAGTTTCTTATATATATCCAGAATCGCTGCGCTGATCGTCACCAAACTCTCAGTATCCTTCCGTGAATAGCTTTTGCACATTGGGACCAAAAAATTTCCAAAGGCTATGATAGGTTGGCCGCTAATGACGTCGGAGTGACGTCCTTTCTACCATTTTCGACCCAAAAAGGGCTTCGCGAGAAGAGCTGTCAGGCCTACAGCTTTAGAGATACAAAAAAAATGTTTCGGCATAAAAGGTGTAAAATCAACAGGGCTACAAAACTGCGGTCTTGGATTTTTGAAATTTTTGAATTTTGACCCCAAAAATAAAAATAGAGTTTTGAATATGATGATAGCCGAAAAATCCAAAATATTTTTACGATTTTCAAAAAGCCGGAATACCTATATGTGATAGTCCCTAACACCTTCCATCTACATAACAAATTTGAGATCGATACGTCTTTTTTTTGGCCAAGTTATAGCAAAAAAAAAACCTGTTCAAAATTGATGACGTCAAATTTTCAAACTCAATTTCTAGCAATTCTAGATCTCGTAGCGCAAAACACAGACTACCATTAGACTCCACTTGTCGAGCTGCATCGAATCAATACCCATTTTATGCAAAGCTATCAAGTTTGAAATTTGATCTTTTTGAACTGACCTTGACCTGACCTCCACCAGAAAGTGACCTAAACCGTACCTGATGGTCTTATAACGACACCATTGAGTTGGAAATCTCTCTCTTTTTCTCTCTCTCTCTCTCTCTCTCTCTCTCTCTCTCTCTCTCTCTCTCTCTCTCTCTCTCTCTCTCTCTCTCTCTCTCATGCTGACCTTTGGTGACCTGACCTGTGACCTGACCTGGTATTATCAGTGACCTCTAATAGGAACATATGTAGTAACTTTTAGGCAACTGACGGCTATCGCTGATTTTCGACAAAATGCATTTTACTCGGTTTTATAGCGCATTCCCTAGAAGATCCGTGAACGGCGAAACATTTTATCTTTGACCTGACTTGTAACGTCATTGCTGACCCCGAGGTCAATGAAATTTGTTTTCTTTCGACAAATTTGACAGGGCTATTGAACGCCGTTTGAATTTTACGGATCCGTCCAGTAGTTTCGGAGATACGGGGGGGAATGCCCCCCCTCCCAACGCGCGGAAAGTGGCCGGGAGGCCCACCGCCTGCCGGTTTAAAAGGCTTTTAACGGAACATGTTTGCAATGATATATTCATATACACTTATATCAGACTTCAGAACTAATTTTTACTCGCACCGCGCATGTCGACAGCACTCGCTGCTGAGTTCACTGTTGAGGTCACTCGCTGCTGAGGTCACTGCTGAGGTCACTCGCTGCTGAGGTCACTGCTGAGGTCACTCGCTGCTGAGGTCACTGCTGAGGTCACTCGCTGCTGAGATCACTGCTGAGGTCACTGCTGAGTTTTCGTTCGTCTCGCTATCGGCGCCGTGAGAGAGGCCAGGTGGCGGCCGAGCGGCAGCAGCAGCAGCAGCAGCAGCAGCGGGGGGCCGCCGGCCGCGGGCGCCGCGTTACAGTAGTCCGGCATGGCGCAGCAGTAGGTGGTCCCGCCGTGTACCTCTGCCAAAGAAGGCCGGAAGCGCCCCTCTGAGTCACCGGAGCCACGGATGGACAGTCGAGAACGAGCAAAACTTAATGATGTCCTAGTACTATTGTCTCAGAACCCATACAAAGTCGGTATGTCGGATTTCCGAGCATGTCAAGAAAGCGTCGCATACTATAGATAGAATGCGACGTGTCTTTACAGATCTGTAAAGGCAGGGCACGCCACCTTCCTCAGATTAGCCATGAATATACTATTTAGGCAAACAAAAATAGGGATGTCAATTTGGTATAGGTATCCCGTTATAGTTTACTGTTTATTAAAGGCATTCGCGACTGATACCTGTTTCATATGACCTTCAGCATTTTCAAAATTTAGAGAACAGATCGGAGATTTGAAGTATTGTAGGCATATTGACTTTTGTGAACAAAAACAGCTTTATTTTCAAAAACGTCGAGCAATATTCTGCAGTTCCGCTAGCTCGCGCACCGACGGGGGGGCGGTTATCCACCCCCCCCCCCCTGAGGGTTTTCGTGATTAGCGGGAAAACCGTGGCGCGAAGTTTGGCATGACTATACGCTTATCAGTTTTACACATGGTGTGCAAGATTGAACCTCCTAACTTTTAAGGTCAGGTCACCAGGTCACGTTGGATGACCCAACCTCCAGTCACCTTTTTGCAACTTTGCCAGTGTCAGAGCTACAGTAGATGACGGAGGCTTTTGAAAGTCGCAGGATGTCATTAGGTCATTGGTAGCTACAATTTGTGTATCTGGGAATTTCGATATCAATGACTTAGTCAGGTCAATTTCTCGACCTCCCCATTATAAGTCAATGGGAGGGGGATCAACTCCCTGCTTTTTTTTCACTAAAACGCGTCGGAATGGCTCCATATACCATACATCACTTCATATACGATCAACCTTGACTACCTTGAGGCCTGTTTTGCTGTTGGCCTGCTGTAAGGTCATGTGACGTCAACAAAGGTCACCAACGGTTTTTTTGCCAATACCTCCTTACAGGAACGGGATACAGCCGCGCGGATGGTCTCATTGTGTTCAGCACGTCAAGGCGCATCGAATGATATGCATGATGACCTCGAGGTCACGTGACCTGAGGTCAACCTTTGACCTTGACCTTTCGAGATCAACATATATATGATTCGATGCGGATTAACGAGATGATCACGATGATGCCCTTTGCTTGTTCCTAGCTTGACTAATTCGAACATTATTCGAGAAAAAACTCCATATCTAGCGCCGCCACTTTGACTTTTTTGACTCCTGTGACGTCATCTTTGACCTGACCTGAAAATGATCCCAGTAAAAATTGTAGACGTTGTCCGTGCGTACCCCATGCGGTTTACCGCTTGTCGCTATCTTGCTTCGTTCTCGAGACCTCAGGGGGGCGGTCATCCGCCCTCCACCCGTCGGTTATAAACTTTGGCGTAGACCCCCGTCGGTGCGCGGGTTAAACGTCTACCGGTACTGAGCTGGAAAACTTAAATCCCATTTTTACTTGACGCTTGACCCGGCTTAAAGGTAGTGTGCCACCTTCCAAAGATTTTCCATTTTATTTTTCCTAGGATAAGAAGCTTCTGTTTTTACCTAATATCGCAAAAAATCAAAAATGGGCCTAAAATAGTGCTTTTTTCGCCTAAAAGTTTATCGGTTTTTCGATATGTATAACAACTGTAGTGGGCTGACCTGCAAACAGGCGTCGGCAACAATCGCGAATGTGGCGCACATGTGACAATAAGCAAAGGTCATTATAGAGTTACGACGTACGGGAATGAGTTATCAGCTGTCTAATCGTAGACAACACAATGTCGAGTTTCTACTGTAAGCCTGTATTGGTATTGTTTCTTTAATTTGGCTGTCGAACATTAATTTATGGTTTGAAATATTATGTGATGTAAAATAATTGACATGAAACAGCCGTATCTAAAGTTAAGAAATGACAATGATCAGATGACGCATTTTTCTTGGCCGAAGTCAGAGCGCTCGGCCCAACGCACCACCACCGCACCACAAAGTATGAGGGGCCCTGGTATTAACTGGATTATTTGCCAGCTGGCGCCGTATGGTGGCGCTAGCAGAGCTTCTTACATATCAATGCTACATATTAAAGAATAAATATTTACCTATCAATTTTACATTTAAAGCCATTTGAAACATTTAAATCCATCCTACTACCTCGCTTATACCTATATTAAAATACCTATCGTATGTCGCCAGCTGGCCAGCCAGCTGACGCAATCCAGTTTTTACCGAGGCCCAGTATGAGCAGAAGCCACCTGCGGTAGACCACGCCCAAAGCCAGGGCCCCGGTAACGTGAGGTAGCCGAGTCGGGGCAGCGTGCGCTGACCCAAGCCGGGGCCGCGGCTTTGGGCGCGGTCTATCGCATACCGGGCAGCCCCGGGCTATCACATGACACCGGGAGGACGCGCGGCCCCGGCTTGGGTCAGCGCACGCTGCCCCGACTCGGCTACCTCACGTTACCGGGGCCCTGGCTTTGGGGCGCGGTCTACCGCACCACCTAACAGGCGTGTTCGAAACCGCAGGAGATGATGATGAACGGGTTTATCGAAACTTGATTGGATGAGCCTATCGGTAATAGCGATTTCAGTGTGTGCATTTATTGTTCATAGTGGTGTGAAATGTGGTTTGGGTACGACCGACAACCCGTCGGGGCGAATTTCGCACTGGGGTACTCAAAATTTGAAGAATTTAAGACGTTTCCATGAGTTTTGAAGGTATGGATAAGTTCTAAAAATCCGGTTCTCCTTATCTGGGCCATTAACTCCATACGGTCCAGGAAAGCTGGCACACTACCTTTAACCCTCGCACGACCAGGCCATTTCTCATAACACGAACGACCAGGGGGGGTTGTTACGACCCCCCCCCCTGGCGTTTCGAAACGGAAGGTCGTAGAGCTTAGCGGAAAAAACCAACGGATTGCTCTCAACGAGATCTCGCGATTGGTGGTATATTTTTTGGTCCTAGGTCAACCTAGGACCTACTTTTGACCGGTCAAAGGTCAAATTTTCGGAAAAATAGACTTTTTTCAAATTTCGGCGGCGATTGCGGCAAAACGGTGGGAGATATCGACTTGAAATCTTCACTATCGTGTTCCTTGATCAATTCTCTATCGTTTGGTATGTATTTCGTTTCCCTAGCTCTAAAAATGGCGCGTTGGGAGCGCCGGAAGTCGGCAAGGTCACAGTCGGCGACAGAAATTCGAAAAATCAAAATTTAAATTTTTGAAATCTGATTGTATTTTTGGATTTGGGAGGTCCATTTGCTCCCTATAGAAGCTAATATTGCTGCATATTCCCATTGAGGTGACAAGAAATAGCAAAATAGTGGTTCGGGCGCTTTTCAAAAATAGTACCGGACGCTGTTCCTCTTGTGACGTCATAGCTCCGTGACCTGACCTGACCCGGTCAAATTTCTTATACCATATGATAGCCAATACTTGCCCCAACATGCATGGGAAGTTTCATCACGATCCATCAACCGATGTCCGTACCACCGTCAGGAAACCTCGGGCGTTGGCACTCAGTTTGTGAAAATCCGGCCGGAGGCTGTACCTCTTATGACGTCATAACTCCGTGACCTGACATGACCCGATCAATTTTTTTCGGCAAAAAATGCGCAAAGGTTGCCCCAGAGGGTATTGAAAATTTCAGCCCGCTACGACAAGCCGTTTAGCGTGCACTTCGAAAAAACCTCAGGGGGGGGGGTTGATACAACCCCCCCCCCCCTAGGCGTTCTAGGGTTAAGAATAACAGGACAGTTTTGTAATAGGTTCATTTCGTTATTTTGGATGCCTTCTGTAGTTTTGCTTTTTCCGCACTACCGACATTGCTAAATATTAGTTAACCCTCGCCCACACATGCCATTTTCCCATCCTAGAACGCACATGGGAGGGGGGGGGGGGTGCCACTCCCCGCGCCATTTCGTTCCTGCTGGAGATAGAGCTTCGCGGCAAACACCAACAGATTCTTTTGGAATAGACGAATCCAATGATACCCAATTTTACCTCATTAAGCCAATCATTGACCTTCCAGGCCAGGTCAAACTAAGAACTGTTGCTGTTTGGGGCCACCGTTGAAATATCACGTGCGGTGCCCATCATATACCGATGACGCTGCCGTTTGTGGTGCCAAGCCAGCTAGAACAGCTCTTTGTCACAATACCACCGGCTGTGGTCATTTCAGGTCAAGCTAGGTCAAGGCCAATGATATGCGTTTGTATATCTGTGTGTGTCTTTGTGTATACTGATGTGTGCACCAGTGTTCGCCACGGGCCGGGCCAGCCTGTTAGGATGTGAGATGACGTCACCGGTGACGTCATATGATGACCTCTGACGTCACCGGTGCGGGACGGACGGGGATTGGTCGCCTGCGGCTGTGCGGTGACCGGCCGAGATGGTCTGGGCCGAATACACCAGTTTGGATCGAGCCAGAGTGTGTGGCGGACGTCACCTCAAGCTACAACAGTGGCGACGAGGATGAGATTCGAACTCACGCGGGGACACCCTATTGGATTAGCAATAGGCCATGGGCTGTGCTGGGCTACGGGCTGGGCTGGGCCCACACTGTGGGCCCAGGCCCATATTTGGCAAATATGAAGGATCGATGGGCTGTGGATGGGCTGGGCCAGTAACTGTAAAGTGGATTCAAGGGTTCGCGACTGAGACAAAAACCAGAACTATAGCTTATTACTGTGCGACTTAAGAAAAAAAAAACGAGATGATAAAGCATGTATGCAATGTGCTTTGGGCATGCTGCTCGCGAAAGATTGTTTCTTTGCTAACTTCGGATGACCCGTGTGGTGTCCACAATTTTTGATCCATTCATTTTTGACGGGCTGGGCCGGGCTGGGCTCTGACACTTTTACCATGAATGGGTTCGGGCTGGGCATGGGCCTGGGCTGGGCTGGACTGGGATTTTGCGGCCCGTGGCGAACACTGGTGTGCACCGATTGGTTTGTGTGTCCCTATTACATGAGATCATGATCTGAGAAGCTTTTACAAAAATGCAGTCAAAAAATTTCATGAAATGTAAATTCAGCAATCCTAAAATGCAATGTTTTTAGATGACCTAGGTTGACCTTGACCCTAACCCTAACACATGGCACATCGTCGAATAACATGTTCCATGATAGGTGGGAGGTAAGACTAGCAAAATAAAAAAGACATTAAGGTGTCGAAAGCTCACAAGACCCATTGCCAACGCAAGATATTGAGTTTTGGTCATTTGGGTCAGGACATGACCTGAAAAACAAGGGACAAAAATCACAGAAAGTTGACATTTTCAGTGGACACTGAGAAAGGGAAAGAAGCAGCTATACGAAACATCAGGCTTTTAGCTTGAAAAAATGTTGATTGCAGAGCAGAAAAACTACCTGACTATCACCAGACCCCAATATTTAGTAAAATGCAAGCAAACAAGCATTACCCTTATTGAGTGATCTACTCTACAGGCTACGAAAAGTCTCCTCCTGGCCAGCGGTGCCCTGTTCCGGTATTCATTGCCAAAGGTCAGTGACCTGCCGGCTCTGATTTTGCTCAGGTTTGCAAGCGAAGAAACTGAGGCTAATGCGCGTGCTCTCTGATCGGCGCCGGCCGCGGCCAAAATTCTGCAAAGATGCACCCGTCACGTGCAAACCGGCGAGCGCACCCCCACCAAAATTTAGTACAACAAACAGATGCACGCGTCCGACTTGCGTTGAAAATTTCACCCCCGTAGCCCGCACCGTTCCGGAGCAATAGCCCGCCAAGCGTGACTGACGCGTTACATACATACGGACATTTTGATGGTTTACATACAACCAGGACATCATCAATGTCCTGGTTGACAGTGACATACGCCGGCGATCACCGCTAAGAGCGGCATGGAATGATGCTCTGGGAGTGCCATGAATCTTCATGTTATGTAGCATTGGACCAAGTGTCTGTAAATACAAAGTTCTCTCTCTCTCTCTCTCTCTCTCTCTCTCTCTCTCTCTCTCTCTCTCTCTCTCTCTCTCTCTCTCTCTCTCTCTCTCTCTCTCTCTCTCTCTCTCTCTCTCTCTCTCTCTCTCTCTCTCTCTCTCGCTACGTGCTAACCTTTCAACATGCACGGACACCGCCATCTATGTGTCGATGAACAAAGCACAGAACTTTCAAATAGCAGTCCCGCGGGACTGCCAAAGAACTCAAGAGGGCCGTGATGTCCGCAGTGCGCCAAAGGCGGCACAAGGGTTTAACAAAGACCTGCAGGATAATGCTGGAATACGCGCCGCGACCTGGCAAGCTGTGCCTGGCGCGAAAAACACCTGCAATTCACCCTCGTTCGCTGCAACTGAGCAGCACGGAGTCTGCACGGAGCAGACTCTGCTTCATAAAATGGCATTGGGCATGACAGCATGTTTGTCGTTTTGCAAAGGATTGGTGGGCCCGAGCCTTGACAATAATTTTCCGTTTTAACCCTCGCCGGTATAGGGGGAGGGGGGTCAAGGGGACCCATTTGGTTTTTTTGCGAATAACTCGCGTAAAAAGCGGCCGATCGCGACGAAACTTTCGGTACCCTCGCGTTAATCAATTTTACACCTACCTTAACCCGCGCCCCAGTGGCGGTCTCAGCCAACTTCGCCCTAGTGAGGGGGGGCATATGTTACCACCCACCTCTAACTCAAAAACTAAGAGGGCTAGAAAGACGCGGTAAAAAGCAGTTGATAGCTCTCAATGCGTACGTTTGAAAGTATTTCGGTCATTTTTCACCTTAGAGCAATATTGGGGTCACCAGAGGTCATCAAAGGTCAAAATTTGCCAATTGTCATTATATTTTTCAGAAAACATGCCGCTATCTCAGGAACTATGGTAGCTAGAATAACGCAGGGAAAAGCAATCGATAGCTTTTGAACTCTTCTTTTGAAAAGGTGATTATCAATATTGACCTCAGGTCAACGGTTTGGCCGCCAGAGGGCAAAAAGTCCAAAAATAGCTGTTTTTACGAAAAGTGTTTTTCGACAATAACTTTCGACAACAAAAAGCCACGACATTTCTATTGCCAGAATCGTGTTCCTCTCGCCGAGACGCGTCGAATGAACTATAATTTGACCTTGAAAGGTCAAGTTGAAAATTTGACCTCAGGTCAAGGTCATGACCTTACCGGAAAAGGTCATGTTGCATATCAGTCGATGCGTCTCAACAAGGCAAACACAATGAGACCATCCCCAGCGTTCTATCTCTTTCCAATCGCGAGTTATTGGCAAAAAAACTGTTTGTAGCCTCAAGTGACCTCGGATGACCTGTCTAGAGGCTATCAGCAAAAATGACACCTTGGTCATCACGAGTGGACTAAATCATTGTGATTCTGAAATATTTGGACTGTTCCGATGCGTACACACGGATCTAGAGGCATTTTCATTTTTCTCCATTGACTTGTAATGGAAAGGTTTCGCCACTGACCTGACCTTAGGTCACGGATATAAAAAATCCGAGATATACAAATTGTAGGCGCCCATAACAGCATGCAATCCACCAAGTTTGAAACCTTTCTGACAAACACTGCAGGCTGGACATGATTGCAAACTTTTTTTTAGGCTTGGTCAGTTAACTTGACCTGGTGACCTGACCTGACATGACCTGGGGTCAAAAATTTCACACATTGTCCAAAGTTGATGTACCAAAAGCTACCCCAAGCGGCGCGGCGCTACGCGCCGCGGTTTTTTATTCACACGCAAAAAACGCGACAGGGTGGTAACATATGCCCCCCCCCACTGGGGCGAAGGTTAAATATTCATGACCCTGACCCAAATGACCTATGACCTGTGACCTACTTTTCGAGACCATGTTTGGCCGGAATCACAATTCGGCGTATGTCGGCTCGCATTAGCCACGCGTTTGCCGTCTTTTCGTGGTTTCAAGCGTTCAAACAACATGTGATATGATATGATGCTGCCCCCATGCAATAGGGTGGGTGTTAAGGTCACCTGAAGATCAGGTCAGGTCATTGACCTTTGATGACTCGGTTCATGTTTCCGAGTTTTGCATGTTTCTAGGCTAGTTTTTGGAGCTGAATTCGAATTTAGCAACCATATGAACATTTACGAGGTACATTGTTTTGGTGCCTTCGTAACATGTTACGGACCTGTCAGAGGCGGTTGACACCTACTACGAATATCCGGCAGCACCCCTACTGGTTGACCTGACTTGACCCGACCCGAACTGGCCTAAATGCATGAATACATCATCGGTGATCAAAACTAACATGGTATTCGTGATCAGCACCCCGAAAAGCCCTAAAGCAGCCACACCTTACGACGTTCTAACAGGTCCCGATTTTCCCGGCTTTTGGGTCATTGACCTGACCTGGAAGGTCAACCAATGACCTAGGACCTTAAACTTGGGTTTCATCGGACTCCTCTCGTCACGGGCAGCACGCTCGTTTTTTCGCGAAGCTCTAGCTCGATCAGGGGCGAAACGGCAAGGGGGTCCACACGACCCCCCCTCCCGTATACGTTCGCGGCTGGAAAAACACCAATACGGGCGAGGGTTAATCCTCACCCGTACCTATTGGTGTTTTACCAGCCGCTAGGGTACAAGGGAATGGGAGGCACGTTGGACCCTCCCCCTGCCGTTTGACCTTGGTCTGCTAATATCAAAACATGCAAAACAACTACAGGAAGCTACATCAGTTTCTTGAAATCAATTCGCCTTTTTCTAAGCTGAACACGCCTAATACCGATAAACTTACCATTTCCTTTTGCATGAAACAGTCAATATCATGGTTAAAGGTTTTTATCGTTTTTATTGCAATACGTTTTAAGTTAAAACTCATGCAAGAATGTAGGTACTCTATTTAATTAAGGCATATCTTGTGGAACTAAAATAAAATCAAGTAAGATGATTGAATGGTGTGAAACGTTTTTTTTAGCATGATTATGATTATAATGGAAATCAGATGGATAGTAACCTTTTGCTCATAACTAAAGTAAGCCAAAAACAAATCCAAAATATATTTTCGGTGCTTGACCTTCTTCAGTGGAATGACAAAAACACGAAAGAGTGACACATTTTAAATCATGATAAGTAAGTACGCACTCGCAACGCTAATAAAGCTACTTCCGAGAAAACACATCACATTCATATAAAACATCCAGATTTTTGAAGGCATCAAACATAAGGCATTAGATACTGGAAAACATTGGACAGCATACCTAATATCAAATCGCTATGATATATGGTACATATGTATCACGTACATCACAGTTCTAAATGAGCGATATCAGTATGTAGCAGACACACAGTATCTAACAAGTAAAGATCATTCACATACGTTAGCATCAAACACTTCGTGAATGGTGTGTAGTGCATACAAAATACAGGCACGTACTCTTCAATGAGCCTAACATAAAGAGTGGGCCCTGTGTGTGTGTTGAAGTGTAAATAAATATGTTCATGTTCATGCCTGTTTGCGCCACTGAATGTGTTTGTGTGTGTGGGGGGGGGGGGGGGGTGCAAGTGTATAGGTGGGGGTGGGTGTGGGTGGGTATGTGTGTGAAGGTGGCATTTACTATGTACTCATAGTTCAGAGTAGGGCACAGGTAGTTCAGAGTAGGGCACAGAGTAGGGCACAGGCTCATTGAAGAGTACGTGCCTGTATTTTGTATGCACTACACACCATTTACGAAGTGTTTGATGCTAATGTACGTGAATGATCTTTACTTGTTAGATACCGTGTGTCTGCTACATACTGATATCGCTCATTTAGAACTGTGATGTACGTGATACATATGTACCATATATCATAGCGATTTGATATTAGGTATGCTGTCCAATGTTTTCCAGTATCTAATGCCTTATGTTTGATGCCTTCAAAAATCTGGATGTTTTATATGAATGTGATGTGTTTTCTCGGAAGTAGCTTTATTAGCGTTGCGAGTGCGTACTTACTTATCATGATTTAAAATGTGTCACTCTTTCGTGTTTTTGTCATTCCACTGAAGAAGGTTCAGCACCGAAAATATATTTTGGATTTGTTTTGGCTTACTTTAGTTATGAGCAAAAGGTTACTATTCCATCTGATTTTCAAGTAAGATGAGGTTAAGTTTGTCATCGGTGTGTGTGGAAATGACAGAACGTCTACATATGTTTCCACAGCTGCCGCTTTGCTGAGGCAAATTGCAGTGCAATATGCATTAGCATGGCTACCGACTCCAGCATCTGGCCGCGCCAAGGCGCACCAGCACTGCCGTCTACCCGTGATTCATGAATGGATTCTTTGAACAGAGTGCCATTTTCTAATTACATTTCATTCTACGCTTATTAAGTGGAGCTCATTACGCACTTGAAAAAATCCAATTTCTTGGCAGTCCAATTTTGCCGTTAAAAAGAAAAATTACATTCCATCGGGGGCACTCAGCGCTCTCTTACTTACCATACGGCTTACAGAAGTCGGTGCACATCTTCACCATCCGATTCCCGTTGACGTGCTTCTGCGAATAGCCAGTGGAAAGTTCGGAGAGTCAGCCCTGGAGCCAGAGGGAGTCGGGCCTCTGTGTAGATTATCTCTGTGGTTGCTGTCATGTAATAAAATCGCGATAAAGAAACGTATAGAGCGCAAGACCGATTTAAATGGACCATCCCGCCTTCAAAAAACCTAATGAATAGGCATAAAAGTGGTGTACCACGGTTTAGAAAGAGCAAAAATGAATATCTGCCAAAATTTTGAAAAAAATATTCACTGGTTTTTGAAATGTTAGACATCTACCCTTGCTTATTCTTGTGGAGCCAACACTAATCCTATGACGTCATTTGGAAGCAATATTTTAGTATCTTAACCCTCGCCCGTAAACGGTGTTTTGCCACCTTCGCCCATGCAGGGGGGGGGGGGGTTGGTGCGACCCCCCTGGCGTTTGAAAACGGAGCGTCGTAGAGCTTAGCGGAAAAGACCAACGGATTTCTCTCAACGAGATCTCGCGATTGGTGGTATATTTTTTGGTCCTAGGTCAACATTTGACCTACTTATGACCGGTCAAAGGTCAAATTTTCGGAAAAATCTAACTTTTTCAGATTTCCGCGCCGATTGCGGCAAAACGGTAAGAGATATCGACTTGAAACCTTCACTTTCGTGATCCTTGATCAATTCTCTATCGTTTGGTGTGTGTTTCGATGTCATAGCTCTAAAAATGATGCGTTGGGAGCATCGGAAGTCTGCAAGGTCATTTGTACATTGGGTCACGTCAGGCGTGTGACGTCACTGACCTGACCTTGACCCAAAATGAACTACAAGAAACAACCGACGATGCCTGAAATGGATAGCAAATTCGAATTCAGGGCATCAAAATACCCCGAAAAGGCATACAAGTGCAAGAAGTCATTACAGGTCAACCGAGGTCACTGACCTTACCTTGACCTTTAGTAACCTTCAAAAGGTCAACGGACATTGTGCCAATGTCAAATCAGCCAGTTGTGATTCTAAAACAATCCATCAGTGTGTCAGGTCAGTCGGAATTTATACCAATGTGAAGCAATCTCCAATTTAGCGTAAATCTGGCTGGAGGTTGTTCCCTTTATGACGTCATAACTCCGTGACCTGACATGACCTTGACAAAAAATACCAAAAGTTGCGCAAAGGATGCCACAAAAGGTACTGAAAATTTGAGCAGGCTATCTGAAACGGTTCGGCGTGTATCTAAGAAAAACCTCAGGGGGGGGGGGGGGGGGGTTGCACCCCCCCCCCCCTACATGGGCGAGGGTTAACCACCCCTTGCATGGGCGAAGGTGACAAAACACCGTTTACGGGCGAGGGTTAAATGTGCGGCAGATGTTGCGCGCCAAACAGCATATACCACTACTGCTTTACAAAGGTTTTAGTATAAGATTCTATAATCGCTAGATTTGCGCTAACGTCACAAATTTAGACGGGGTATTCAAATGCATTAGCCGTTCTGAATTCAAGTGAATTCACTTTGAAATTACATATTTTCGATTTAGGGCATTTCTCGACGTTGCGAGTGCCAAAACCGGTGATTGTTAGCCAGGGACCCCATTTGGGCTATCTCAACTCAAATGTAATGTTGCCCTCGCCTGCATATGTAGGTGAGTGGTTGCCATCCCCCCCAGATAGTTTTTCTGCTCTGCACTGAACATTTTACCGCTAGAAGCCTGAGTTTTCGTATAGCTGCTTCTCTATCTCTTCTCAGTGTTCCCCGAAAATTTCAAGCTTCTGTGGTTTTTGGTTTCGGAGATATGATCTTGTTCTTCAGGTCATGTCATGACCCAAATGACCAATACCCAATATCTTGCGTTGGCTATGGGTCTTCTGAGCTTTTAACACCTTGATTTCGGTATTTTTATCTAGTCTTACCTCCCACCTATCATGGAACATGTTATTCGACGATGTACAGATGTAAGGGTCAAGGTCAAGGTCAGCCTAGGTCATCTAGGAACATTTCACTTCAGGCTAGCTGAATTTACTTTTCGTGAAGTTTTTTGACTGCATTTTTGTAAAAGCTTCTCAGATCATGATCTCATGTAATAGGGACGCACAAACCAACCGGTGCTCACATCAATATACACACAGAGACACACAGGTCACAGACATACAAACACATATCATTGACCTTGACTTAACTTAACCCGAAATGACCACAGCCGGTAAAATCGGAGTCGGATAGTGTGACGAAGAGCTGTTCTAGCTGGCTTCGCACCACAAATGGCAGCGCCATCGGTATATGACGGGCACAGCACATGGTATTCCAACGGTGGCCCCAAACAGCAACATTTCTTAGTTTGACCTGACCTGGAAGGTCAATGATTGACCTAATTAGGTAAAATTGGGTATCATTGGATTTGTCTCTTCCCAAAGAATCTGTTGGTCTTTGCCGCGAAGCTCTATCTTCAGCAGAAACGAAATGGCGTGGGGGTGGCACCTTTCCCACATGTGCGTTCAAGGATGGGAAAATGACATTTGCGGGCGAGGGTTAATGTGGGATGGGCACTTAAAGTGCGATGCCAGCTGTGCGGTGTATAACTCATTATGGTTCATAGAGTGAAGAGCATAAAAACAGGAGTGTATTTGGATCTTTTTTATTCTAAAATTTAATAATGAAAGGTAAACTCAAAGATAAATAGCAACAACAAAATGTTGGGGTGTCGGCTATCATATTTTTTCGGTTTTCGTAGCAAATGATGAACTATGCCGGAGACGGCTTGCGCTTCTGTGGCCCGCTCGGGGTGACTTCCGACCCACCGCGCCGACCCACACACTGCTTTTAACGGGCGAAGAACGTAAGGTCAAGAAAGACCAGAGATCACCTAAATTCACAGTTGGTGTGAACGGTAAATATTCAAAGCACATACCTAACCAGTCAGTACTAACCAGGCAGAGAATGCTGGTGTGGTGACAGTCTTTCCGGTCGGCATCGGAGGTCTGTGTCCTGTTACAGGCCTCGATAATTCCCTTCTCATTTGAATATTGCCCACATTCATGGCACTTGATAGCCAGCGACTGATCTGTGAAATACAAACAATACAGGATATAGACTTTCTGTCATATTGGTCGCGCACAGAAGCAGTTGATTTGTTTTGTATATTCCAAATGAGTCGATGCTATCCATTTTAACAAATCATCAGCTGGCTGCATTTAACCAATCGATTTAAGCACAAAACACATGTATCAGAGGGCTAGTTTGTTGACTCACCAGTTGTCATGAAGACCAGCAGCCAAATGCAGATGGCCACCATGCTGGCGGGCGTTTTCGGCAGTGGCCGTGTGGGCGCCGACGGCGGCGCTGGCAGGCCGACTGCCGCCGAGGGCTGCTCGTCAGCACCCCTCGGGCTCCATCAGCGGCCGCGGCGCCGCGCCAGCAGCGAGCTCGCGCTGATCACCCACCGTCAGCATTAGTCCCGCTCTCTTGGTCATCGGACAAAGACAATTTGTATAGATTTGCATGCATCCATCCACAAGACGATATGACAGTCTCAGAAAATTGTGCTTGTGCCCTACACCGCTTAATGATGCACACATATTATCACTGGTGTCAATTAATATACTTTTGATGGGCCCTCGGCCTCCCCCATAATGCTGAGTTTGCCCCCCCCCCCTAATGCTGCTCTTGCCCTCTCCCCATATTTTCCTCAGATGTTCGCACTTCCGCAATGCCTTCAGTCAGAGATGCGGAACCGGAGCCGGAACCATGAAACAATATACCCCGAACGCTCTCAAGAGCTTAGTTTTAAAGCTAGATCCAGTTTCTTTGCATCATTAGACTACAAATACACGTAGCTATCAAACTGCTATCTCGAATTTTCAAAACTTGGAAAATTTTGAAAAATATGTTGAAACTTTTTGAAAACAAACTTTTTGAAAAATTGTAATTGTAAAGTTACAATTTTTTCAAAACGTTTTTGATTTTTCACAAAACCGGAATATATGTGATAGAACACACAATGACTGACAAACTGCACTAGTAAGTTTTAGCCCAATATCTTCAAAAATGGCCAAGTTATTTGCATTATTGCCAAAATTTTACAATTATATATCTTTCAAAACCATTTTTCAGTACATTTTTGACATCGTACAGTAAAATAAATGACACCATCGTGTTCCTGAGCTCAAACTGCATCTGATAGGCACTTTTTTGTGTAAAATTTCATTTTTAAAATTTGACCTTTTCTGACCTGAAATTAACCTGACCTCCGGTAAATTCTTAGCTGAAAATGACCTTAAATGACACATACGACATTATTTACGAAATCTACATGTAAAATGGACCATAAAACATGCGTCACGTGACCGATACATGATATACAATTTTCGTGACCTAGTATGACCTGGTCTTGACCTAAAAAAAAAATCGAAGTAAAAGGTCGGTACCCTCAGGGTATCTAAGGCATATATCAAGGAGTGCGTAAACCAAAAATCAGCCTGATTGGACTTGTCAGTCGGCGGCCAGAGCCTAAATTGTGAACAAGCAAAAATGCCGATAACTCTTACTTTGACCCAGCCTGTGACGTCATCGGTGACCTTGAGGTCAATGAAAATAGGTTTCGCTCGACAGTTTTTCCAGGGCTATCAGACACCGTTTGAATTTTGACGATCGGCCCAGTAGTTTCGGAGATAGGAGGAGGGGGGGGGGGGCTCTGAAGAGCCCCCCTCAGTCACTCGCGTTATGGAAAATATCCCAGTCATGCGTGGGTTAAGACCATCTTTTTGGAACCGCCAGTGATCACCATAAATGCGTAGACATAAGCGGAAAGTAAAGGTTCTGCTGCCGATTTCGGAATATTCAAGAACCAGGCCGCTGACGAGCTCCTACCTCCACAACCGATCAGTCTGTGACGCGACCTGCCTTTTGATCATTGGCTGTTACTGAATGACCCGGCACCGCTAGGTCACCTGGCTAGGCAAGTCGCAGTAGGAGTCGGCCGGTGAGACAGAGTCTTGATCGCACGCTTACCCCGGACCACGGGACAATGGGACAATACAGTTCAGTTCTGTTCTGTGCGGCGGCGGTGGTGACTGGAGTCAGTGTGTGCCGCAAAAAAAAATCAAAATCGCAAAATGCCCCCCCCCCCCGGAACTGCCCGTGCTCTGGATCCGCCAGTAATCGTCACATTATGTATCATATTATGTAGTCGAATCTGGTTAATTCACTGTCTCATCCATAAATGTGACGTCCTGTCCTACTCGTATGTCTAGTGTTACCCGTTAGAAAAACACAGCTTTGTTTTAACAATCGTTGTTAAAACTTACATAAAAGTTGAATATAACCGACAAATATAGCCACTGCCTCGTTGATTTCGTATTACAACTAGTTCCGTTGCAAAACACCTAGTTCCGTTGCAAAGTAACTAGATAGTTTGCAACGTACCGGTAGTTTGCATCCTAACTAGTTAGTTTGCAAACTAACTGGACGGTCAGTTAGTTTGCAACGGAACTAGTTTCGTTGCAAACTACCTGGCCGGTCAGGTAGTTTGCAACGAAACTAGATGCATTGCAAACTAACGGATTTCGCATACTAACTGTAGCATATACATTTTTTTTTTTTAATCAGCCTGTGTGCGCTAAACGAAAAGATCATTTTTAGCAGCTTCCGTTCACCGGAAACTTCGCATTTTGTATTGAAACTATTGCACACAATGTCCTTGCAGCAGCGTACTATTGTCGGTCGGCGAGGGCGGCGCGGCGGTGCGGTGCGACAGAAGAGCGGGCTACCGACCGGTCCGGGATGGCCTGGCGGCAGGCGGCTGTCCTGCAGCCAAGCGGCGGGCCGTCACATCGGCAGCGTGGTCAGCAGTCTGTGACCGTGCCGCGCCGGGGCGGAGACTGAACACGGGCGGCGGCGCACGGCCTATACTGCCCAATGCCAGACCACTTGCGAGCGGCGAATAGCTACCGAAAGAGCCGAGAAATTCTCATAAAAATTATGTTGTATTTGATTCTTGTCATTGACATTGCTGGGACTAGTTTCCTTAAAAAAAAAACGTGGCCTCTGACATATTTTATTCGTACATTTCGTATGCACTTCGCAGTGTGCGGGAGGATTGATGCATATGGGCATCATTTGCATGCCACTTCCTCTCCATATGTATTCCATTATTCATGCATCTTTTTTTATAAATCTATTCCGAACCTTTTGCTAAGAAGGATTCACAAGGACAGAGCCACCGCTTAGCGAAGCTTGTTGCGGTGACCCTGCCCTCTACCCTCCGATCGCGCAATGCCAGTTCTATGGCAGAATTTAGAGTCCAAAGTGCGCACATAGCCGCGCACGGCCGGTCCCTTCACTGACTTCACCTGGCTACGGCCTGCCACTAACCGCAGCCATACCTGGGGCGTTCCACGACAAATCGACAAGTGCCCTGCACCCTCATATTTTATTTTTTGCTTAAAATTGGTCTAATGGGTTGTGATGGGCGGGGAAGCCAGCTGTGGCAAGGATTTTTTTCTTCGAACAACGGTTTCCGAGATATAGCCTCGGGCAATTCCTGGATGTCGCGCTGCAGCCCGATGTTTGGCGGCCTATAACTAAAAAACTATTGGTTTTCTACGATAAAAACTTTGATGGTTCAACTCATAATCAACCAACAAACATTTTGGCTATCTCGGATTTTCAATTTTGAAAATTTTGATCACGTGACCTTTTGACCTATTTTTCGAAGAGTGACCTTGATATTTTCCCCACTGAAAGTTGCAATTTTGTCTGATGACGATTAAAGCCTTATCAATTGTCATTCATTTGCGAAAATAAAAAAGTGGATATCGCCCTGCGTTGACCTCAGGTCAGGTCATTTTTATGACCTGTCCATTATTACGAGCAGGAGCGACAGCGAGATCTCGAGAATAAAGGAAGATAGCGACAAGCGGTAAACGGTGCAGGGTACACACGGATAAGGTCTATAATTTTTATTGAGGTCATTTTCAGGTCAGGTCAAAGATGACGTCACAGGAGCAAAAAGGAAGTCAAAATTGCGGCACTACATACCTATATGAAGTTTTTCTCGAATAACTTTCAAGGTATCCCAGCTAGGAACAAACTAATAGCACCATCGTGATCCTCTCGTCGATCCGCATCGAAACATATGTATGTTGACCTCGAAAGGTCGAAAGGTCAAAAGTTGACCTAAGGTCACGTGACCTAAGGTCACTCTTCGAAAAATAGGTCAAAAGGTCACGTGATCAAAATTTTCAAAAATTGAAAATCCGAGATAGCCAAAATGTTTGTTGGCTGATTGTGAGTTGAACCATATAAAGTTTTTATCTTAGAAAACCAATAGTTTCTGAGTTATAGGCCGCCAAACATAGGGCTGCAGCGCGCCTGCTGGAATTGCCCGAGGCTAATATCTCAGAAACCGTTGTTCGAAGAAAAAAATCCTTGCCACAGCTGGCTTCCCCGCCCATCACAACCCCTTACACCAGTTTTCAACGAAAAATAAAACATGAGGGTGCAAATTTAATTTTTTATTTGTCGATTTTTTTCCATTTTAAATTTTTTATTTGCCGGTCCCGTAGCTCAGTTGGTTAGAGCGTTGGACTCCGCGTGGTGAGAGCACGCGTTCCCGGTTATGACAGTCCGGGTTCGAAGCGCGACGGGCGCTCGACATTTATGGGCCTCCTGACAGGTATGGTTGCGGTTGGTGGCAGGCCGTAGCCAGGTGAAGTCAGCGAGGGGACCGGCCGTGCGCGGCTATGTGCGCACGTTAAACTTTGGACTCTAAATTCTGCCATAGAATCGGAATTGCGCGATCGGAGGGTAGAGGGCAGGGTCATCGCAACAAGCTTTGCTTAGCGGTGGCTCTGTCCTTGTGAATCCTTCCCATCAAAAGGTTCGGACTAAATTTATAAAAAAAAAAAATTATCGTGGAACGCCCCACCTGTCAGGAGGTCCATAAATGTCAAGCGCCCGTCGCGCTTCGAACCCGGACTGTTGTAACCGGGAATGCGTGCTCTCTCCACGCGGAGTCCAACGCTCTACCAACTGAGGTACAGGACCGGCTTCGTTGGTGCGCCGTAAATATACGAATCTCCACACGATGATCGAGGTTGTAGTAACGTTAGCAATGTCCCTTTTATGTAAGCACAATTGGCACCTGAAGTGTCCTAGTGCAGCAGTACGTACAGTGCGACCCGGCCATCTGGCTGTCGGAGGATTCAAGGACAAAAGTAAACACGTGACGGCGCCAAACACGATTGACGCACAGTGCTGACCCATGGGAATCGGCCTCAGCGTCAGCAGCAGCACCTTGGGAAGGACTGCAGCTGGCACCGCAGGCTCCAAGTTCGCCGGAGATATTGAAAAGGTGACCTCGAATGGCCGGCGGCAGAACGGAAAACCAGGTGCCTTCAGTAAGACGACGGACGCGGCCTGTGACCATGGCTCGGTCGCTGGTGCTCGGTGCCGCGCTCCCGGCGCTGCTGGGTGTCGTCCTCTGCCGGCCCGGCGATCTCACCCCTCACCACCTCAGCGACCTCAGCGAGGAGCAGCGCGGACATATCGGCGAGATATGGGGGGTGACGGTCGACGCAGATCTACCGATCCCACTCATTTTTCCGGGTGAGATAGTGGGTGGAAATGAATGTATTGTCTGTAATGGAAGTCAACACTTATAACTAGTTATTCTATTGTAGTCGGAATAATGACAATCACGTCAGTCCAGGCGTTGTTGCGGACATAGGCGGCGGAACGGGGAGGGCATCGGGGCACCGTGCCCCCCTTTGATTTTGGCATTTTAACATAAGCCCTATGGGCGTTGCATGGAAATAATGGGACAAAAAGTCAGCAGTGCCCCCCCCCCCTTAATTGAAGGTGCTCCGCCGCTACTGGTTGCGGAGACCACACTTCTGCAAAACCTTGTGCTGGCAAGGCAAATGCTGACCACCGATAGGTCAATATTTCCTGGCACTGCTAGGGATAGAATAGAAGACTATCAGCAGAAACTCAAGGCAAAGCTAGGAGATACAAGAATGGGTCATACCAACCCAGCTAATCCACACCTTCCACCAGAAGGCAAACCGTGTCAGCTGCTAGACCAGGCATGGACGCGCTTGAGTCTGTTGTATTTGATTGTTGACTTATCCGGCAGGCACCAAGTGGTGCGGAGATGGTGACATCGCGGCCAACTACAGCGACTTGGGCGTGTTCGCCGAGACCGACAAGTGTTGCCGTGAGCACGACCACTGTCCGGCCTGGATTCCGGGCTTCGGAACCAACGAGACTATCGGCCTGCACAACCCATCCCCCTTCACCAGGTGACTTGTATTTACCACTTATCGTGCGACACGTCAGACACAATTGGAGCTAGCTACACCTATGGGTAGTAATTTCATAGGTACCACTCCAACGATATTAAAGTAGAAAATGCTCGCAACTCTGTTCCAAAAGTTGAAGTGCGTGTCCGCCGCCTATCCAGCGGGTGTTTGCTGTATTTGTCACCAGTGCGCATGTCTCCTCTGTCTGCGCGATGGCGGCTGACCCATCAATGACCGGGCCGGGCCAGTTAGATAAGGCTGACCTGTCTCACCTGACTGGCCAGGTGCGCTTGCGAGTGTGACCAGCAGCTATCTCAGTGTCTGAGGGAGGTCGGCTCCCCGGTGGCCACGGCCGTGGGCACCATGTTCGACAACATCCTCCAGGTCAAGTGCTACCGCCAGGACTTCCCGATCGTCAGCTGCCTGCGCTACGGCGGGTAAGCTGCAACCACAGACTCGGCGACCAGCGTGCCACAGGATGGACGTGGCCGGGAGCCCATCTGCGCTCTCCTTCAAGTAGAGTTATATACTGTTCAGGGTTGTAAAGCTAGCGGTGCAAAGTGGCCAGCTTGAAATTGTTGGCCTTTTGATTCAGCTGCATCTGATTTTTTCTGATTTCGGAGCCTAGTGAAGACTGTGCTGGCCAAACTTGTATAGCTACAGCAAGGGCTTTTTACGTTGCCGCGCTGAAATGTTTATGAATGGTCATTATCTGAGATATATTCGTAAAGAATAATGATTTTGATCATCGCGTTTATTTTACAGGCTATTTGATCGCAGCTGCCAAGAGTACGAGCTGGATGAGACTAGCGATAAAATATGGGAGTTCTTCGACTCGCAGGTGTTCCTGGAGACCGAAGGCGACCTGAGCCAGTGGTGATTAAAACGACGGACGTGCTCAATACGATTACCAGCCCTTTTAGCAAACATTGTGTTTTTCTCTGGAACTACTCCGATAATACATTCAGGAAGCGGCATTTTACTGTGTAGTTACCATGTCTGAATAAACAGCTCAAGTATTTGCTTTGAGCGCCAAGCGCCATCTCGGCCACAAGGCAAGAGGCAGCTGCAGGCACACGACATATGCAGGCTAGATATGCACTTAATTTATTTAACCCGCGCCGGGCCGGTGCTTCGCGACTTCCGAGCCGGGCCGGGGGGGGGGGGGGTCTGAACACCCCCGTCTAACTCGGCTCCTGGGCCACGTAGCGACACGCGGTAAACCGCATTCGAAAGCACGTCATGACGGAAACACTTCGGTAATTTTTAAGTCAGGTCAAAGGTCAGGTCACCAGAGGTCATCAAAGGTCAAATGTAGTTCATTTCAACATCTTTGGAAACTGCCAAAGGCTAACTCGGGAACCAATAGAGCTACAGCGCCGCGGAAAGGCGCATTCGATAGCCATTTTACAGACCTTTCTGGGTATTGCTCTCAGATTTGACCTCAGGTCAACGGTTTAGCCTCCAAAGGGCAAAAACTGTAAAAATAGCAGTTTCACGAAAACTGTTTTTTTAGCAATAACTTCTTTTGGCTCAAGAGAGCCACGACATTACTTTTGGGAGAATCGTGTTCCTCTCGTCGAGACGCGTCGAATGAACTATTTGTTGACCTTGAAAGGTCATTTTGAAAATTTGACCTCAGGTCAACGTCATGACCTGACCGGAAAGGGTCATGCTGCATATCAGTCGATCCGTATCGTCGAGCTGAATACAGCTGACGTGTTTTCATCGCTCTAACACGTCTTTATCAAAAGTCATAGCAAAAAAAAACTGCTGGAGACCGTTCATGACCTCAGATGACCTCAGGGGCGGCACACAGAGGGGTCACAGGTGCATTTTTCCGATTCAGTGTGTCATGTTTACCTATGAACCGATGTTTGAGAGGGTTTTAAACACCATTCGTTCAAAAGAGGTGCATTTTAATTTTCTCCCATTGACTTATAATGGAGAGGTCGCAAAATTGACCTGACATTAGGTCACTTATATCAAGATTCCGAGATAAACATTTTGTAAATACTGCTACTATTATCAATCGTTGAAAGTTTCAAGGTGCTCGTTCAGTCGGTGTTGTTATGGCGAGGATTGAAACTTTTTCTGAGGTGAGGTCACTTGACGTGACCTGATGACCTGACCTTAAAAGCCCTGGGTATGAAATTTTAACAACATATGTGGAAAAAATGCATGAACAGTAGAGCACTTCACGGATAGGCTTTTTAGGATCCGGCCCGGCCCATATCCGGCAAGTCATATCCAGATCCGCCCATTATCCGCCTTTCTTTGAATATCAGAATCCGGCCCACCCATGGCCCGTATTGCAGCCAAACTTCCAAAAAATATCCGTAATAATCCGTTTCACCAATAACTGGTTTCACCCAAAACTGGACTAACAAATTCAATCTAAGGGACCAGACAGCCATACATCTCATAGACCATCATGGTTCCAAAAAGCATTGCATACATTATCCACTTGAAGACAAGTCTTGTGACAAGTGAGTGTCATAAAATGATGCCTATTACTTTAATCAAACCTCTGCTGCCGCTTAACACATTAGGTTAATTTTTAACTTCAATGTTGAATGTTAAAATTTTGATCCGTTTTGATCCGGGTTCAACCTTCAATTCCCAAATCCGGCCCGCCCATATCCGTTCTTTTTTTAACAAATTTAGAATCCAATCCTATCCGGTCCGCGGATTTATCCGTGGATAACGAATTTATCCGTGGATAACGGATTTATCCGGCCCATGAAGTGCTCTAATGAACAGGTGTGCCAAAAACGGCGTCGCTCCGCGCTGCCGTTTTTGAAATATCTGCGAAAAACTGGAGGGGGTGTTCAAACACCCCCGGCCCGGCACGGATTAATTTATCTTCTTTGTTTTTTATCAAACTCTCTTGCCAAAGATGCATATAAAGCTGGGAATACAACTAACCGAGACCCAGCCGATAAGAAGTTACTCAGACAATAAACAATAAGCAGAACACAACATGATTGAGAAAATGAATCAATTGACTCAACTTGTGTTTAACTTAAAGGAAACCACACAAATATTAGGTTTCGATCACTACATGATACCAATGACATGCCTTTCAATAGTACAACTGTTACAAGTCATGTCCACGTAGAGGTGCTCATGTTTAACCTCCCAAATATCGTAGAAAACACCCAATCACTCACGAAAAATGTGCTCCAACGTTTTCTCTAATCATTTATATTTGTGGGACTGAATCCGAAATTTCTGTGCACCCCTTCAATTCCATACCTAAAATAGAGCGCGAACCACCAAACTACACGATTTCGTCGTAGGGCCCCATGTAAACAGTGTTTTCTCGGCAATAACTTTTAACTCTCAAAAGAGTCACGACATTACTTTTGCCAGCATCGTGTTCCTCTTGTCAAGACGCGTCGAATTAATTATAATTTGACCTTGAATGGTCAATTTGAAAATTTGACCTCAGGTCAAGGTCATTACCTGAACGGAAAAGGTCATGTTGCATATCAGTCGATCTGCATCGTCGAGCCGAACACATCTAAGGCGTTTTCATCGCTCTAGCATGCCTCCATCAGAAGGTATTAGCGAAAAACTGCTAGGTACTATTCGTGACCTGAGATGACCTCGGGGACATAGCGAGGGGTCACAGGTGTCATTTTTCGGTTCAGGGTGTCAATTGTACCTGCATCCCGATGTTTGAGATTGTCTAGAATGGCGTTCGTGCAAAAGAGACGCTTTTCAATTTTCTCCCATTGACTCTCATTGAATCCCATTTCCCAGAGGCCGCAAAATTGACCTGACCTTAGGTCAGGTCAAACCTTAAGCGATCTGGTTTGAAATTTTCACATGTGTGGAAAAGATGCACAAACAGGTGTGCCAAAATCGGCGGCGCGGAGTGTTCAAACACCCCCCGGCCCGGCGCGGGTTAAAAGTCAATAGGGGAAAAATCAACTACCTGATTTTTTTCACTAAAATGAGTCGGAATGGCCTAATAAAGGGTAGGTGCGGGCAAAAGTACGCGGTTGGTAAGAGAACGCAACAGCCTTTTTTGTTGGTTGTAAATGGGATAGAATACCCATCTTTGGACCATAGAAGGGACTTCATATGGCGCATCTGCACAGCAACAGGCAAGCATGTTGATGCGTTTTTATGGTCTTGCCAGACCCACTTGCAGACCCTTACAAAAACTTTTATAGCTGAACAACAAAAGAAAGTTGAAGAACCAGCTTTTGCACCAAAGCACATAAATGTCCAACAGATCGCCTGAAGCCAAGCGTTTTTAAATTTACCCATCAGGAACTCCGCAGTAGCCCTGCAAAGCTAAGGTGCGTACTCTTGCCAACATCTCCCCTATCATGACTTCATATACAATCAACCTTGACTATCTTTAGGCCTTTTTTGCTCTTGGGCAACTGTAAGGTCATGTGGCGTCATCAAAGGTCACCAAAGTTTTTTTTTATTTGTTAACTTCTCCTTACAGGAAGGAGATGCAGCCGCGCGGATGGTCTCATTGTGTTCAGTTCGTCAAGACGCATCGAATGATATGTATGACCTTGAGGTGACATGACTTAAAGGGACTATCCCACCCTTAACATGGGGTTTGAGTTGAGATAGCCAAGTTTGCGGCGAGGTCCAGAAACCACTATCTATCTAGGTTGCAACCCCCGCGGCCTCTTGGTGTTGAATAAATTCGTTCCCTTCATTTGAAAATGGGCCTTGTACAAGGCCCTATCTTCAACATGGAGCGACCGTTAGTGTGACGTCACCTCGTTTAGTCATTCTGATTTAAATGGGGTTGTTCGTTGAAAAATCGCTTAAAACTTGGTCTGAACTTTGTTGTGGTGCCTACAGAGTAAAAAGATTCAGCTTTATGACAGTAATGTGGCCTGGGGAAGGAGGTAATTTTGGGCTGTGACGTCACATATTTGAAAGTTTGTGTTTGGAATATGGGAAGCCTAAGATGTTTAATGAAAAATAAGTGCCAGAACCGTGTTCCTGGTCATCCAATCTATAAAGTCGGGCACAATTTAACTGGTTTTAACAGCATTTTAGAAGGTGGGATAGTCCCTTTAACCCTCGCCCGTATAGGGGGGGTCGAACGGACCCCCCCTCGGTTTTTCGCAGATAACTCGCGTAAAAAGCGGCCGATCGCGACGAAACTTTCAGTACCCTCGCGTTAATCAATTTTACACCTACCCTGAAATTTTCATGACCCTGACCCTAATGACCTTTGACCTGTGACCTACTTTTTCGAGACCATGTTTGGCCGGAATCGCGATTCGGCGTATGTCGGCTCGCATTAGCCGCGCGTTTGCAGTCTTTTCGTGGTTTTAAAGGTAGTGTGCCACCTTTGAAAGATTTCCCATTTTATTTTTCCTAGGATAAGAAGCTTCTGTTTTTACCTAATATCGCAAAAAAATCAAAAATGGGCCTGGAATAGTGCCTTTTTCGCCTAAAAGTTTTTCGGTTTTTAGATATGTATAACAACTGTAGTGGGCTCACCTGCAAACAGGCGTCGGGCAACAATCGCGAATGCGGCGCACTTGTGACAATAAGCAAAGGTCATTATAGTGTTACGACCATACGACGTACGGGAATGAGTTATCAGCTGTCTAATCGTAGACAACACAATGTCGAGCCTTAAACTGTAAGCCCGTATTGGTATTGTTTCTTTTATTTGGCTGTCGAACATTATTTATGGTTTGAAATATGATTTTATGTAAAATAATTGATATGAAAAAGCCGTCTTATAAGTTATGACCCCATTTCACCACACGCAAGTGGCAGAAATGACAATGATCAGCTGACGCATTTTTCTTGGCCGAAGTCAGAGCGCGCGGCCCGACGCACCACGCGTATTTGGAAATTCCGACCTCGACGAGCATCAGAAGCCACCTAACAGGCGTGTTCGAAACCGCAGGAGATGATGATGAACGGGTTTATCGAAACTTGATTGGATGAGCATATCGGTAATAGCGATTTCAGTGTGTGCATTTATTGTTCATAGTGGTGTGAAATGTGGTTGGGGTACGACCGACAACCCGTCGGGGCGAATTTCGCACTGGGGTACTCAAAATTTGAAGAATTTAAGACGTTTCCATGAGTTTTGAAGGTATGGATAAGTTCTAAAAATCCGGTTCTCCTTATCTGGGCCATTAACTCCATACGGTCCAGGAAAGCTGGCACACTACCTTTAAAGGAAATAGTTCACTTTCACGAAATTATTTTTTATTTTGCAACGATTTATTATTTTTTATGTTCAAAATAATCAGCAAAGAAAATAAAACCTTTTTATAACAAAATATATTTTTTCTTCTATATTTTGATATAGGAAGAACTTTTCAGTTTCTGTAAGGCACACGCGATCCAGTATGAAAAGAGCATGGGTCCCGAAAATTCTTCAGAAACAGAGAAATTATCGCAGCCACCGGCATTTGGGCGATCTGCTCGATCTGATAATGTTCCCCTGAATGTCCTAATTGATCAGTACGAGAATTTCTCTAGAGTTCTCGTAGATAATTTCTCTAGTTTCTGAAGAATTTTTCGGGACCCATGCTCTTTTCATACTGGATGGAAATATATGCAAGGCACACATCCTCAACGCAAGACACCTTTTTCGGGACGAGAAATAGAATATCTTTGCCTAGGGTGATCGTTGGGTTGTAAAAGCTCCTGATTTATGCTCGTCTCAGCCCAAGCTACGGAATTGCTATTCCAGTTCAAAACCCATGTTAAAAAGTGAACTATTTCCTTTAAGCGTTCAAACATGGGATATGATGTTGCACCCATGCATTAGGGTGGGTGTCAAGGTCACCGGAAGGTCAGGTCAGGTCATTGACCTTTGATGACCTCGGTTCACTTTTTCGAGTTTTACATGTTTGCACGGCGAGTTTTACACGGCGGCAGGCGTGGCGGCGCATGCGCAGTGTAGATGGCCAAAATCTTGGGCGCTACGTTTGACAGCACCGCGCCCTTCTCATGGTCTAAAGGCGCTCTCCTGACCATCTCGCGCCCTCATGTCTGTGTTCCTTGGCATCCATTGACTGTTCGGCACCCTTCTGGCCTCTCAGCGCCCCTACACCATGTAACGTTTTTAATCTCTTGACGCCCTTCTGGGAGAACGGCGCCCCTTGTCATGGTCTCACGGCGCCCTCGTAAGCTTCTCGCGCCCCATGTCCCCGCCAACTTAGCACACCTACTGACTGTTCGGCGCCCTTCTGGCCTCTCAGCGACCCTGGACCATGTAGCGTTTTCAATCACTCGGCGCCCTTCTAGGAGAATAACGCCCTTTTCATGGTCTCACGGCGCCCTTGTAACCGTCTGGCGCCTCTATGTAGTATGTACGTCCCTCCCCACCAACTTAGCATTACTGACTGTGCGGCGCCCTTCTGACCTCTCTGCGCCACTGATCATATAGCGTTTTTAATCACCTGGCGCCCGTCTGGGAGAATGACGCCCTTGTCATGATCTCACGGCGCCCTCGTAACCTTCTGGCGCCCCTACGGCGGCCTTGCGCCCCTACAGCTGGGCACCCACAGGCCACAATCATTTTAGGAAAATTACACCCCTGAGTCCAAATGCTCATAACGCTAAAGGCCTGGCTACACTATGCGTTTTCTTCGTGCGTGTTTTGCGTGTTTGCGTGTTTTGCGTGATATCGTTCTAGAAAAAAGAACGATATTACGTTTTTGTGATGTTTTTCACCTTAAATTTTAGTTACATAAGAGCTATATTAGCTTTTGTATATAACCAAAGTAAAAATTATATTGTTTATAACTTTTTTCCTAGAACGATATTAAGCAAAACACGCAAACCTGCAAAAACGCACGCAGAAAACGCATAGTGTAGCCAGGCCTTAACACCCAAGCTAGAGATGTCAATCGGATACCAACTTTTTGGTATACCGACCGATACCAAACATATACCTACCAACTTGGTATTTAGTATTTCAATCCTAATGTGTTTGATATTTTGTTGGTATTATGAACCCTCACTGATGTATAAGAGGCTGATAAATTGGTGTTAAGTTGGTATTTCCGCCATGTTCCCAAGTTAGTTCGGTTTCGGTATTTCCTAACGGTCTTGATTGGTAGGTATTTAGTTTGGTATCGGTATTACGATTTTCGGTAATTGACATCACTAAACCAAGCAATGACCAAAGCGATAGCATTCAAAAATTAAAGCGCCGTTATTTGTGACACAAGCGCCATCACTGCGACTTTTTATAGAGAAGGACAATGCATTTTCGATGGGTGCTGCAAATACTACAAGTACTGCTTCCCTCTTGCAAAAAAAATGTTTTCACTTTCAAAATATGCCAATTTATGATGTTTTTAAAAGCTATACCTGCGCTAAAAATAATGTGATGGTCGAATCATTTTCTTCAAGAAATAAGAAAGATCATATTCTCCATTTCACCATATCATGCACGGTAGGTATCTTGGCCTGTCACGTGACCTCAGTGTAGTCGTGTAAGCCAAGTGGCATCACTGTGCCCTGGTCTGACAGATGACGTAGTGGGCGTCTGAGTGGCAGCTGCCGTTGTCCCAGGTGCCGTCGCTGAACATGTAGACGCAGTTGTCGGGCCAGTCGCTCGGGCTGCCGGACGCCCAGTACTCGAACACCAGCGGCGCGCCGGACGGCCAGGCGAAGTCGTCCCACTCGGAGGGACGCCGCAGTCCCAGCCAGACCCACCGACTGACGCCGACATCCTGCTCGGCCACCATCTGCACCTAACCGGACCGACACGGACGGGCCAGGCTGTCAGCGCTCCATCCACGCTAAGGATAGGCGTCCTGTCACCTCTCAAGAAGCATCATAGGACTTCAATCGATACTTTGCTCGTTAGGCGACATTCTCAAAATGGAGTAAAAAAAGAACGACATATAAGCCGGCTTGATGCAGAGTAAGGAGATTGCTGAACAATTGGAAGCTTGAATGCAACAATGACAACAACAATATATGTGGCTGCATTCACAAATATATTATGAAAATCAACCATCTAGGATACCAGTAAAACGCCTTTTGGGCGAAGAACGAGCGAGCGAGATAGTGAGCCCTGCACCTGCAGCAGGGCGAGAGGGTACTTCCAACGGGCTTGTGCAAAGCACTCTTCTAACCGGTCGCTAGCGGTGTACCAAATTTGAACGCGATCGGCCCAGCCGTTCCTGAGATCTGGAAGCGGCATTCTGTACGTGCGCACGTGCAAACGGGGTCCAAAATGACTTTTGCACGGCACCCTACTAACCTGTCCCCAACCGTGTACCAAATTTGAGCGCAATCGGCCCAGCCGTTCTCGAGATCTGGAAACGCCCCCTGCACGTGCGCACGTGCAGTAGCACCCTAACCGCAACACATGGGAATGCATTGTCTGGTGGGTGCCTACCTGTATGCCAAGTTTCAGCGAAATCGACCCAGTAATTACCGAGATACTGAAATGGGAACAAATTTGGCACCTCTTATTGTTGTATTTTGCACGTGCAGTGGGGGTCACTCACATAGATGAAGAGTATCCGACCTTTGGTAGAAGGGATGCAGCTACCCTATAAAAATGACCGCAAGACAATCGCTCAAGCCGCTGCTGAGATATGGGCCTCTCAAAATCATTACTTTTGCAAAACTGCTTGAACACCCTTGACTTTTCACGTGGCACGTGCCACGGCGGTCACTGAGATGTATCAAAAGTAGTCAATTACGGGGTAGAAGGGATGGGGCTACCCAGCAAAAAAGACCGCAGGCCATTCGGTCCAGCGGTTGCTGAGATATAAGCCTCTCAAAAGCGTTACAGGCCGGGCCGGGCCGGGCCGCTCATACTGATATTTTTCCGTTATATTGAAAAGACTCACTTCGCTCGCTGCGCTCGCTCGCTCGTAATAACTGTTTCACCTGTGACCTTTCAATACAGGCCTCCTGCTGTGCTTACTATGAAGTTTGTCTCTGGATCGAGCGTCTCGGGCAGGTACGATCCCGGCGCCGCATCTGTGCAGAGCGCCAGCGCCTGGTCGGCCGTCACGGGCGACTGCAGGTGCAGGGGCAGGAAGCAGTCGCCGGCGGGCGACTCCACCCAGCTTGTGTTGGGACACGGCGGCGGCACGGCGCGCGCCAGTGGGCCGGTCAGCAGCAGCAGAGCGGCGGCCGCGCCGCGCCACCCTATACAGGTCATGGCGTCTCTCTGCGGGTCGGCTCCGGTGAAAACTGGCGCTGGGCGGCAGTGGGGCGCCAGCCATATCGCAGGCCACACGGGAAACGCGCTGGCCACCGTGGGACTGCCAAACGTGTCCACCGATTGTGCTCGAGCAGATGACGTTCTACCGAACATGCATTCGCCTGAACGTCAGGTAAGACTTTTACTTGTCTTTTTTTACCCCGAGTATGTAGGTACGCAAAGAACTATATACTCGCAACGAATTGAAAATTTCCTGCCCGTCCTGGAATGCCGAATGAAGGCAATATTTTTGGACACATGATCGGTATAATTTCGGAGCATGGGTACGGGTTTCGTATTTCCAACAAAGGACAGGCGCTACCCGGAGATGTTTCTTTCTAAGTAAACCTATCCTAACCTGACCTAACCTAAGCTTCAACCTACAAACCTACAACCTAAAACCGCTAAAACCTACAACCTAAAACCGCTAAAACCTACAAGCCTACAACCTAAACCCTCGCATGTGTGCGGCGTTTGCCAGCTTCCAATGTGTAGGGGGGGGGGGGTCGGTTGGACACCCCCCCTTGCCGTTTGGCCCCTGATCGAGCTAGAGCTTCGCGGAAAAAAACGAGCGTGCTGCCCGTGACGAGAGGAAGCCGATGATACCCAATTTTTAGGTCCTAGGTCATTGGTTGGCCTTCCAGGTCGGGTCAATGACCCAAAGTCGGGAAAATCGGGACCTGTTAGAAAGTCGTAAAGTGTGGCTGCTAAGAGGGGGGGGGGGGGGGGGGTGCTGATCACGAATATCGTGTTAGTTTTGATCATAGATGATGATGTATTCAAGCATTTAGACCAGGTCGGGTCAGGTCAGGTCAACCAGTAGGGGTCGTGACGGGATTTTGTAGTGCGTGTCAACCACCTCTGACAGCTTTGTAACATGTTACGAAGGCACCAAAACTACTTCGTAGATGTTCAAATGGTTGCTAAATTCGAAATCAGCTCCAAAAACTAGCCTAGAAACATGTACAGCTCGAAAAAGTGAACCGAGGTCACCATAGGTCAATGACCTGACTTGACCTTCAGGTGACCTTGATATCTACCCAAATGCATGGGAGCAGCATCAAATCTCATGTTTGCGCGTTTGAAACCACGAGAAGCTAGCAAACGCGGCTAATGCGAGCCGACATACGCCGAATCGCGATTCTGGCCAAATATGGTCTCGAAAAGTAGGTCAGAGGTCTAAGGTCATTACGGTCAGGGTCATGACATTTTCAGAGTAGGTGTAAAATTGACTAATGCGAGGGTAGGGTAAGGTGCCTAATTAGCGACCCTTTCCTATTTGCGACATACCTTCCTACAGAAAAAAAAACTGACAGGAGAAAAAGGGGTAAAAATATTGTCAAGAGGTCAGCCATACTTTAATTATCAAATTAAATTATGTTCCGGTTGTCGATGTTTCTGGTGGGACGTTTCAGGTGAGTTTAAATAAAAATGACGAGTTTCTTATCCAAAACGTGTGTATTTGGGCCCTCTCTGATGAAAAGCGATGCACATTAGGATGATGCACCTCTTTTATTCTGAATCGACAATCCTTTTTCAATTGATTGCCGTTTTCCCATAGTGAATCGCTTAAAGGGACTATCCCACCTTCTAAAATGTTGTTAAAACCAGTTAAATTGTGCCCGACTTTATAGATTGGATAACCAGGAACACGGTTCTGGCATTTATTTTTCATTTAACATCTTAGGCTTCCCATATTCCAAACACAAACTTTCAAATATGTGACGTCACAGCCCAAAATTACCTCCTTCCCCAGGCCACATTACTGTCATAGAGCTGATTCTTTTTACTCTGTAGGCACCACAACAAAGTTCAGACCAAGTTTTAAGCGATTTTTCAACGAACAAACCCATTTAAATCAGAATGACTAAACGAGGTGACGTCACACTAACGGTCGCTCCGTGTTGAAGATAGGGCCTTGCGCAAGGTCCATTTTCAAATGAAGGGAACGAATTTCTTCAGCACCAAGAGGCCGCGGGGGTTGCAACCAACATAGATAGTGGTTTCTGAACCTCGTCGCAAACTTGGCTATCTCAACTCAAACCCCATGTTAAAGGTGGGATAGTCCCTTTAACTCTGTACTGCATGACGGTTAAAAGTGTGTCGCAACTCATATTTCCTATTTGCGCCCGACATGGTCGCAAATAGCTCAAGAAGGGAAAGAAAGGGGGAAAGAGAGAAATGAAAATGAGGTGTTGCTGAAGCTTGCAAAGTGTGGCAGGAGATGCTAAATGTCGTCACTGACTGCAGGGGTGCCGAATCCAGTGCGGACCTCGAATTTCATACGAGATAACCCGCAAAATTTGGTTATTCGCCTTCTTTTCGCCTTCGGTGCATCACGTGATCAGTTTTTGCTTACGTAAACGTGTTGGATAAACGTTCCTGTTCGAGTGATTGAGTGCTTTGCTTATAGGTTACCTTTTTGGGATCATATTTCATCTTTTCAGGCGTCGCATTTTTTGCCATTTTTAATATGGGAAAACCCATATACTTAATAGCGACCCTGCCCGGTCGCTAATCGGGAAGATTCCCTATTAGCGTTTTTTTTTGCAATGGTTTGCCAAAATGCTCACTACAAATAAATTAGTGGTGTTTCCGCCGCCAGTTCTTGTTGAAGCGAAACCCGTAAGATAAAACGCACTGTATTATTTCACACGGCTTTGAGTGGTTTTAACAATTTAGTGGGCACGGATTGGCGGAGAAAAGAAAGACTAAAACAACAAAATGAGTTCAGCAGTGTCAAAATCCCGTTCCAAAATTACAGAAAAAACATTATATTCTAAAGGTATCTAAATCTAAAATCATAGACTACGTTTCCATGGCACAAGTTAAGCCGATTTTGAAAAATGAATTTGCTCCATCATAGCATTTAGGCATAATGTAAAAATGTAAATATAGGATTAGGTGCTTGCTAAAGCCATATATACGCTCATTTTTTTGCATAAGGTAAATAGTTTCCGAGAAAAACGCACGTGAAATTTCGCTAAATCGATTTAGACGTGTCAAGGAAACGTAGTGATAGTTAGTCTTCAACTTCAAACCGTTTTCCATTCGACTTGAAAGTCTCATGCTCGTCTCGCGGGATATCGTTCGTATGGCGCTTTCGGTATTGCAACGAATATAGACGAGGATAATTTTTCGGCTTTCACAAGTGGATATTTGGGCAGAAAATGATTATATTTTAACCCGCGCCGGGCGGTGCTCTGAGATTCCGCGCCGGGCCGGGGGGGGGGGTGTCTGAACACCCCCCCCCTTCTAACTCGGCTCCTGGGCCACGTAGCGACACGCAGTAAGCGGCAATCGAAAGAACGTCCAAAATTAGGACGAAAACACTTCGGTCATTTTTTTGGGTCAGGTCAAAGGTCAGGTTACCAGAGGTCACCAAAGGTAAAATGTTGACTATTTCAACATTTTGGAAACTGGCAACTGCCAAAGGCTATCTCGGGAGCCGATAGAGCTACAGCGCCGCGGAAAAACGCATTCGATAGCCCTTTTACAGACCTTTCTGAGCAATGTTCTCAGATTTGACCTCAGGCCAACGGTTTAGCCTCAAGAGGGCAAAAACTCTAAAATAGCCGTTTTTACGAAAAGTGGTTTTTCGGCAATAACTTTTGACTCAAAAGAGCCATGACATTACTTTTGCCAGCATCGCACTCTTCTCGTCCCTCTCGTCGAGACGCGTCGAATGAACTATAATTTGACCTTGAAAGGTCAACTTGAAAATTTGACCTCAGGTCAAGGTCATGACCTGACCGGAAAAGGTCATGTTGCATATCAGTCGATCCGCAACGTCGAGCCGAACACATTAAAGGCGTTTTCAGAGCTCTAGCACGCCTCTATCAGAAGTTACTGGCAAAAAAAAACTGTTAGATTTTGTTCGTGACCTGAGATGGGTGCGTATTATTTAGACCAGGGTTCATAATGTCCAGGGCACAATGTGTCCAGTGCTCGAATTGGCCAGTGCCTTGAATTGGCCAGTGTTCACATTGTCCAGGGATTACATGGTCCAAAAGTGGCCAACTGGCTGCAGATAGGGTAAATTCAAAGAGGCCAGGGTTCATAATGTCCAGGGCACGATGCGTCCAGTGTTCAAAATGGCCAGGGTTCATAATGTCCAGGGCACGATGTGTCCAGTGTTCGAAATGGCCAGGGTTCATAATGTCCAGGGCACGATGTGTCCAGTGTTCAAAATGGCCAGTGCCTTGAATGGGCCAGAGTTCATAGTGTCCAGGGATTACATAGTCAACCCAACCCAACCAAACCTAACCTAACCTAACCTAACCTAACCTAACCTAACCTAACCTAACCTAACCTAACCTAACCTAACCTAAGGTAATGATGTTTGCCTACCAGGGATAAGGAAATAGTTTCTCGCATGAATAGATTACAGGCAATAGTAAATCAAATATTTTTAGGTTAAGTGGTTATGCATCAGGCTTCAGGCCTTCGGCCTGAAGCCAGATACATAACCACTTAACCTAAAAATATTTGATTTACTATTGCCTGTAATCTCTCCTAAGGCATTGCCTTCGGCACTGCACTGCTTTGCATTGAGCTGATTCCGTGTTTTTACATAATGACGTCACTTTCAGTGACTATGTAATCCCTGGACATTATGAACTCTGGCCCATTCAAGGCACTGGCCATTTTGAACACTGGACACATCGTGCCCTGGACATTATGAACCCTGGCCATTTCGAATACTGGACACATCGTGCCCTGGACATTATGAACCCTGGCCATTTTGAACACTGGACACATCGTGCCCTGGACATTATGAACCCTGGCCTCTTTGAATATACCCTATCTGCAGCCAGTTGGCCACATTTGGACCATGCAATCCCTGGACATTATGAACTCTGGCCCATTCAAGGCACTGGCCATTTTGACACTGGGCATAGCGTACCCTGGACATTATGAACCCTGGCCAGAATGAATGCTCCCCACCTGAGATGACCTCGGGGACATAACGAGGGGTCACAGTTGCCATTTTCTGGTTCAGTGTGTCAATTTTACATACATCTCGATGTTTGAGACTGTCTAGAA